TTCATTTTTTCTCTTTACTTGCTCTCCCTCATCATCATCATCATCATCATAATCTCTCTCCCTTTACAGTAACACACTCACACAAAAGTGTAGCCAATTTCCAGTTTGGGTTGAGCTTAAATAGCCACAAACATTGACGAACCATAATCAGTTTCAAATTGTCATCCAGGATCTAAATTTGATTCAGTATCATAATTAAAGTGGTGATCACTTCAATTCTTCATCTCTAACCAATTAACAGTTATTTTCTCTTCTTTGTATTAACAATATCAACAAGTGAATCTAAATAAAAATGGCAAACCCAAAGGATATCATCGCAACCATCATCAAATATGCCATCATGATCATCACCATCATCATATTGGTCAAGATCACCGTTGACCTTGTCCAACATGGTAAAAGTTTCCAAACAGAAAAAATTATCTACTTCGTTTGTACCTATGTTGTCTTACTATTTGCTCTGTTTGGTGCTTGGAAAGAGGAATTCCTTTACCTGGTCATCGCTGGTGTCGCACTGATCCTTGACCTCGCCTTCGCCTGGGGCGCAGATGCTGGAGTAGCTGTTAACAACAGTCTAGTTGTCGCATTAACGATTCTCGTCTGTATCATGGCGGCTTTACTCAAGTTTTTCAACGCGAGATCAGTTAACGTTGTTTAATTACCGTTAACCATCAGTTAATCAATCATATTAACCACAAGGATCCTCACCCCCGACCCATCATCATGAAATTCACTCTCCTCGAATCCCACCATCACCATGCCAATCACCTAATCTCACCCAGGCCAAACAAAACCTTTCATCTAATCCACGATTATTATACTTAATTCACAATCAATTGTTTTTTTTTATATTATCCTAAACTTATTACATAATTTGATTATAACTGTTTCAATATTATCCATTATAATCATTACAATTTATGCCTTCATCATATAAAGAAACAAAAAGTTTTTTTGCTGATTCAACTTGTTTTTAATCATTTAATCGTTAATCCCACTCTTAATCCCTTATTCAGAGTTGATCGTGAGAGTTTGTATCATCATCCAATTCCATCCTCTTTGCCTTTATTGGGCCTCATCAGTTTCCAAAAATATTGTTGTTTCTTTTGGCATCTTCTTGATGATAATGATGATATTGTTTCGCCTCTTTCTTTTCTTATCCCCTCTCTTCCAGTTTTCCTTGAAAAACAACAACAAACCGTCGTCATCCTCATCACCACCTTACCTTTTTCCATCTCAATCATCATCATCATCATCATCGTGTTTATCAAGAAACAAAAATCAACAAACTAATGAAATAACAACACGTTTGTCAGTTTCGATTCTTGTTTCCAGGTTAAACAATTTGATATAAAAAATGATTTAATGGGAAAAATAATCAAGTGAAAAGACTTGAAATTATGAATAATGATTATGATCATGTTGTTGTTGATCATGTTGATTGTGATGATGATATCGCACTGATGAGAATCGTTTATGATTCTTTGAATCGGCCTTGGCCAATCATCAGGATAATCAGGCAAAGATAATTGTCATTAAAACAAATTAAGCTCATGTTAGTCACAGTATGATAATTGTTGATGATCTTATATTCAATTGAGAATCAAATAATTACCTCTCTTGTCAGTTTTTTTCGCGTTTTTCTTGTTAATCAACAATTTAGATTTAGACTTTTTTTTCTGTTCAATAATATTGTTACCAACTTTCACAATGATCAGACAAAGTTACCAGGGTTAATCATGATTTAATAGTGTGTAATATAATAGTGATAACAATGGAAACGCCTGCGTTTCCATAGCTTAAATTGTTGTTTACCTTTGTTGTTGATTGTTTGTAGTAATAAAAAGATTTCAAAGTAATTAAAAGTTTCTCTTCTCGTGTGTAATCCGATTGTGTTTCAATTATGCTAAATTGCGAACCAATTGTTTTTTTCTATTAATCAAGGTAAACAATTAATTCAAGTTGATTATTTTCACTACCATTTGTTTCTTTCATAGAAACACGATAATTTGTTTTAATTTAGTTTCTGTTAACTTTTAATTGTCTTAAATGAACAATAGATTTTGAGTTTACTATTCAACTGAAATTTGGCTTCAATTTGTCAACTAGATTTGAATTGAGATTCTTTAGACTTTGGGCTTTCAAACATGGAAAATGGTTTGAGGAAGATTAACTGAAAACCCGAAAATTGGTCAAAATCGATTTCAAAGGGTCGATTTTACGTCCAATGGATCAGAGGTGCTTTTCTGCTCTTGTTTTATAATAGATAAAGGGGTGCTGCGCGAACGCAATCACCCCGCTACCAAAAATATCACTCCCCATCTAACTCGTTTTGAGTTAGTGGCGGGCTTCAGCCACTCTCGGAGTGCAATGAGAGGGCCTCGACCCGGAGTCCCTGCCTTTTTGATCACAGGGTTCTCGGAGCCAGGTAAGTATGCCTGTTAGGGAGAGTCCAAATCTTATATTCCAACAATGGAACTTGAAAAATACAGTCTCCTTTTTAATTCTTTAAATATAAGAATCAATTTAATTGAATGTTCATTTATTATTTTCTCATTTGATTGGAATCAATTTTTAAAATAGTAATTCGTGTTTATTTAATTAAAAATCATCTAATTTATTGGAATTAAAATCAATTATCTAATTCTGATTGAGTTTCTTTTCTTTTGGCTGTTGTTTTCTATTTTCTCAATAGATGTCAGAATTTTTTCTTTGTTATGATTGTTTAGTTTTTGTTGAAAGACTTTTATCATTACGTGTTAATTTTCTAAACCTTTGGTTATTTAATTTCATTTAAATTGTTAATTTTTAATTATTTTCTTAGAAAATGAACAATTTACTGTTTTTTTGTTTACTCACTTTTGCAATTACTGTTGCTCATTCCAGTCAAGATGGAACCAAAGCTAAAGGTCCAAAAGTGACTGATATTGTAAGTCTATTCCTCTTTTTCTAATTAATATAAATTTCTCATTAAATTCACTTAATTAATTCAATTTGTCATTCGCCAATTTCCAATGAGAAATCATCTTTCCATCTGCAAGTTTCATTGGGGTTTCCGATAAAATGGAAATAATTAAATTTTCATTGTAAATGTTTGTTCTCAGCTTAAAACACTATTCCTTGTGTTGTTGAGATCCTATGACAGAACCTCTTCTGCTTGTGATTCATTTGCTTATTTCAAACTTATTCATAGCTAATTGTAACTAATTGTAATCTTAATCAATATCTCTGTCTCTTTTCCTCAGGTATATTTTGATATTCAAATCGGCAATGAACCCATTGGAAGAATTGAAATCGGACTTTTTGGTAAAACTGTTCCTAAAACTGCAAAAAATTTCATTGGATTGGCTACAAGGCACAAAGATCAAGTATGTTGACAAAACTTCAAATTGTCTCATTAATCTAATCAATTGATGAGGAATAAAATTGTGATCTTTGTTTTCACTAATCTTGATAACTAATCTCTTTGTCTCTCATTAGCCAAGCTCTGATGGAAAATTAGTTGGATACAAGGGAAGTACTTTCCACCGAGTTATCCAAGACTTCATGATCCAAGGAGGAGATTTCACCAATGGTGATGGAACCGGTGGAGAGTCAATCTATGGCCGACGATTTGATGATGAAAACTTCAAACTCAAGCACTACGGTGCTGGTTGGCTTTCGATGGCCAATTCTGGTAAAGATACCAATGGTTCTCAGTTTTTCATCACAACCAAGAAAACTTCATGGCTTGATGATCGTCACGTTGTTTTTGGCAAGGTCATCAAAGGAATGGTAAGAAATAGTTGAAGCAAATGATTAACAACATTGTCAACTTATCGTTTAATTGAATCATTTTCAATTTTTCTCTCAGGATGTTGTTCGTAAAATCGAATCGACCAAAACAAGTAGTGGAGATAAGCCAGTTGAATCTGTTGTGATCTCTGACAGTGGTGTCCTTCCCGTTGAGGAACCTTTTTCCGTCACAAAGGATGATGCCACCGAGTAAAATACTCACAATCAACTGATCACAGGAATTGTTTCGTTCATACTTTCATTTCTGTTCAAGTTTCTATCAACTTCTTTCATTCCGGTAAATCTACTACAATTAGCCAATCAACCGAGAAAAATAATGCATCCTATGATTTTTTGATCGTAATTTGGGTAAAATAATAGACATTAATCAATTTTTAACACAAAAGCCAAACAATCAGTTTTCCTTAGAAAGTGATTCAGAAATCCAACTGAAATTCGGGTCACAATCATGATCAAAATAAACGCTCTAACCAAACCAATTTGCACTTGTTCTCAACATTGATTGTAAATTATTTTCGTGCCCTTTTTGATTAATAGCATGTAACTTATACTCACCTTTCTCTCTGTTGGTCCATTTGATGAATCTTGGACAATACTCTTTGTCCTGTAATAATTTTAGTAAAAATTCCCAAAGAAAAGTAGTTGAACCTTCACGAGACTTTCTCTTTGTTGAGCTCGGACATACACCGGCCACTCCTGGAGTTTGACCGGGACCAGTGAGGCTTTCAGGTGAACCTTTAGGCTTTCGTCCTTTCTTTTTCTTCATCAATGCCGATGCATTGTGATAGGAGAGATCTTCAGCTACACCGAGGCCTAATCCAGATGAACCAACAGTAATATCTAGTTAGTGGAGAAAAATTAAAATTTAATTAATTCCAATGATCATTATTAACCCATTCAATTGAAAAGGATCAAGTTATAAAAGATGATTAACTAATTAATAAACTTGTCTAATTATTTTTCCCTTTTTTTGTTATTCGATTATTACTAATTCAAAGTATTGGTAAACTGTTGTAAAGAGAATGAGATGTTGTTATATTATTTCAAATAATTAATTAGTCAATTCTAATTGCTATTTAGATCTAAATTACCAGAAAAGAAATGAATTCATTTGATACATCTTGAAGCCCGTAGTTTAGATTTCAAATAATCTCCCCATTCAGTTGATCAGCGATTTGTGACCCCAAGAATTGGACAGAGATTCATGATGATAGATTATAATTTTATTAATATTTCATTTGATTATATTTATAATTTGATACAAAGAAATTACTCTGATAGAAATCTTAGAAATTGATTAACGATTTCTAATCTTTCCAATACAATATTATGTAAATGAAGTTACAATGTGAACAATAAGATAATATATTTTTTTGTATAATAAGATTAGATTGAGATTATATAATTGTTTGAGGATAAGAATTAAGTAGATGAATTGATACCATTGTGATCAATTTTTTTTCTGTTCTTATTTCAAATAAGAATTGCCAATCATTTTTAGATGAATTGTATTTATAAGCTTTTTTGGTGTCTTTATCACAAAGAATTAGATCATCATTGTGATTCAATAATTCCAAGTTTTCGAAGGATAATTTCTCATCGATAAATTTTAATGTTCGCATCTTTGGGTTAGACACATCGCACTCTTGAAAGTCAAGTGACTCATCCAATTTGTAAATTGAATTGTTGATAATACAAGCGTGTGCCGATCGAGTCTCGGGGTCAGTTGAGAATAGGCTTTGGTCCATAACGGGTGATTGATAGACTAGAAATGTTTGAGATACGCGTTTACCATATTTCGAGGTGTTGTAGATTATGTGTTTACCAATTGCGTTGAATTTACCCTTGTGGTAAAGTATCATTTCAACGGCGTTCAATTCCTCCGATGATAGTGATTGAGTTGTATCGGGTTCAAGGGTTATCCATTTTCTTTCAAATTAACATTTCATTTCGAATCGATAAGATCAATAACAACAAGATTAGATTTAAGAAACATTTTCAATTGTTTTTGGGATACGATACGAATACTTACCCACTGCCAAGGGAAGATGGATCATCCATAATGTACTTGAACATTTGTCCATAGTACGAGTTTTCATCACCGAACATGTTGAGATATTTAAACTTTTTCTCCTTCCAATCTAAACGAATACCTTTGGTCCCAAAACCGTAAACGATATCGGTGATACTGTCATTGGTTATTAGATTGCAACAGAGATCATTTTTCAAAGTGAATTCACCACAATTGATCCAACGATTTGAATTCTTATAAGCTCGAAGTTGAATTACAGTTTCACTTAATTTATATATTGCAACGAGAAACTTGACTATGACTCGATTTTTTATTCCATCATTTGAGTTACTTGACTTTTCAACTTCGCCAATGTTACCATGATTGCTCCTGATCTTTTCCATGTCTTGTTCATTACAATGATTCCAACGGATACATTTCATCAACTGGTCTTTGTAAATTTTTCGTTCATCTTCATTCACTTGGATCCATCGGGTTATCGCATCAAACACTTGACATTCCGAGTCAATTATCAAATCCAGTTTACAAATGTATTCAATGGTTTCAGCTGAAAAGTTGAGAAAGGCTTGAGTATATGAGATTTGGTCGAAATGTCGATTAATGAAATGATTGATTATCTGTTTGTTAATCAGTCCAAATTGATATGGGGCATCAGTCACAGAAGATAAAGATTTAAGGACAGTTGGTAGTTTACAGATATTAAAATTATCAAGAAAATATCGGCTACAAAGAACTTGTAGATTGTCCATCATCAGATAATCAGCAACATGTAGAGTTGGGATCACGAGTTCCATGTTCAACATGAGATGGTCATTCATGACGTAGTCCAGAACATTATGAAAAGCATCCTCGTCGTGATCCACAGTGACCTTAGCTGATTTAGCTTCAATTAGGTCACAGCAGAACATTTTCTCGAAATAAGGAATCTCGGAACACAGAATTTTTTTAGACACATTGTAAGAATCAGATCGATTCACAATCTTAACAAGTTCTTCACCGTCCATATCGTTGAAAAGATACAATAGATTATACTCTGACATAATTTAGGTTAACATTGGAAATTAGAACGCAATCATTTCTAAAAAAAATCTTTTTTCTCTCGAATTCACTTGACACCAATAACCACCACTTCCTATACACTCTCGCAATCATATGTTTTTTTTGTTTACAAACAAAAAAAGTGACGAACAAGTGAAAAGCAGAGACATCAGGTAGCGAAAAGAGTTAATTAGGAACCTCGAAAATCGAAAAGCGCTTCATTTGTGCGTCGAGGCCTTTAATCCAGTTGAAATTCATTCAATCAACTTGCAGCGCAATCGAAAACGAAAATAATCAGCAAACATCTTAATCATCGACATTCCATATTTTATTAAATTGTCATAAATAACAACGACAGTTTGAATCGTTCCAATGTTGAAAAATAACAAATTGAATTTCGATTAATGTTCACAATTATCGCACTTTCTTAGCGGGAATAGTTTTGCACCAGATGACCAATGAATTTACGAAGACAATTTAAGGATCAATACAGAAGCCAAACAATCAGTGGTAATTCTAATTTGTAATTTCCTTAGAAAGTGATTTAGAAATCCAACTGGAATTCTGGTCACAATCAAAATAAATTCTCTAACCAAATAAATTTACAAAATTGATTTTCAATTCGGCAAAATAATTATGATTATTTACTCTGATTGTCACATTGATGAATTGGAAATTCCTGATTGATTTTACCTTTTACTCACATAATTCAAGAAAAACATGACTCAGATAATAAAAACGTTATAATTGTTATAATTTAATTTTTAAGCTTTAATCCGTCAAAAGGATTAATCTTAAATCATAAAGATGGCACAACAAATTGTTTTTGTGGTTAATAGATTTGGTTGTACAACTAAACCGAGTACATTACTGTAATTGACTAATTAAGGTGGTGATAATTGGTTTTGATTGTTCAGATACAATGAAAGGCACTGAGGTTGACAAATTGTCTGATCGTTTTGAGCTTTTGTCATTTTTGTTAAATTGATACAATTTATCCTAATATCAATTTGAATGACAAAATGATGTTCGCTTATAAATATACATTAGTGTAGGACTAATTACGTGGTTCAATCACAATAATTACATTAATAATAAATGGGAATAATAAAAAATTAAATGGCTAATTGCTGGTTATTGTTGATTTTAAGATGAAAGGCACAATGTTGGTGAATTGGCAATTGATGAGTTTATGGCGACGATAAATGATGATTAAAAAATGTTGCAAGTTGAGCTGAATGAAAACTTTTCAACTGCTTTGGACAATTAGTAGATTGAGAAAAAAAATTAGGCGTAACTACTGAAATAATTAACAAAAGATTAAACTTTTTTTCTTCCTTTGGTTTGTTGTAGGGCCTTTGTTATTATGTAATTGTAGTTTCACTATTTTCAAGTGTTGATTGCTCTTTGCAATAATCTAACTGGTGCAATTGTTAACACTACTGAGAATCCACTTGAAAAGTTTATGATTATCAAATTGTGAATAGATGTGAGGGTAATAAAAGATGACAATTTTCCTGGTGGCCGAGACTTTTCATTTCCAAAAATCTGTATTCACCTTGATTAGTGATTTTTTCACCCTTAATGAGGTGAGTCTCTTTGTGGGTATAGTGTTCCAACACTCTTCCATAATTTTGGAGATTCTTGCTATAACCTGGGTAAGAATAAAGGTAATAAAAGAGAGGGAGAGAGAGAGAGTAAACAAACGAGATTAGATTAGAAAATCATTAGATTCTTTTTGTTTAACTTACGGGATCACTTGACATTCGATCATTAATCATTGGTCTTTGCTCATCTAGACAAACAACTTTGGCCATATCTTCAAAGGTTGGATCACTTGGAACGATTCCTCCGAAAGGTAAACTGTAATCATCAACTTTACCATCTCGACTGATACACCGGCGAAGGACTTCCCATACCACCAGAGACAGTGAATAAATATCTGCTTTTTTATGACTCTCAAATTTACTTCCATCAAATGTATCGGACAAAATTTCTGGTGCCATGTATCGTATGGTTCCGACTTTATACTTTTCTCCATTGATTATTTTCTTTGTATCGGGAAAATAAGTAACAGCTAAACCAAAATCGGCAATACACACATTGTAATCATCTTTGACAAGAATGTTTTTAGATTTAAGATCACGATGTGCAATTTGTGGGGGAATATCTTCAGAGTGAAGATAATCTAGACCATTGATGAGACCAAGTAGAATGGATATACATTGATTCTGTCCGATGGTACAACGATTTAGATAATCATAAAGTGACCCTAGTTCATAGTATGTTGTCACCAACCATTGTTGTGTACACGAATCGATTGATGTACAGTCAGAGGTGAAAATTTCAAGAATATTTGAATGTTTGTTAAGTGAACGATATATTTCAAGTTCTCTTTTGAATAAATGTTCATCTCGAGTGTAGAAAACTTTAACTGCCACAGCAAATCCTTTCCAATTTCCTTGCCAAACTTCGGTTGATTTTCCTTTGTAAAATCTTCCAATAAGATTAATTTCTCGGGACAATGTTCTCGAAGTTAAAAGCGGCATTCCAAGACCCGATCCAGAGGTTTCAGAGACATCATAGTTTTGGAAATCTTCTTTGTACTCTTTTTTACAAATTTCCGAATCAATTGAGTTACTTTTGGTTTTCTTAAATCGCCTGAGAAGGTAAAAAGAAAGTATGATTAAGACTGATGCCAAGACGAGAGAGACGAAAGCACCGATTAAAAATATCTCGCGAGTATCCAATTTAAACGTATCCTCCTCGAACGTGAGAGGTGTTTGTATCTTGTCGTTACAAAAATCCGAATAGCAACACCTTGTCACAAACCAGGAATCATCAGAGGTTCGATTGTGATTACATTGAAGTTTGGCATGAATTTCATTCTTGAAACAACCTTTCTTTGTGCTGGTCGTTCCATTGGAATAACTCATCACAAATTCCCAACAAGCGATGGCATTGACACATTTGGTATTCGGTTTTAGACAATTGGACTCTTCACAAGCTAAACATTGTAATAGTTGCATATTCTTAGTTTCGAAACAAATTAACACACAAAAACGCGACAAACAATTTATTTAACTTTGCAAACAAAACTAAACCAGAAGAAAACAAAAGTCAGAAGATTCAAAGTTAGTAAACGAATGGATCGGTAGATGGAGCGAACTACAATTTCTTCTGACGAGTTTACGTGTAAATAGCTGTTCTTTTGCTATTCTCACTTCAATCTCTGTGAGAATAACGTTTAGTTTTTGAAACTTTTTCATTTCTTTTTTTGGATTATTATTATTATTTAATTGTTCTGACTTAATTAATCGATTATTTAGCTTATCGATTGGGTTTGTTTATGGTTCAGTTAAGATCAGTTTGTTGAGACTTTCAAATGATTTGAAATAAAAGTTTTTAATAAAAAAGATGCAATTAGTTAATTATACAAATTATAAGTTAATAATAATCAAAAGATTTGATTAGTTTTGGCTGATTAACAAAAATTAGAGTTGGTTAAATTTGAGGAAAAAGATTTTGTTTTTACTCTAAGTAACGTTTCTGTTAATTAATATTCTTAATTAGTAAAGGTAAGAGAGGAAAAGAAAAGGAAAGATGAAAAAAGACAAAAATTAAATTGTTGCTTTGATTATCTCCATTGGTGTTAATTGTTATCGAGCCAGCTCGTGATTTAAGTGAAAGCCCACATCAGTATATCGGGTAATCGGGTGTTAATTAATCAGGACAGTTACTTGAGTCATTCTGCTTATCCAAAATTAATAATGTCTTTGCTGTGGACTAATAATAATAAGATGTAACAATCAGGTGATCAGCTATCACAATTTACGTTTATTAAAGGGAATGATAAACAATTAATGTTATCTACTTACTAATATTGTTGTGGATAATATTGGGGGAAATGTTCGTGCTGAGATCGAGCCAATAAAACACCAAGAATTATCCCTTTGAGGAACTTACGAGTTCCAAAGGACTCAACAGTTACCATCAAACTGTAAACAATAAAAAGCATAACAATTAATCCTCGTTTCAACATTTTGATTGGAATTTGATTTTTGATGATTATTTAAACCAAATTATCACTGATCAATAGAAAAACACGATTGACAAATCAAGTTGACAGTTTGAGATTGGAAATTGAAATGATAGTTGAAAGTTAGTTATGAATTGATGATTTGATGATTTAATCTTAAATTTGATTAGGTGATGATGACGATGAAGCCTTTTAATTGAAATAATATCATTAATTAAATTAATCAACCATTCAGACCAAGCACATCGATGATTGTAATTGTTATGTCGAAATGTTGGCAATAATTAATAACTTCATCATCTTATGATGCTATTATACTAATTATTTGATAAAATTGAGAAAGTGATTTATTTTTAAGAAGATATTTTCAATCGTTCATCAGTTGATCAATTAGAATTGAGGTCACAAACTGATTCACTTGCCAATTTATAATTATAATTTAATTAAACAATCAATGCTAATTAATAAAAACAAGTGAGAGTTAATTGTGAAAATCAGTAGACCAACAGATTAAACAAATTAATAGTAGTCAATGTAGGGTCAATCAGGCGAAAATCAATCATCCATAATTTAATCCGATCCGATGAGAGTCAAACATACCATTAAATCACTTCCTATCGATAATTAATCAACAATCAATACGATTAAGCAATAAAAAATGAACAGAACTTTTTCTGAAGACAAAGACACATAATTAAAAAGCGAATCGATTTAAATCAAATTGACCATTTGAAACAAATCGAAAATATTTGTGATCGATTGACTAGAGATTCCCGAAAACTTCTGTACCCTCGATTCTTAAGTTTATCCAATGAATATCTATCATTAAAAGTTTGGCAAGTTTTGTTTGGAATTATGGCCAACCATTTTTCTGTCCATAGAGATATGATTTAGAATAGATTCTCCTGATTCTACCATTTAGTTCTTATTGTCCAGCTAATCATTTGCATCTTCAGTTTACTCGATTCCATCTTTAGAGTACTGGTCTCACGAAATTTATTCATCTAAATAAACATGAACTTCTCATCAATGTTTCGAGTGAATGAAGGAAAAATCCACTGATTTTCCATGAAAATTAATGAATTTCATGAGATATAATGAAACATTTAAAACGATAACAATTGTCTAGTTCGAGATAACTTGTTTCAAGTTGCTTTTGTTCAGATTGACCTGATAGATCAACTGTTAAACTCTGATAATATGAATTGATTATCATGATGAATAGAAAGATAAATTCTATTGTTTGAATTGGCATAGAATAGAAAATGATAATGATCTTAACCAGAGTAAGAAATGAAGTCTCCATTTTCCATCTTTCCACTGGGAATACATAGAGAATGGAAAAGACAATTAAATACGATTGACTGGTTTAAATGCTTCGATCTGAATTTAGGTTTGTTCATCATTAATGAGGAAAAGACCGAAGGGTGATATATAGAAAGATATTAATAGATATTGATTAACTAATAACATAATCAAATGTAATTACGCATGAACAGAATAGAGTTGAATACAATAAAGGGTCCATTCGCCATCAAAAATGAGGTTTTAATTGTAATTTATAAGAGAGAGGGAGAGATAAAGGAGAAAGGGAAAGGGAAATGGAAAAGAAAGTGAGGAAAAGGAAATAAAGAGTGAATACGATTAATGGTCAGTCGTGAAGAAATGAATTGATGAAGTGATGAGAAGATTTAGAGAAAAAATTAGATCAAAAAAACAAGGAACAGAATATGATCAAAAACGAAGAAAGACAGGATGGCAAAGTTGAAGAATTTTACAAAATCGAAAATTCAAATAGACAAGGGATTGGGTGTGATTAGAGGTGATAAAGGTTATTATTTCCTTGTAATTTCTTGTTTCGTTTTTTAGTTGATGAAAACTATGTTAGAATATGGCCTTTCTCTATTTGGGCGCATTTCTAAAAGAAGAATATTTTAGTAGATGAAGAATGAAAAGGATGAAGAGAATATGAAAGGGTTTAGATTTAGAAGTGATTTTTTGAAGGAAAAATTATTGATTAGAGAAGAGAGAGAGAGAGAGAAAGAGAAAAGTGAAAAGAATTATGAGTGAGCGAAAGAGAGTGCGAAATAGAATAGAAGACGAGGAAAAATTGTTAGAGTCGAAGAGAAAATGTGACAAAAATTTATGACGAGATATTATCACTGCGGAATAATGTTAACTGTGGCGCCGAGAATGTGTTTCTCAATTATTTGGCTGAGTCGATCCAGATCCATCATTTCCAAATGATCTTTTGTTTCTACTTCGTCAACTTCGGGTTTAACAAGTAGATCGAAATTATTCTCATCCTCCTCTAATTCACTTTGCTCATTTTCTTTAAGTATCGGTACCCAGCATTGGCCATTGTCCTCCACGTTGACCTGTACTTTCCAAGTGACATTTTGCAGTTTATCGAGCTGCTTGAGTGCATCGAGAACACACTTATTCGTGAATGCATCATTTGTTGAGAAAGTCAAATCTTTCAGATTTAACAAACGAGTTTTAATCGTTTTTGCTAAGAAATTTAGAGATTGACTTGCGTCAGGCTCAATTTTTAGATTTTCTAATTGTAAACTTCTTAAATTGACCATCTCTTGTAGAGACAGAGGCATAGAATTAAATGTATCATGGAGAGTTAAGTTAACTAATTTAAGGTGTTTGAGTTGTGTTAATTTACTAAGATATTTGTAAACACCTTTCAATTTAATTACGGGCTCATTATCTCGTTGATTATCAATTAATTCAATTTCTCTTCTCAGTTCTTCTTCTTCTTCTTCTTCTTCTATTCCCTCTGTATCAACTGGAACATCTTGATGAGTTTCAGTAATAATACAATTAGCGGTATCGTCAGGTACGATCGCCTCGTCTTCTTCTAACTCTTCTTCTTCCCAGGTTCCATGTGTCCGTATTGATGATCGAGTTTGTGTTGTGACAATGGTGGAGGTGATGGAGATAATGATAGTGATGATGGTGGAGATGGAGATTGTGATAGAGATGGTGATGAAGAAATAGATGATTTTGCGTCACTAATATTGGCCCAACTCGCGCAACTTCCAATCTCAAGACTGTTAAGGTTCTTGAGATGACTTAAGAAGCTAAACTGTTCTAATGTGAATCCTTTTAAACTTGTCATCGAAAGTGATTTGAGATTGGTCATGGGAGCAAAGATTCGGTCTAGAAGGTCAGAATCTCCGGGGCTAACAATAAGACCATATTTACAATCGACCCGAAGATGCTGAAGTGATGATAAATACGCAATATTTTCTAATATGGACAGGTCACAAATTGAATATAGGAAATCATCTTCGTAAAGATGTCTGATTGAGAGAGTTTCCAGATTGCTAAATGAATTGTAACAATTCTCAGTGACCGCTGCATTGATGATCTCTTCGACTACAGATGTTGGTACCATTCCAAATTGAATGTGCTTTACTGACTTGAGATAATCTGTTATTGTGGAGAAATTGCTCCACATTTCGTTGTGATCATTACCTAGACATTTAATACCGTCGAAATTGATACTTTGCGTAGCCATTGGTTCAACAATGTTCCTACCAAAATACTGCCAGTCCTTGATGGCCATATCTTTCAATGTAATCTCTTGCCAAAGTACTGTTTGTGATGCTAGACGGTTGAAGGTACGACTGGTCAGTTTAACCTTAATCAAATCTCGTGTACTCAAATGTTGAAAGATTTGGTTTAAGCACTCATAGCCGCTGGATAGGACATTGAATTCAGGCTTGATTTTGGTCAAATTTTTTCGACATTTGTTGATCCTCAAGTTCAGTATTTCAGCTATTTCACTAGCAGTATACCTGATTGGGGCAATCGGTGCCAGTGGAATAGGTGGTAGGCGAGCCTCTGTTGAATCTACACGCCGACGCTTATAAAAGGCTGCTGGATCATGATAACCTGAGAAGAAACCATTTTAGAAAAAGACAAACTTTAGTAAGGAGAACAATAAAAGAAAAATAAAAACTGGAGAAAAAAAGTTCATGCAAATAAAAGGAAAAAAAGGCGAACTGAAACGACGATGACAGGATGAGTTACCTGACACTCGATTCAAATCTGAATGTAAATTAGAGGAGAGAGACATGTTAGTAAGAGCTGCATCTGATCGGGATAGTAGTTTTTTAGTGTATCGTGAATAACTAGAGTGATCAGGGCAATTTAGATGTTGAGATTGGTTCAAGAAGAAATTCGCAGCTTGTGGTAGGCTACCGTAGTTTCTTGACTTGAAACCGAGTTTCAACATGGAAGAAGCAGAAGCAGATAAATTATCGCCTTTATGCCTAAAATTCATACCAGTTGCAAAAGCTTCAGGTTCTCCCATTAATCTTCCATTCATGAGACCAATGCATTCTCCAACATCATTAGGTTGAACACAATTCTATTTGAACAAAGAGAAGACAATGAAAAAAAAAGATTGTGAAAATAAAAAGATTGTAATTAGACAATGACACAAAAAGAGAAGCATAGAAATTATCAACAAAAAACATAGACAAATAATCAACCAGAAAAACACATAGAGTACCAGCAATGACAGCTGAAGAACAAAATGTTATCGATTTGATTTGCATCAAACATGTGCTTCATTAGATGTTTTGACGATGCTGGAGATGTGGTGCGTTTTCTAGAAAAAGCTTTAGATCGGAAGAATATCGAGAAAAAGAAAAGAACTTACTGGACAGACGAAGCTATGAGAATTATCCAAAAATATTCCGGCAGGTACACACTCGGGATGGTAGAGACATAAACATCGGTCGCAAAGGAGAGTTGGTATTATTCCCTTTTTACCGAAACACATGATTGAACAAGGAGCAGGATGAAGCATTGGAGGTAAATTTTTGAGAATATCTTCAGGAATACTATCTATTATGAAGTCAACTATATCTTTTTCAGGATCTTTTTTGTCCTTTTTTCCACTTTTTCCATTTTTTTCGTGTTTATTTGACACCTTAGATTTGGACTTTGTTGTATGAGTTGGAGTTTTAGATTCGACAAATTCACTTCGATTAGTTTTAACAGATGAAACATTCCTTGTATTTTCCGGTGAGCCTATTGGTGTCACAGTAAATGAGCAATGTAATATATCATCAGAATAATTCTCGTTATTTTCCATGTAATCTTTATCATTGTCAGTCTTTTTGGGCAAGGATTTGGTTAAAATAATTCTCTTATTATCAGGTTTAATTGATTTGTCCAGTTTGGCAGATGATTTTGACTTTTTCTTTTTTGTAATTTTCACTTTAGGTTCTATTCGACTACGAGGTTTCTCAGAATTATTATTATTACTGTCATTTTTATTACTATTAGCGTGACCATCAGAACCTATGCCATTCACAATTTTCACTTTCACAGGATCTTTCAAATTTAATTTCAGTGGCTTTTGATTTGTCTCTGGTTTACTTGGCTTTTCATTTTTCGACTTAGTTTTCTTCTTTGAATGAGATGGGGGCTCAGGTAAATCACCATCATCCTTAGCCTCGACTGTAGAAGATGAATGATTATGTGAACTCTTTGATAAACCACCATTTAATCCAGTTGTTTTAATAGGTGACTCCTTATGGTTTGTTGAGACAACATTGTTGGTTTGATCAGATCTATTTGTTGAACCACTTTCAATAATCTTCAATCTTTTTCTTGGTAATTCATTCACAATCTCTTCCTGCGAAACTTGTCCCAAATAATCTCCAACGTCCAGTGTTGGCATCACCGAAGGAATATATTGGAAAAGTTCATCAGGAATACTTTCACTGAAACTATCAATTATTACGTCGTTTACATCATCTGGCTCTTTGTCACCTTTGTCGTTTTTGTCTGTTGTCTTATCTAATTTCTCATTCTTTTCACTTTTCTCTTGTTTGTCTGATCTCTCTGATCGAGTTCTAGACCTTTGTTGATTTGGTGAAGTCACTTCAGAATTTTCATTCCTTGTCCTTGGATTAGCTTGTCTAATAATCTCAAATGGTGAACGGAAAATAGGTTGTCGAGCAAAAGTGAAATTTTCTGGTTCGAGGTCACACTCGGGATGGCGGTTAACTAAAGAGAGAGCGACAGAAGAAAGAACATGTTTTAGTTGTGTGTTAATGGAAAAAGTGTGTCCACATTATGAAGATTAATCTTTGCTTTGTAATGAAAACAATACTTACGATAAAGACCAATTTCCACATATGATCTAAGTTTAACATTTTTCTCTGGTGAAAAATAATAAATGTCTACAATTTTTTTGCCCGAATTTGTATGAGTAGATCTGAGAACAATCTCTCTTTTCCAGCCGAGCTTAAATGGCTTCCTAAATGCTTCAAGTTCAATTTGACTGAAGTTCTTTGATTTAAGACCGGTCTTATCGGACCAGCCCGAGTCGAGGTTGTTGCACGAATCGAAACAGTTTTCACTTGCTCCATGGGAGCCATCACTGTTATTGCTGGTGATCATGGTGGTGTGGATTCCAGGTTAATGTGAAGAGCAACAATGATTACCTTCAATCAACCTCGGAGACACACTTTAGGTTTATTATGTTACCAAAATACTAGAAAAAAAGAGATGATAATTAAGTTTCAGATAAATGGTCGCTTTTATTTGCTTCCACTGAGAATAACCAACTCTGATATTAATAAAAATTTAAAAAAAACAGGAGAAAGAGACAGAGGAAGGAGAGAAGATGAAGCGGAAAAATAGAGTGAGTGAGAGAAACAGAGAGAGTGAGAAAGAAAGAAAATAGTAAAGAGAATGAAAGAGAAAAGAAGAGCGAGAGTACGAATGAGAGATGGAGAGAAAAAGATGAATAAAAATGAGAATAGAAATAAAGACAGAAGAAAAGAAAGAGAGTGTAAAATAAAGATAGAGAGAGACAGAGTGAGAGAGAGAGAGAGAGAGAGAGAGAAACAAGAGAAAGAGAGAAGAACCAAAAAGGCAACAGAAACACACTAAAAACACACTTATCACTTGAAACAATGGTCAATGTTGATGATCAATAAATTGACAAATTGATGAAGATGAAGAAGATGAATTTGAAATTGGAGAGAAAATTAGATTTAAATAGAAATTAGATGTTTCCTGGTCAAATCAATCAGCGAATTGATTGAATCAATAATTAGTGGGTTAATTATGAAGTTGAACATCTCTTTTGTATTAAAAAAGAGAAGAGAAAGAAAATCAAATTGAAGTAAAAAAATTGAGAGAAAGAGGAAAAGAAAGAGGAAAAGGTTTTCTCGTTGAGCGAATCCAAGTAAGAGACTCGGATTCGCTTTTGGATTCGAATAAAAGTAATTAAGTAGTAATCGATAATCGATTCTTTTAATTTTCACTTTTCTCTTTAAAATGCAGAATCACAATTAACTGCGATTCGGTGGAAAGATGAAAATCAACACAAAAGGAGAGAGAAAAAAGAACAGATTCAAGTACATCAACCATGCTTTCTGTTTCTTATCTCTCATGGAACATGTTTCAGGTCTTACCTGAAGCACGATATTGAAAGAGATTAGAGAAAGTGAACAAAATAAACAAACAGGTAAAGAAAGAAAAGAAAGAGAAGGCGGGAAGAAGTAAATGATTTAGGAGAATGTTGGTCAATTCTTTTAATAGACAAAAGTGATTTTGTTCAGTAAAATAATGTTCGTTTGTTGAGGACAATAATTTAACAATTACGATTCTCTTTGTCTCTTACAAAATTTCATCAATACTAATTAAAGTTTATCTTCAATTAATAAAGGGATTCATTAGAAAAGCATCACAAAGAATCTCGATCCAAGTATCGGATCTTCACAATAACCGAATTGGAACAAGTTTTGGCGGTTATTTCGTTTTGAAAAATTTGGAAAACAAAAAATTGATTGTTACTTTTTACAATTAATTTCAATTTTTCATTTTGTATAAATTATTATGGAAGTGTTTCTGTGTTCAATTGGTGTTGGTTTAAGTTACAATGGATCCACATGATAAACTATATTTGATAGATGTTTTTCCTTTTTGCTTAATTAACATGAAATTGAAGTTTACCTTTGCTTTTTTTCATGGACCTCTGATTTGTATTTATAATTAAAATTTTGTTCTTCATTAGTCAATTTTGATTTTGGAAGATAAATTGTCAAAATTGACTAATAATCAGCTGTCAATGTTTGCAAGTTATACTCTTTTAATTGTGTGCATCTTTCATGAAATTAATCAGATTGAATATTTGAGCATCAGTGAAGCAATTGAAAAAAAGAAAACGTAAACAATCAATATGTAATTGGAAGTCTATTTAAAAAAGAGAGTAATTTAGTCTCAATATCAGGCAAGTTTTCACGGAATTGTTTAATTCAATGAATTAATTTGAAAGCTCTCGAGGTAATTTTGGTGAATGATGATAATTGATGTCCTTGAAGACGATTATGATGAGGATGAAGATGATGTGAATGATGAGGTTTATCAGGTTGTTGTGCTAATCATCACAATGTTGTCTAATAATCAGTAAGCACCTTGTGACTATGTGATTGTTGTTGTTGTTGTTTTGGTTTTACTTTTGTTGTGATTGCTGATGAACAAGATGAACAAGATGATGGCGATGGTGGTGATGAAGATGATGGTGATGGAGATGGAGATGATGGAGGAGTTGAATGTGGAGATGGTGTTGAGATTCTTGATTTATCATTGTAATCGGAACAACAATGAACTTTAAGACGACCAATGTGAGCGTTACACAAAGGACAAATAAACAATTTGGGAGCAACGATTTTTAATTTTCTACAATAAAGTTCTCTGAGTCGTCCTTTCCAATTAAGGCCACTTTCCAGTGTTAACCATTTCTCTAATCTTTGAGTTTTACCGAATGTGTAAGTGTGCACAAAATGTCTCGGTCCCCAAGAAGGAATAATTATTCCATTAACAATATTATTCGAGCGTGTTATCCGACCTTTGCTTGCAGGTCGAGGTCTATTGACTTCGGTCAAAACATTACGAAGGATATCACGGTCACCAGTTGAACAGAATTTCTCGTGCCCAAGATATAAATCACTCATGGTAAAATTAAATTTACTATCTGGCAAACGAACCAATAACTTTTGTCCCAATATAGAACACAGTTCAATCTTGATTATTGTATCATGAATATATTTCTGAGTCCTCCGATTTCTTTCAGGTTCATGCGAGTGACCATTATGATTATTTATTATTGTCGAGCATGTGAATGTCGATGTTGATTTACTGATGGCATTTCTAATGAATTCTAAAGGCGGACGATAAATTGGTTGTCGGACGAATGTGAAATTTTCTGGCTCGAGATCACAATCAGGGTGACTGTCAACTGCAATAACAATAAAGAAGAAGATAAGATAAATAATATTGCTGAAAAGGGTTATGTTAGAAAGAAATGTTCACTTTCTTTTTTCTCTTCAATTCTTTACGATGAGAACAAAAAAGAAAAATACTCACGGTAATGACCAATTTCCATGAAAGATCTAAGTTTAATATTCTTGTCTGGTGAAAAATAATAAATGTCTACAATTTTTTTGCCCGAATTTGCATGAGCAGATCTGAGAACAATCTCCCTTTTCCACCCGAAATCAAATGGCTTCCTAAATGTTTCAAGTTCAATTTGACTGAAGTTCTTTGATTTAAGACCGGTCTTATCGGACCAGCCCGAGTCGAGGTTGTTGCACGAATCGAAACAGTTTTCACTTGCTCCATGGGAGCCATCACTGTTATTGCTGGTGATCATGGTGGTGTGGATTCCAGGTTAATGTGAAGAGCAACAATGATTACCTTCAATCAACCTCGGAGACACACTTTGGGTTTATTATGTTACCAAAATACTAGAAAAAAAGAGATTATAATTAAGTTTCAGATAAATGGTCGCTTTTATTTGCTTCCACTGGAGATCACCAACTCTATTGATATTAATGAAATTGAAAAGACAAAGACTGAAATAAATAAAAGGCCTTAGACAAAGTGGGTTGAATATTTTGGTTTTATTTAAGCTAATGTTCCGATTTATAAATCGATCGCCACCGATCTTTGACGCAGAATAATTGATCGATTCTTGGGCTTTTAGGAGATCGATCTCAAGAACCACGAAACTCTTGACCAAATTTGGAAAAGTTGAGATTTGCAAGATGAATGATCTTGGAATTATGAAATGCGTAAAAACTGAGAAAGTAGTTGAAGAAAACGAAAAGAATCTCCTGCTTCTTATTCACCGCGAAATTTGATTTCAAATCAGGATCAATCGATCTTGAAAGAAATCGATCTCTAAATCTATTTGCTAAAAATCAGAGATCGATTCGTCTCTAATCTAAGTCATTGACTTTCATCAGAGACATTACACTCATTTACCAAATGCCTAAACAATTGATAAACCAGCTAAGAATCTACTGCAACTTAAAGCTATTTCTTGGCTAGAGGAGAAATGATGTCCCAGTTACAGTCAGACCCCTCATATTTGGTTGTTTTTAAGCTTTAACAGCGACCTCGGAGGAGGTTTCGATCAATTGAAATTCATCGTTTCCGGCAAATACGACTGTACAAGAGATAAAGAAAAAGCGACAAGAAAGGGAATAAGGGGCGAAGAAAGAAAAGAAAAGAAACAATACAATACAATACTTAACAAATTTTCTCCTCTGAGGTCGAATACAATTTTGAGATTGTTGATTTCACCCACTTGCTCACGATCAAAATTAAATCAACTAATTATGTCGATCAATCGATCAACTGAAACTTGATTTGAAATAAACGTGAAAACAAAGAGTCAAATAACGTTAAACATTGACTTGTACATCATCAACTGGATTGATTTATTAACAAAGATATTGTTTTAAATTAGCAAGAAAAGTGTTTACGATGAAAAGGTGAAAATTAACCTTATTGGTCAATTTGAAGTGACCGTTAAGTTGGTCTTTGCGCTATTAACAAAGAATGAAGTGGCTAAGTTAGTCATCAATTTGCGGGATAAGAGCTAAGGAGCATATGGAGGATCAACAAAGGAAAAGATAGAGTTTATAGGTTATGCTACCAGTATGAGATATCAAAGAATCAAGTGTAGTAAAATAATTAAGATTAGAGATGTTGGCAAGGAAAATATAAACATCTCGTCTCCTTGAAAGAACGTGATGGAGACGAAGATGGAGATGAAGGTGAAATAAAGGAGCATAGCACCTGTAAGGTGCGGTATAGGTTTAAGTTCACTTAAACTTGATTGTTTCAACCATCGCCAACTCTTTCAGGTCACAGATTTTTTTATCACCACTAACACCATGTCTGATTCAATCACCTACTGGGGTGATAAATTTATCGCCGCTGGCGTGTCAGTCACCACCTGGGATCTCATCACCACGACAACCTCGAGTGATCCCATTTTTGGCCTTATCGACCCCGAAGAGGACGATCTAATGTTATCTCTCTCCATCCCAGATCCAGAATTCACTGTTGAATTCGATTCAGATGATGAATTTGAATCTAATTCAACATTGAATTCAGTTCAGACTATTAGTTCACCTTCATACTCATGGCCAGAATCGGCCGGAGAAGGAGAGAGCAAACATGCTGTTTCCTCGAAGAAGAAAAGAGATGATGATGATAATGATTATGATGTTGATTATGATGTTGATTATGATGTTGATTATGATGTTGATTATGATGTTGATTATGATGTTGATTATGATGTTGATTATGATGTTGATTATGATGTTGATTATGATGTTGATTATGATGTTGATTATGATGTTGATTATGATGTTGATTATGATGTTGATTATGATGTTGATTATGATGTTGATTATGATGTTGATTATGATGTTGATTATGATGTTGATTATGATGTTGATTATGATGTTGATTATGATGTTGATTATGATGTTGATTATGATGTTGATGATGATGATGGAGAGAAGATGAAACTTTTAATAAAAAAGATTTGGTTTGATCATGACGATTTTTGGCTCCTCAAATAAATGATTTTGATTAAATTTTGTTTTTAATAATTATTTAATTCGGGGTAGCATGATGTGACTCCTCCTCTTTCACATCATGCTACCTACTATTTCAAATAAAAGTTCAATGTTTTCAATTGATGCTCTTGTTGACTAAACTAAATTGTTGCGATTTATTGAGTAAAACTAAGGTGATATTAATGTTACCAATTGTTGATCTAACCAACAGAGATAAAATTTAAGAATATAATTTAGTTACAAATGCCATTTAGAGATATTTTGCAAATACTTCCGAATTGATGTTAATTGCTTGGTTATTTTGATTGTCTAAAGGCCAAAAACGGTTAAATCATTAGGTATAACACTGAGAAAGATTAAAGAATACAATTGGATTATCAATCTATTCAAAGGCTGAGAAATGAAGAAGAGGAAATTGTATCAAATTACCAAAACAAAAGTAAAACAGTTACGTTAATTTAAGTAGTTAGCAAAACTTTCCAAAAAATATTACGACGCAATATTAGTGCGAGGGGATAAAATGATGATGAAAAAATAGCAACAGGCTTAATGGTATTATAACTTCCCTCCTCACCATAATGCTATTATTTTTACTTTTTTCTGATTTAATTTTGTCGTATATTTTAGTAAAATCCATTTTGAATATACACTCCAGTACCCACTTAAGTTTTTTATTATTGTTTTTGCCCTATTAAGCGATTAGAGGAGCTTAATGGCGCTCTCCTAGACCATAAAAAAATTGTTTACATTTTTGAAATCGGGGGTTTTATAATTTTTCAGCTGGTGTGCAAGCCAGGATTGAACCCGTGTCAACGAAGGTAGCGTTCAAACGTCCTTTTGAGGTTGTCGTGTGAAAGAGCAAATCAACCCACTCCTTAAACTTTATTTGTAAGTGTCTGTGATACACGGATTAGAAGATAGGTGAAATGAATTTTCATTTACTAATTTAAGTTTTAACTTTTTAATCCTTTCAAAACAAAGGTTAGAGAGAGAATAATCATTATGTATATATTAGATACACTTTATGTTCTATTGAGCATCATCATGATCATCATTATCATCATTATCTTCATTATCATCATTATCACGAAAGTGATCAACTTAAATTAATCACCAGACTGTGACCTGGCCATGGTAACCTATGGTCACAGTCTGGTTAGCAATTATTTTATTACATAGGCATGTTTCAATCTGAAAACACTTCAAGAACCAAGTTTATAAGAAAAGTCTGTATCGCAGCTGCCTTTTGAAGGAATATCGTCAATGATGATCACCTTCGTTAAATAATCCCAATGACCTTGAAAATCGTAGTGTCGAGCGCTTCATTTCTGATCAGTGCTCTGATCAAGTCTGACATTCATATGACTTTTAGTTTTGGAGATATTCAGTGTAATAGCCGTAGTGGATAAAAAAACGTCCTGTATTAACTTAAGTGGGTACTAGAGTGTAGTTTTGTTTTTAATTAATCAAGAATTTTTATTCTGATTAATCATAGTTAATCATATTTATTTTCAAAAACCGTTTCTTTAATTACCTTTGATGAGTCCAAATTTACCGTGCGTGCTAAAATAGAGTGGTGGCGTTTGAAACTAAATAATTTTGAAACTGGTTTGTTTTTTTGGCCAATCACACTCAATACATTGCCTGAGGGCTAATATACGAGTTGATAAAGTCAAATGGAAAAATTTTTTTGCTAACATAAAACTGGTGCAACCTGAAAAGGTAAGTTTTGAGGCCATTAATGTTTTTTCCGATTTCGCGTTTCTATTTACATATTTTTTGCTGCTTAAAAGCTAGTATTATTAATATAAAGTGTGATAACTCAACAAATTCTAATTTAATCAAGTGAAAGTGATTTTTAATCAGTGAAAATTGTTACTCAATTCATGAAAAAGAGTTTATGGTTTTTGAATATGCCAGAACAAGCAGAATTATCGATTCTGGGGTTCAGAGTGGCCAAAATTTAGCATTGAAAATTCATGGCATCCTGACAAGGTGACCGTATAAATTGGAGTTTGTTCGGAAAAAGTAACTCCAGTGACATTTATTGACGGCACAGTTAGCGTTGTAACCTACACCAACCTATTGAATGAAAAATTCGGACCTTGGGCTAATCGAAACGGCTTCTGGTATCAACAAGATGGCGCTCGACCTCATCGAACGAATGAAGTCTTCGAAATACTCAATAAAAACTTCGGACCAAGAGTAATCGCCTTAGAATGTTATCGACATTGCCAAGCAGGAATTGACTGGCCAGCATATAGTCCAGACCTCAATCAATGCGATTATTACCTATGGGGTTACCTGCAAGACCAGGTTTATCGTAAGGATCCAAAAAACGTTGGTGAACTTAAAGCTGGTATTGAATCTGCCGCTCAAAGTATCCGCTTAATGCTGTTATTCGCAACTTTAAGAAACGTCTCGAGTTTGTTATCTCAGGTGAAGGTTGTCATTTTGAGAACATTTTATTATTACTTTCTAATGTTGTAGCTTTCATTTAAACAAGTTTGAAGAGAAAAAAAATTCAGCCTTAAGATTATATAATTTCAAACGCCGCCACTCTATTTTGGCACACGCTGTATTTGTTTTTTCTTTTTGTTTCTTTTTTTTCTCTCTCTATGATTGTAGCTTCTGTTTCTTCTTCGCTCCCTCGTTTTCACTCTCCTCATCCTCCATTTTGTTGTTACTACCAGATGGCATTACGCTACACTCCTAAATGTTACATTTATATGTATTTGTGCGAATTTTGGAATAAATAAAATATATATCTTTGTGGAATAAAAAGAAAGTTTAAATAAATACAACGTTCTCAAAGACTTTTACCCCCTAGGTGTAATTGATGACTTAAACTGAAACAAGTATGGCGACCCTTCTGAATGCGATAGTAAAGTAGAAGTGCTTGATTAACAAGGTTTACTAGAAGTTCTTACAAAAGTTAACTATAATCTATTGATTATTGATAAATGTGAATTGTTTGAGCCATTTAACTCTAGCTTCTTTACCGTTTCGAATTTTTTTCTTCTAATATCTATATCTATTTGTAATTAGTTTTCAATTTCCTTAAATAAGAATTGTACCTTATGTATTGTTTAAACAATAACAACAACAATATTACCATCGAGAAGGAAAAGACACCGGTCAAAACGATTCGATTTGGCTTAAAATGAACATTGGAATAACGTAAGCTATAAATCTTTTACTCGTTACTATTATGTCCAGCAATGAATAATTATTAACTAATAATCACCACATCACAATGTTTATTTGTTGAAGAAATCGAGTAGCTACTGAAGCTTTTAAAATCGATTAATCAATATTGAAAAGAAATCATATACAATCGAATTGATGAACCATTCGATGACATTTCATTATATTCTCCAGTGAAATATGGGATATTAACAAAGTAATCAATAAGTTGACCTGATTGTTGAGATGAAAACATTTTGAGTTATAATGTTTTAATTATTAAAATTAAAACTTCACATCAGACGTTACTTGTGGTAGTTTGCCAATTCTCATTGCCAATTGGCAGTAAATTTATTTTTCAGAGAGAGAGAGAGAGAGAGAGGGAGCGGAAATTGAAGGGGAAGACAAGGTGATTTGGACCAGGTACTAAACTAGTTTTAGTACCTGGCCAAAGCTGTTATGACAAGCGTAGGCCAGAGAAAGAGAGAAGATAAGAGAGAGAGAGGATATGTCTTAACAACTTCGACCAGGTGAATAAACTTGTTTATCCACTTGGTACCATCATCATCATTAATCAAATTTCTCCCTCTTTCTCTGTCCCTTCTTTATCGCTCACTCGGCTCCATATCTTCACCCTCGTCCTTCATTTTCTTTTTCACAAGCCAGTTGGCAATTCCTTGTCGATCCAAAAAGTTAATGTTTCACCTTACATATACCTTTGTACGCTCTACTATTCAAGGATTGATCTATATCTATTAAAGTTAGTCTAATTAAAGTTCATTTACGTTAAAAGTTATGAATTAGTGATTGTGGAAACATTTTTGGTGACCATCTTGTCGTGATGAAATTGATAATTACTTGGTATTCCGAGTGAAATTTGTTTACGATTCTTATTTATTGTGACCTCTTTTCTATTTCTCTTCTTTCTTTTTTCTAAATTATTGTTTTCTCTTTCTCACTATTAAAATAACTGTAAAAAAACAAATAAATTATTTCCAAACAAAAGAAGGAAACCTAGTCTGTTGAACTCTTGGTGAGCGACCGGAGAGAGACTTTGGCCAAAGCTTAAGCGTTTCTTTTTATAATTCTAATTTAACATTAATAATTAACAACTATTTTGTATATAAATAATACATATCGTTGGTGCGTTAGTGATAAAATTAGAATAACGAAGGAACACTTCTACAGAATATACTACTGTAGAACATTCAAATGATTAATTAATAATTATTATTATTACAATACATAGATCATCATGGTGACATAAACAAAACATAGACTAATCAATAATTTCATGACAAAGATGGTTTTGAATTGGAAATGCAAAGTCAAGACATCGAGAAAGTAGAGGCCCATGTTCATCCTCTATCAACAAGCACAAATGATTATAAGCGTACACTGGAAGAGCAAAAGCAAAAAATGATCAACAACCTGTAACAGCAAAATAAAAGCAGAAATTAAGACAAAAAATAATATCAAAAAATTTTGGAGAATTACATTTTTTAAACGCACTGATTGTTCCTCAAAACTGACACTCTTTTCGATCTCTTTTGTCAGGTTATCAGAAAGAATGGTTCAAGGTTGAGAGATAGGTGGCGGTGGTTGAGTCGATGGTTGCGCTGGCCTTTTTTCTTCTTTCTCTTCGGCTTCTCAGGCTCGAAGAGAGGCGACTGGATTGACTAGAAGAGAGAAGAAAGAAAAAAGTAAAGGCAAAACAATTAGTGAGGTAAGCAAAAAATAAAAGAAAGAGAAAAAAGAAAGAGGAAAAAGAAAGAGAAACTCACCTTGAGATGGGCGCGAATCTGGCGAGTAGAGCTGTCTGTTATTGCTTTTTCTCGGTTATGAGAGACCTGCAGAAACAAAAACAGAGAGAAAAGAAATCAAATTAATTTTAATTAATTAAATTAAAATCTATTTAAAAAAACTCATCATTTTAATTATTATAAAAAATAAAGGGTTTGCGTTAGTAGTATAATTAACTCCTTTATATCCTTATATCTCTCTTTTTCCTTTCTTTTTAATTTCAAGCATAAATTTTAATAACTAATAAATTTGGATAAGTTGATGATTTGACATTTACATCAAAACGAATTGGATTAAACGATGTCATTTCAATTTTTAAAACTATTTCCAATTCATTATTTTGGTCTAATGTGAAGACATTTGCATCATTTTCAATAGGAATTCACCCATTAATCCTTCCACAACCTCAAAAATCGGTTGGAGAATCGGGCTACGTGATCACCAAATGAAGTCCAAAACACCGATTCATTATTAACTGAATCCATATTCATATTTTTGATGGTTTCTCTTTCAATTTTTGGATCTCTGCATTAATATCTAAATCCGTATCCACAGAATTACCTAATAAGTTAATGAGTTATGATTTATTAATTATTGGAAGCATAATAATGAGTAGCTATAGACTCTTAATCCTAATAATTTATTTCACATTTGAATATAAAAATGAAAAACTTCTTTAACGAAGTGAAAACTTATCCAACTTTTAATAAATTATCACTTACCTGAATCATTAGAGATGTTAGTTACATCATTCGTGGTGGTATTTGGGTTGTTATCCGAGCTCATCTTAAAGCAATCAGTTAAGACTACTTTTAGGAGTTTACACCCATGCTCAAACGCGAGAACACTTTCTTTAACTAAAGAACTTTATTACCTCTTTTTTGAGTCATTAGCTTTAAAATACTCTTTCCTTAAACCATTTTAATGATGAAGAAGATCACAATTAAATTAAAGTAATTATATTTAAATGTTAAATGAAAAAAGTGAAATTTTCTTTCTACAAGGCAGTAACAGCGAGTCTTCTAGGCTGTACGACAATAACTAGAAAAAACGAGATAGTATCTGGATTAGAAGGGAATCTACTATGGAATGATGATGAATAGTACATACCCGACTGATTAATTGAAGCAGAAAAACACCATTCTAAGCACCATTGAGGGATTTGAGTGGTTTTGCCAGAACCTGCCTCACTCCTGATAAAGGTTATTTGGGTCGATATAATCTTTTGCATAATCCTAGATTTGTATGTGAAAATAGGTAGCATTCTTCTATGTTCAAGCAACGAATAATACTGTGCTGAGTATGGCTTGCTGGTTTTAGGATTGTATTTAGTCATCTTGAGGGTTGTTGAATTAGTGATGTTTTGGGTTGAGTAATAGCCAACGGTAGAAGATTTAATTAAATATAAAGAGTCTAAACTTACTATATTAAATGAGACTCGATTCTATTATTAACACACGAATAAAATTTAATTATGATTCAAACAGTGAAACACTATCACTGCACAATTAGCCGGCAGTAGGTAGTAATACAAAAGCGACATCTAGCAAGCTCGCAGTAAATCTTTACTATAAGTCTGCCAAGTACAAAAACTGCCATCTTCTTTCTCATTAGCAATTGATCAACAGTTAGCGAGACCTTAGATCAGTTTGATTAGATTTGATATTGATTTGCATCAAAATTACAGTTAGTTGTTGACCAATTTCCGGCAAATTGATCAGTTCAATTGCACAATCAACTCGAAGCAATTTCTCGTTAATTTTTATCAATTGCCGGCTCAATGCTGAGTTAAATTGAACAAACAATTAAATAGAAATTGATTCAAATGATTTGTACAATTAGACTGATTATCTGCCGGCATCTGATCAACAATTAGTTAGCAATTGATTGATAACCGATTCGAATCAAATTTCATAATCAGTCCAATTGTACAAATCATTTATCTCAATTTCTCTTCAATTGTTGATCAATTGCCGCTGATAATCATTCCAATCGCACAAATCACTTGAATCAATTTCTAACTAATGGTTGAACAGATACCGCCAGATAATCAGTTCAATTGTACAAATCATTTCAATATATTTCTAACTAATTGTTGGGCAGATGCCTGCTGATAATCTTACAATTAGACAAATAATTTGATTCAATTTCCCCTAATTGTTGATCAATTGCCGGCAGATAATCATTCCAATTGTACAAACCATTTGCTTCAGTTTCTCTTGAATTGTTGATCAATTGCCGGCTGACTATCTTACAATTAGACAATTCATTTGATTCAATTTCTACCTGATTGTTGATCAATTGCCGGCAGATAATCAGATGATAAGTCCAATTGGACGAATCGTTTGACTCGATTTCTCTTGAATTGTTGATCAAATGCATTTTGGTGATAAATTGAACCGCAATCTGATACAAAACTCCCTTTCGCAAAATTGTTTTTGGCCCTGAAAAGGTCCGTTTTTTGTTAATAATTATGATTAATGCGAATTAAAAGTGTTTTTTATTTATGTGTCGTCGAATATTTCGATGACTATTTATTATATCCCCACATGCACATCCAAATGAAAATTTTTGAATAAAAAGAAATTGGGATTATGGATTATTTTGATTATCAACAATTCAAGAGAAATGGATTCAAATTGATTGTCCAATTGAACTTATTATAAATATAATAATATTATCTGCCGGCGCTTGATCAAGAATTGAGAATAGATTGATTCAAATGATTTGTACAATTAGACTGATTATCTCCCGGCATCTGATCAACAATTAGTTAGCAATTGATTGATATCAAATTCGAATCAAATTTCATAATCAACAATTGACTGGAGTTTCGGTTTGTCTGTTTGTCTTACTGGAACGATCGTGTTGCGCCATTAATCTTCGGCTTCTAATCTATAGATTAGAATGATTGAACTGTCTGCCTGATTTGATTATTATGATGAAAATTCTTGATTAATAAAAATCATCTGAACTGCTCAATTTATTTCCGTTCATTTACATTGGAGTAATTTTAATAGTATTTGAACTTGGCGCACAGAAAAGTTGCACCACAGAGGCGCGACGCTAGTTCTTCAAGACTTGGACCAAAACATTTCTTACAACTTGTAAGTTACAAGTTGATGGACGATATTGAAAAAATTAATCCAACCAACAATATTGAGCCCACTCTATCTTGCGACTACAACAAGTGCATTTGTTTTTTCTTCTACGGCTCCACTGTCGACAAATCTTCTCACCAAAATCTGTGAAGTTATTCATTGTTCTCTCGCTTCTCATCAGTTACTGCTCCAAGTTTGTGACATTGTAAACCAATTCAAGTGAATGACGCCAAAATTGGACATAATTGATCAACAACATAAAAAAACAAACAACTTCGTGTAAGCGGCAAAAATCTTTTCGCCGGCAACTACCTCCAAAATTTCATTCCCGGCTAATCTATTTATTATCTTCCATAGCCTGCTCATCAGCTACTTCATTCGTTCTGGTGTTATTTCAAAAAACGATATCTTGGTAAGTTGTTTTTAGCGTTAATACTTTGGGCATTGGTTTTCTCTTCACACGGTTAATATTTTTTCATTTCAGGAACGCATCAATGTTGGAGGCTCAAAAGCGTGGCCGCGGTCGTCCTAAAGGGGCGAAAAATAAACAAAAACCAGCTCGACCAAGATCAGTAAGACCCTGTGTTGCTTGTGTCACACCAGATTCTGCGTCAAATCAGGAATCAGTCTTTGCGAATGAATTTTCCGCATTATCATTGACTAGTGATGCATCTCGTAGATCACAAGGAGAATCCATTGCCGACTCAGCATCCACGGAATCGGGTATGCCAATTTCACAAATGGACGAACCATTGGTGTCAAAAGAAAATCGCGAGATTAGAGACACCGACTCACTCGATAAGAATGGTTCAGATGATCCAGTTGAAACTGTTTTCGGACTCGAATCATTCCGTGGGTGTGCAACTGCTCAAGACCTCAAATCTAAGATTTCTGAACTATTTTCGAATTCACAAGATTCACTTTTCGAATACCTTCTTGTTCTACAATCCCGAGTGTTTCAGCTTGAGAATAGGTTAGTGAAAGAATGCATTAAATTACATACATTACAGTTGAATTTATTCATTTTTTTCCAGTGCAACACCTCAGATGGAAAAACAGCCGGCAAAACGCTCAGATACTAGTATAATTTCCGAATCGGAGGATGCTATCGCTTGGTTAGTAACAGTCTCGATTCATATACTATTTAAGTTAGATCCGTTTTTAAAACTAAGTGTTTCTCTGTTCCAGGCAAAACATTCCCCATGAGGAATTGGAAAAACAAAAAATCGAAGTAGCTGCTCATGGCAAAAAACAGACAAAAAAGAAAGCCGAGAATTTCCTTATAAAATAATCAGTGCGACTGGCGGATTGATTACGAGAACGTTCCTTTACGACGCGATTAGACGAAATTCCAAGAGAAACGAAGAAAAATGGAGTTGCGCCATTCCTAACTGTGAAGACTGTGTCGCGAAAAGATTAAGTCGTGGCAAACGGAAAGATCTTTATGGTCATATCACAAAAAACTTGCATTACAGTTTCAAATGCTACTTTTGTGAAAGAGACAAAATTTATAATGAGAATGGTCTTTGGCGACACATTTTTGATAAACATTGGCAAGCCGGTAGAAAAGTAGCAGCCGATACCTCAATTTATGATGATCAATAAAACACCAATGATCAGTTTGATTTGGAGAAATTATGAGGAAAACGAATTGTTCAATTCAATGACAATTGTGTTTTTCCTAAAATATGCAGCGAGCTTCAATAAAAACGTGAAAATTTCCTTTTAGTTTATTCATCAACACGAAAAACTACTATTCAATCGCCGACAAATGACATCTAACCAATTAGTTTGCCTCAATTAACAACAAGTTGATTCAAATTGGTTACAATTAGGTAGAAATTGCATCAAAAGATTTGTACAATTGGACTGATTATCTGCCGGCAATTGATCAACACTCTGGTAGAAATGCGTTCAAATGATTTGTACCATTGGACTGATTAACAGTCGGCAATCGATCAACAATTAAGAAGAAATTGATTGAAATGATTTGTACAATTGGAATGATTATCTGCCGGTAATTGATCAACAATTAGTTAGAAATTGATTGAAATTATTTGTACAATTGGACTGGTTATCAAAGGTCATCTTTATGTTTACATTTTTCCTCAATGAACTTTTTTTTCATGTCGAGGTTAATTTAGTATTCAAATTATCTTATATATTGTTGAATCAATGAATGACTCAATATTAGCCAATTAGATTGGGAGCTGTTTGAGCTATAGCTTCTTGTCATAATTTCGCCTTCCTGTGCTTTCTCTTAGTTTTCACTCTTCGCGTAAGACTGTATTCGTTTATCAGTATTATCAATTCTATCACTAATTTCTAGCCTGAGAGTAGAAAGAAAAAAAATCAATATCTATTACTCAATATTGAAACAAGCAATTACCTTGATCTCTTGATGTTTAATAAACTCTTTTGCATCTAAATAACAGTAAGAGGTAGCTCTACATACCTTGTAATGTAGAATATCATATAAATGAACATTTTGATTTTCAACATCATCAATTAATTTAGTTTTTTCACTAGTTGTTAAATTTCTTCTCAGTATCTTAATAGTAAACGAAGAAAATAACATTTTCTTCGGGCTAATAGGTAATAATTGAGTCTCACTATCTGGTTGTTGACTGTATTTCTAAAAAACTTTCGTAAAACTTTTCTTGCACTAAACACGGGTACCTGTCGATTAACTTTATTTGATTAGAGATTTTTGTTTCTAGTTTTTTTTCTTAATTTTGTCTTTTATACTAACGAGAGATTTTATTAATTGTTGTTTGATTAGTTGACTAATAATCATTTGTAAACTTAATAACATAATAATTGTTACTTTGATTGTCGATATTTGTGTGTGTGTGAGTTGAATGTATATGTTTCAAGTGATCTAATTTAATTTAATTGTGATATAAATTTGTTACGTTTACGTTCAATTATTTTCGTGCCCTTTTTGATTAATAGCATGTAACTTATACTCACCTTTCTCTCTGTTGGTCCATTTGATGAATCTTGGACAATACTCTTTGTCCTGTAATAATTTTAGTAAAAATTCCCAAAGAAAAGTAGTTGAACCTTCACGAGACTTTCTCTTTGTTGAGCTCGGACATACACCGGCCACTCCTGGAGTTTGACCGGGACCAGTGAGGCTTTCAGGTGAACCTTTAGGCTTTCGTCCTTTCTTTTTCTTCATCAATGCCGATGCATTGTGATAGGAGAGATCTTCAGCTACACCGAGGCCTAATCCAGATGAACCAACAGTAATATCTAATTAGTGGAGAAAAATCAAAATTTAATTAATTCCGATGATGATTATCAACCCATTCAATTGAAAAGGATCAAGTTATAAAAGATGATTAACTAATTAATAAACTTGTCTAATTAATTATTTTTCCCTTTTTTTTGTTATTCGATTATTACTAATTCAAAGTATTGGTAAATTGTTGTTCTTGTTTTTCCTAATTTTACAATATCTACAATTAATATGAATCTAAAAGTTTAATAATATTTACTTATTTCAATTATCATTTAATTATAATAATCTTATTAAATTAAACTATCTATAGATATTCAATTAATAAAGTGAATCACCTAAACTGTACTATTAATTAATTAAAGGTAAAATTTGATTAGTTATATTAAATTTACACTGGACAATTGATTAGAGAAAAGTTAATAAATAATATCAATTAGAAGTTCAATTTAAAATTTGAAATCTTTTTTTTTCTTCAAATAATTAACTAATTAATAAACTGATTATTACCTTGATTGCCTTGATGATGGGTTAACTCGCTTTGTGAATGATTTGAATGCGATGAAAGATCTGATATTGAAAATGAAAGAAAAGTGAATCAGTTAATTGTAAACAATTAGATTATACAAAAGGTAAGAAGATTAATAATCAAACTCAGGCCATTAACAAAAGTTTTCAACAATTAAAACTTCATTTCATTTGTCAGGTAGATAAAAATAAGATAAATAAATGCTAATCATTTTCATTGATTGGGGAAAATGTGTTAATATATTAATTATGATTAACATCAATCAATTGATTTAATTGGTAATGATAATGATGATTAGACCCAAATCAAGTTTATAAACAATCAAAAAATAAGTTCTCTTTCTGTCGAAATTCGAAAAAAGCGGCAAATAGTTTTGCAGAGGGAGCGCAAGTTCTCCCGGAAACGGAAAGTCTTCTTGGTTTGTCTCATGCAATTAAACTTTTGGTTTTCAATAGAAAAGGTGAGTTTCATTTATCTTTTTAATTAATTTATTTAATCAGCAATTAATTTTAATTCACTTTCATCTAACATTGTGATCTGTTTTTCTCCGTTTCTTTAGTTATCTAGTGTTATTCTAATTCACAGTTAATTTAATTCCACATAACCATCATGCCTAAACGAGTTCAAGAAATCAAAGACTTTCTCATCATCGCGAGGCGTAAGGATGCCAAGTCAGTTAAGATAAAGAAAAACAAGGAGAATGTTAAATTTAAGGTTCGATGTTCAAGGTATTTGTACACGTTGGTAATCCAGGATCGAGAAAAGGCCGACAAACTCAAGCAATCTCTGCCTCCCGGATTACAAGTGAAAGAATTGAAGTAAATTATCTCAAAGATGTTAACCTGATTTTCAAATTTGTATATTTTGTCTTCTTCTTTGGTGTTTTTTGACCGGCTACCATTAAAAAAGATGACAATTTAACAAAACCTAAATTTCCTTCGCTTATTGTTTTATGTTTCGGTAGTTTGAAGCTGATCAGATGAGCCATTCCACCACAACAAATAATTAGCCCCAAAAGGCAGCCAGAAATCTAATTAATGGATGATGGATCTAATTAATGCTATAGTTGATATATCCCAAAGATTAAAATACATGGTTTCATTGCGAAACAATTAATCCCCAATATTTCTCGTGCAAGATAGTTGAGATCTTATTAATCCTCAGAAGTTATCAGTTGTACCATGAACAAGGGTTTATACTTAATTAGACTTGGACCTCAAGTTGGTTGATCTCAATGTTAACTGAGTCTCTTGTTGCTTGCGTGATATTAGTAAGTATTAACAGAATTTGATCGGACTTGGTCGACTGAATTAATCTCTAGAGTTTTTATCGAAAAATTTAAGTTAAAATTTAGTAATGAGATGCTGTTTATTACATGAAATCGAAAAGTGATGAGCAATTTCGCTCGTAATCCTTTTGATTAGGGTCTTTCGCTCTCAAGATGAACTCTTCAAGCGACTCCAATTCGGTGATGGTTTATCGGCGACTAGCCAATCAAAGTCATCAATTGCATCCCAATTGTTGCTCGAAACATCAAGACTAGTTAACTGTAAATCTTCATCAAAACCTGAATAAGACCATGAAAATGGTGTGAATACAAGCCCAGTTGAGTCTTCGATTATTCCTCGACTGGTTAGATGGACATTAAATTGGCAGTTGCGACTTTGGTGGATTCTCAATTGGTGACACATAATTTGGAACGAGCATTCGGAGCAGCTATTGATGAAAACTGAACTATCAACAGGACCAATATTGATTTCGCTATTTGTACATTGGAAAACGGATACAGAACAAGGTCGACCTTTGATGAAAACCTTACAATTCGTTAGATTTATTAATTGAATGTCTTTGCCTGAAGATTCGCTTCTCTCTATGGACAAATTACCATCAACAATGTCTTTGAATCCAAAAAATGAACCAAAAACTAAATCCTTGGTCTCTTTGGGTGTTCCTTGATCATCCACATCAGAAGAAGCAGCAGTTACTTTTAATGGGACAAGTTGAGCTTTGAAAGTGAACTTTTTCCTTGGTAACAAATTTTTCCGTTTACCTTCAATTTTATCTTTTAAATTGTTCAAAGTCTCTTGAGCTCTTCGCAAATTGTAGGCTGGAAGGAAAATCTTCAGATCAGTGAAAAGTTGTTTCAATTCGTCCAACTTATTGTTCGCCTGGTTGAATTCACTTTCCAACTCTATTTTACTCTTTCCCTTTGCTCCATCATTAGAAATCGCCTTTGAATCCTTTCCACAATCAACAGCATCTAAATTATTATTAACTAAATCACCGCCATCGTCAACAATTTTCACCTTTCCATCAGCAGTTGAATCAGTAATGGAGCCAATTGAATCCACCATTTCCTCCAATAGTTTTGATTTGAGCAAATATTCATCCCACAAAGTATCTCTATCGGTTTGGTCCATTCTTCAAAGAAAAACAAAATCAATGAATCACACGAAAACAAAAGTCTATACACAAACAATTAGATGAATACAATTTGTTGATTATCTGATTGGCGATCAACATTTATTAGAAACTACTCAGGGAATATTTGCTAATCTACATCAAAAGTAAATTTCTCGACGGTCCCTTCGTCTATTCTATCAATTTTATTGAATGTTTGTTTACATTTCTTGTTGATTATTGTTTAGTAATTTGGAATCAACTGAATTCAAAATTTCTCTGATTTGTGTGTATTTGAAAATTCAGCTGACTATTCGTTGGTTTGTCCATCACCAATAGCTGTTCATCCGTTTTGTATTGGTGCATTAGTTACATTGTTATTAGTAGATTTGTTACATTGACTTTTCCCATTTTGGTTATTCTGTGAGAGAATCATTTAAATCCAAATATGGCGATGTACAAAGGAGCTGCCAGTGAGGCCGGAAGAGCCATGCAATTACAAAAGAAGAGAGAGATGGCTAAGGAAGAGTTGGAACACCGGAAAAAGAAAATTGAAGAAGAATTGAAATTATCGAGTATCGATAGTAAATTTGCAGCTCATTATGATGCCATTGAAGCTCAACTTAAATCATCTACTATTGGTCTGGTTTCTCTCGATGAAATGAAAGCTAAACAAATTGATTTTGTCAAAGAACGAGAAAGAAAGTTAGTTCAGAAAAATGAACAACTCAAATTGAAAGAAATCGAGGAAAAAAAGGAACAAAAAGAAAGACAAAAGAGACAAGTAAATACAAATTAATTTCTACACAATGTTCATCTTTCATATTCTTAATCAAACTTTCGATCTTTGAATTCTTCCATTTTTTTAGATACAAACATTGTCATTCAAATTTGATGAAGAGGAAGAGGAAGATGAATCCGAAGAAGGACAAGGAAAAGTAGACCATGAGAATACCCAAGCACCGGATATACCACAGAAAGAATCATTAGAAACATCACAAAGTGATCAAACAATCATAAAATCAGAGTCTACCATCAATGAAGATGAAACTTCCGTTGATAAACCAAATGACAGATTAGATTATGAAAGTCATTCTGAAGATTCAAACAGCAGTTTATTACATGTAAGTCGATCAGATTATACATCTCAGGCTTATTCAATTATATAAATTTCTAAGTTACTTATGCTGCTTAGCTAATTAAAGTCACTTTTAGTAAATTTTTTAGACCTAAATAATATTTAAAGTTTTATCCTATTGATTCCTATTGTGTAATCCATGTTACGTTTTCTTATATTTTTTTTCTTTTTTCTTTTAGCCATGTAAAAAGAAAAAGATGATGAAAAATCCAGAAGTTGATACAAGTTTTCTACCTGATCGAGAAAGAGAAGAAGAGGAAAAAAGACTTCGAGAAGAATTACGGCAAGAATGGGTTAAACGTCAAGAGAAGATTAAAAACGAGGAAATTGAGATCACATTTTCTTTTTGGGATGGATCAGGTCACAGGAGGAGCGTCAAAATGAAGAAGGGAAATACTATCTACCAATTCTTACAAAAGTGTTTGGAATTACTTCGAAAGGAGTTTCATGAACTCCGAGCAATAGCCGCCGATCAATTGATGTATGTCAAGGAAGATTTAATCATTCCACATCATTATACTTTCTATGGCTTTATTGTAACCAAAGCGAGAGGTAAATCCGGACCTTTATTCAGTTTCGATGTACACGAAGATGTCCGTTTACTTGCGGATGCAACGGTTGAAAAGGACGAATCCCATGCGGGTAAAGTTTTAATGAGAAGTTGGTACGAGAGGAACAAGCATATATTTCCTGCTTCTCGGTGGGAACCTTATGATCCAAGCAAAAACTATGAAAAATACACAATATCAGACAAAAAGTGATTCAAACTCAACAATAATATTAGCTAATTAGCTAAAATGTTATCTACAATCGATAATCTCATGTTAATTTATCAACTACTTGTGATTAATCTGCAATTATTTTGTAAATGAGAAACTTTTTACCATCACCTTGATGATTTATCAATTCTGTTCAGGATTTATTCATCACAATCGATTTGATAATTTGAATAGAATTTTCTTTCAAGTTAATTACCTTGATAAACTTTTTCTTTTTACATTATTATTTCACAATATTAACTAATTATCATTCTAATCAATAATTCAACACATCCAATTGTTGTTGATTTTATTCCTCCTTTTGATCTGATTTATTTCAAGTTAATCAACTCAATTAACTCTATGTGGATTTTTATCTTCCCTCTTGGTAATCAAATCAAAAACGACATTAAATTGCCTGTAATTTAAACTTTCAATTTATATTAACAATTTGTACAATCAACAAAAAAGAGATTAAGGAAAATATTAACAACAGAAACAATTTAATCCTTTGAACAAAAACAAAGCTCAACTCACAATTAACCAACAATTAACTCAAAGGAAAACACAAAATCAACAAACTCGTAACCTAAATTACCAGCAATAGTTATACAAATGTGAAGATAACATTAAGTTAGACTCTTCCTTGTTGAGATTGATTTTACTTTTACCTGTTCTAATGATTACAATTAATGAAAATTACGAAACAATGACAAACAAAATTAACCAAAAAAAGCAATCAAAACATAAGAAAGTTAAATTGATTTTCTTAAACAAACTTTTAAATTGATCAAGTAATTAAAAGTTTCGTTTCTCTCTTTACTTGATATTATATATTAATCACTTTCTATTAGCTGGTTAACTAATTTTCTTTCTGTTTGTATTAAACCAGTGAAAGTTAATAAAGAAAAATATATTTTGTTAATTTACCTGGAAAAAAAAATATTAAATTGCTAATCAAATTGTTTATATAGTTTATTATTACTACGAAAATTGTTGTTGATGATAAACGATAATGATGATTAGTTTAACAGTCACAAGGTAACTGGGTTAATAAACTTTTTGGGAACACAAATGAAAATCAAATTAAGATTCAAGGTGAACGCGTTTTCTGCTGCTGTTGTTGTTACAGGTAAATTGTTAATGAGTGAACATAAATTATAAGCGAGATTAAATTAAATTGTTCAGGTAAAGACAATTAAGTTTTATAAGAGAGATCGAGTTGTTTTTGTGTTGAATCAAGAAAAAAATAAGTTTATTTGAGTAAAGATTTTGTTGTTGTTGGTGTTTTTTTCAGTTTTTTATGTTTTCTTTTCAAATTATTGTTTGTTTGTTGTCGTTGACAGAAAATAATTAATCAAGTTGTTACAATTGTCATTGATTTGTTTTGTTTTGTGAATTGATGTGGTGATGATGATGCTTTTTGTTGTTGTTGTTGTGTGTGCATCATAATGACAAATTAATTAGTCAATTAAACAGGGGAAACGGTTCACAATTAAATATATATCATCACATGTATTCATATATATTTCATGTTGGGTTACAATGTTTGTTGGTTTTGTTTTACAATTAAATTTAGATTCTACCCAAAAGTTTTAGTTTCATTTTTTCTTAATAAAACAAGAATGGTTCAACGATTAACAATTAAAATTAATTAGTTTGTCCATTTGATTGACCAAATATTGGTAAACAGAGGAAATCATCATGAAGATAGAGAAAGAGAGAGAGAGAGGAAGTGAGAGAGGAAAAAGAGGATGGAGTAGGAGGAGGTGAAGATGGAAATAAAAAGAAAAAGAAGTTAAAGAAGAGTAAGATGATGATGATAATGATGATGATGTGATGATGAAGGCAAAAGGAGGAGGGAAAAGTTTGTTTTGTTTGAAATGGAGGCAAAATGTGAACATTTGTAAAGGCAAATTGATAGAGAGAGAGAGAGAGAGAGAGATTTGATGATGACGATTAACATGATGAAAAATGACCGATGAACTTTTTCCTTTTTTGTGTTTTTGAAACGATGATAAAAATGATTCTGGATGATGATGATTTTGGTGATGACCATGTTAAGTGTCTTTTGTTTTGTGTGTCAACGAAAATAATGAACATCAAATATTATTATTATTGTTAGAAGGGGATTTTCTTAGTGGGTAAATTGGTTGGAAACAAAATACAGTCTAAAGACTCGCTTAAGTTATTTTTGTGGGTCAAGTTTTGAGCGATTCATCCTAACATGTCAATGGTTTGGTGACAGTTTTTTTTTTCATGGGTGAAAGTTAATTCTACCCAAAAGGATAAATTTAAACTGGTTTAAAAAATAACCGAAGTTATAACTTTAGCGAGGATAAACTGTACGAGACAAACGACAAGGGAAAGTGTTTACTATGGACAAGACGAAGGCAAAAGCGTCGTTAGAGAGATGGAGTGAGAGAGTGAAGGCAAACAAGGGGTAAGGCAAACGAGGATTCCGATTGGGAAGTGGAGGGGATTTAAAAAAGATACAAGGTGAAGATGAACATAAAGACGATCTTCAATATATAATAATATAATAATAATATTAATAATAATAATAATGATGATGATAATAATAATAATAATTATAATTATAATAATACATCGAGTCTTTGTTGTGTGTTTGGGGATTTTGTCAATGGTTCGTTTTAATCTGCTTTGTTTTACGAACAATTAATATGTTCAAAATCCTCCCATGTTCCCAGAACGTAAAATAGATTCCAAACAGCCTGGAGTTGGAAGTCCACTCCTGGAATCGTCTTTGTTATTATAAAAATTATTTGGATCTTGAGATATTTCAACAACATCTTTGGGAACATCAACAAATTGGTAAACTAAACGTTGACCATCAACTTTGGCTAAGATTCCTCTCTGATAGTAATATCTGTATATATCGAAAAAAAATATAAGTATGAGAGAGAGAGAGAGAGAGAGAGAGGTGGGTGGAGGAAAAGAGGAAGAACGAAATAAAGAAATGCATAAAGAGGAAGAAAAAAATGTGTGAAAGAGAGAGAGAGGGAGAGAGAGAGAAGAGGACAAGGATAAAGTTTTTAATGCGAGGTTAGGTAAGGTGAGATGAGGTTAGGTTAAGGTGATGAGGTTATGTAAGTTAAGGTAAGGTGATGAGGAAAAGAAATGGATGAAGAAAATGTTGGTGGCGGTGGTGGAAGAAGTAAGAGAGGAAGAAAGATAAATAGAAACGGGAACAAGGAAGAAGAGAGAGAGAGAGAAAGAGAGGGAGAGAGAAGATAAAAATGATGATGAAGAAAGAAGAAGGAAAGGTAAGAAGAAAAAGAAAGACAAAACAAAAGATTAGTAAGATAAGAAAGATAATAATAATAAAGGTTATTAACAAACGCAAGATAACGAGGGTGAAAGTTTGAGGTTAGTAGGTCAAGGATTGGCGGTAACCCGGTGACGTTTCTCAAGACGTTTTTCAAGACCAACAACAGGCAACAAATTTTATACTTTGCTCTTTTATTCCCTTTCTTTCTTTCTTTCTTTTTTATTCTCTTACAAATGTTGGACTGTAACAGTTTTTTTTGTCAATGACCTTTAACCTTGAGAGAGAAGGAGGTAGTAGGAGGCAAGGGAGGAACAGTAAAGGAATAGAAAGAGGTAAAGGTAAGGCAATAAAAAGAACTGACCATCTCTTTCTATTATTTACCCTTCTCTTCCTCTTCCTTTTAACATTCTAATTCAATGAGGACAAAAAAAGATATACACGTTGATAGTAAATGTAAATTTCGATCATCACTATGAGATCTCAATAGTTAATCAATCCATTTGATTATCTGATTACTCTCAGTTCAGTTAACTAACAATCGCTAATTGTTTGGATAGTTGAAAACAATTAACTCCATTTCTGGTCTGAATACTTGTGTCAATTTACAGTTATGTTGGAACTTATTTCTGGTTAACTTAATGTACAATTACCATTAATTATGATAAACTTTAATTGTAACAATATTATCATTATTATCGATAACAAAAATTAAATTAAATTGTTCATTTTTGTAATCGGGATTAATTTTTCAGTTTAATTGCTGAGTCTTTTTTGTTGATTCTTATAATTTCACCTTGAAAAGTTGATAGATATTGCATTTTAATACTGTTTAAATTATATTAGCAAAAGAGAGAGAGAGAGAGAGAAAAAGTTTGACTCTTACGACAATTAAAGTTAATTGTAATAATGTTAATCATAATGAGGTTGATTTTTTCTTGCTTCTTTACTACATTTATAATCAAGAAACTCGAAAACCTGAAGGCTCCTGACCTTTTATTGTTGTGTTATCAACGTTTCGGAAAAAAGTTCAATTGAAAATACTAATCATAATGATTGTAATGATAATGAATATTTAAGTTCAAGTTTGCGGGATATTGTTTCAATTGTGGCGCAAAAATGATCATAATTGACCTTTCTACAAGTTTGTTTTTAATTGTAATCACAACAATTTAACCAGCCAATGTTTTCTTTATCAATCAATTGACTCAATTAATTAACTAAATCCTATTAACTTGTTCACTCTCTGTTGATTAAAACTTATCGGTAAACATGTTATATATATAAATTCAAGATCAATGAGCTTGTATTAATAGACTAATCAGTTAGTTAATTGTTGTTTAATCACCAACAATCATAATTAAATAAAAACTTTCAGCTAATAATCATGAACTTTATAATCAAAACTAAAGTGTTAAAGTTCAAATTGAAATCAAATCACTTTACGTGACATAATAATGATAATTACAAGTAATAGATTAATGATAAAATTAACTTTAAACACTGATTAGTTGTTGACCATAACTAACACTTCCTAATTACGCTAATTGTTACCAAACAATCAAAATAATTAAGGTTAACAAAAAAAGGAGATCACATTGATTATCATGGATTCATTTTTTTCCCCAAAGATTGGAAACGGAAGAAAATAAAATAAAATATCATTAAGTGTATATTCATTTTGTGAACCTCATCGATTTAAAATATTATCAGAATAAATTATCAACAATTAATTGTTATTATATTCACCTGAGAGCTCTGCCCATAGTCTCGTAATTCATATCCGGTTTGTTTTTATGTAAACCCCATAGACGAGAAACGGCTTTTGAATCAACCAATTTAAATATACCTGAGGAAAAGTCAAATAATAAACAATAAAGAAAATAGTTAATCAATCAATCAATCAATAAAAAATATATTGCATTCAAAAAGTATATATAATAATTGTTGGTGGTGATAATATATTATTAATATAATGAAAAGTTATTGAACAAAGTAACGAAAGTAACTTAACAAGTATTTATGTTATTTTTTTACAGGTAAGCAAAGGTAAGTGGAAACAAATGAAAATCTCATAACTGAAACAATGAGAATCAAATTATTACTAATGTTTAACAGGAAATATAATCAACAATTTAAGCAAATAGTTTATATTATTTACTCATTTGTTTGTATGTGATTAATTAATTGTTACGATGGAGAAAAATGGAAAAAGCCAATCTGGTATTCTCATCCTGGTTTTCATTTCAAAATCTAAGGTTAATTTGATAGTTGATAATGAAATTAAACAATATAGTCATTTAATTTGAACTACCTGTTGATTAACTTTATTTGATTAGAGATTTTTGTTTCTATTTTTTTTTCTTAATTGTGTCTTTTATACTAACGAGAGATTTTATTAATTGTTGTTTGATTAGTTGACTAATAATCATTTGGAAACTGAATAAGGTAATTGTTGATTATTGGCAATAAAATTGGTTACTCATCATTCAGTAGCATTCAGTTCAATCTATTGATCTAATTGTTACTTTGATTGTCGATATTTGTGTGTGTGTGAGTTGAATGTATATGTTTCAAGTGATCTAATTTAATTTAATTGTGATATAAATTTGTTACGTTTACGTTCAATTATTTTCGTGCCCTTTTTGATTAATAGCATGTAACTTATACTCACCTTTCTCTCTGTTGGTCCATTTGATGAATCTTGGACAATACTCTTTGTCCTGTAATAATTTTAGTAAAAATTCCCAAAGAAAAGTAGTTGAACCTTCACGAGACTTTCTCTTTGTTGAGCTCGGACATACACCGGCCACTCCTGGAGTTTGACCGGGACCAGTGAGGCTTTCAGGTGAACCTTTAGGCTTTCGTCCTTTCTTTTTCTTCATCAATGCCGATGCATTGTGATAGGAGAGATCTTCAGCTACACCGAGGCCTAATCCAGATGAACCAACAGTAATATCTAATTAGTGGAGAAAAATCAAAATTTAATTAATTCCAATGATCATTATCAACCCATTCAATTGAAAAGGATCAAGTTATAAAAGATGATTAACTAATTAATAAACTTGTCTAATTAATTATTTTTCCCTTTTTTTTGTTATTCGATTATTACTAATTCAAAGTATTGGTAAATTGTTGTTCTTGTTTTTCCTAATTTTACAATATTCACAATTAATATGAATCTAAAAGTTTAATAATATTTACTTATTTCAATTATCATTTAATTATAATAATCTTATTAAATTAAACTATCTATAGATATTCAATTAATAAAGTGAATCACCTAAACTGTACTATTAGTTAATTAAAGGTAAAATTTGATTAGTTATATTAAATTTACACTGGACAATTGATTAGAGAAAAGTTAATAAATAATATCAATTAGAAGTTCAATTTAAAATTTGAAATCTTTTTTTTTTCTTCAAATAATTAACTAATTAATAAACTGATTATTACCTTGATTGCCTTGATGATGGGTTAACTCGCTTTGTGAATGATTTGAATGCGATGAAAGATCTGATATTGAAAATGAAAGAAAAGTGAATCAGTTAATTGTAAACAATTAGATTATACAAAAGGTAAGAAGGTTAATAATCAAACTCAGGCCATTAACAAAAGTTTTCAACAATTAAAACTTCATTTCATTTGTCAGGTAGATAAAAATAAGATAAATAAATGCTAATCATTTTCATTGATTGGGGAAAATGTGTTAATATATTAATTATGATTAACATCAATCAATTGATTTAATTGGTAATGATAATGATGATTAGACCCAAATACAAATAAACAAAAAGTTTATAATAAACAATCAAAAACTAGAGGAAGAAGACAGGAAGAAGATAATTTCAAGTTATCATTATCACTGTAATAATGATACCAACTAATCATCATCATGTAATCATGATCATGGTAAAAGTACCAACAAGTATAAATATGATATCAGGAAGAAGCTCAGAAAGTTGATTATAATCAGAATTAACATTGAATAACCTTTATTACTATTACATTGAAGTTTGTCATTGGCCTTGTGAATTTTTATTTTTTCAGTCAAGACCATTAAACTGCTGCTGCTAATTCATCATCTTCCCGAGACCGGATGATGATTGAGATTAAATTTTTCTTTCTCACAAATATCGGTGATGAAAACAACAAACATACGAGTCCCTGTATATACAAAAAGAAAGACAAGAACCAGAAGCAAAAGAAGATGAGGATGAGGATGAGGATGAAGATGATGAACAAAAAAAGAGGTGATTGAAAAAGGGATTTATAACTGTTCAAGATGTTACCCTTTTACCCCAATCAATAATAATAATAATAGTTATCACAATGATGCGTTTTGGATGGAAACCTGATTTTTTATAACATACATTAAACAGCCTTTGCTCGTTTGCCCTTATTATTATTACAATTACAAAATTCCCATAGACTTAGAGCGAAGCTATCGACGAGTAGCATCGATAAATATAATAAGCACAATAATATAATAGGGAAACCGTTGGCCATGCATCGAAAGTAGGTCCTAGACTCTCATTTAACAGGAAAAAAAACTCGGTCAAAAGAGCAGAGAGAGAGAGAGAAATATTTGAGAGGGAGGAAGGAAGAGAAATAGAGAGGAGGATGAAGAGCGAGCGATAGAGAGCGAAAGAGGGAGGAAGTCTGTTAAGAGAGAGAGAGAGAGAGAGGCAAGTTTTTACGGATGAGAAATGAGAGAATGGGAAAACGAGAGAAAGGAAGAGGGAAGAAGATAAAGAAAGAGGATGATGAAAAAGAGACAGAAGACTCTCAAATAAAGGAAGAGAGATGAAAAGAGAGAAGAAGATGAAAAGCAAATCTGTGAAGAGAAACCGAAAGTTTTTTTGGAAGAGAAAGAAATGAAAAGTGAAAAGTTGTTTATGATAACATAGAGAAATAGAGAGAGAGAGAGAGAATATGAGGAGTAGGAGGTGGTGGAGGTGGAGGAGTAGGTGGAGATGATGAAGAACAAAAAAAGCACAAAAAACGATAGATGCTAAATAGTACGAGAGTGAGAGAGAAAAAGACGATGGAAAAAGAAAGGAAAGAGAAGAGGAAGAAGAGACAGTCAAGAGGTTTCTTTCTCATCTTCCCATTCTTTCATTTCTCTATGATGATAATCATCCTTCATCGTATATACTTTTCATCCACAACGTGCAAACGTTTTCAGATTAACAATTCAACTTTGAATGAAACTAAGATGATCAAGAAAACAGGTAAACAATTTTTTATATGATATTTCAAATAAACATAATAATAGTAAGAGTATAATAATAACAATAGTGATAATAATGATGATGATGTGAAAATATAATATAAAAAAGTTGCAACAACAAACTTGTTTTGAGGACAAAGTTGTTTTTTTCATGTCATGCATTAGTCTTGTAGGGTTAGTGCTTTAAATGTGTTGTTGTTGTTGTTGTTTATCGTTAACTTGTTGTTTGTTTGTGGTTAGAGCGTTAAGTTTATGTCGATAACCGATCTTGACTTTAATATAATAATTAGGAAGAATCTTAAAAAACAACAACAACAACAACAACATTAATAGAAATCTACCTGAGATTAAAAAGAATGAATTTTTTTCCTTTAGAATTTGTCCCTTTCAGTAGATTGGAAAGATTCGTTGGCAACGAAAATAGTGAAGAAGGAACAACGAAAGGGAACGTTGCACTGACGTTACAACGAAAATCAATGTTGTTGATTCCATAGAATTGTGGAAGTTTTTTTTTTTTTCTTTTTCAAGTTCTATTAACCAGTCAACTAATTTCTTTTTTCCTCCTTTTTATCTTCGCTTGATATTATTGCCAAAAAAACAACAAGTTGAACATCTCAGATTTTGTATCATTTTCTTACATATACTATTAACTTTAGTTACTTATTTACTCACTTTTGTGCTTTTGCCTGAAACTAAGTTTTCAGTTTGATTTCAAGGTTACAGGGGAGAGAGAACAACAAGCAAGAGCAAGAGCACAAGTTAGAGAATGAACAAGATGACGAAAGGGAAAGTAGAAAGAGAGAAAGAGAGAAAGAAAGAGAAGATAATATAGTGAGTTGGGTGATGATGATGAGGAGGATAGAGAAAGATAGTTAGATATGAGAGAGAAGAGAAATGAGAAAGAAGGAAAAATGTAGAAAAAGAAGAAAGAAAGAAAGAAAAGGAAAGAGAGACCAAGAATTTCAGGAAAAGTCTGACAAAAAAAGTCAAAGACCCACCTCTCTTTCTTTCTTTCTCTTTCTCTCTCTCTTACTTTCTCACTTTTACTTTCTCTTACGACCCCCGCAAATCCCCTTCTTTCCATCCACATCATCATCATCATCTTCTCTTCCCTTCTTCTTCTTCTTCTTCTTCTTCTCTATCCTCATCCTGCCTTTTCCCTCTTTTCCGCCTCTTCTTTTTTCCTGTCTCTCTTTCTCTCTCCTCTCCCTACCTCCCTCTCTGTCTCTGTCTCTCTCTCTCTTTATCTAACTATACTCTACTCACTCTCATTCTCCTCTCTCCCTCTCCATGCTATCTCAACATTATAGTAGATAAATATAAATATACATTAATATATAAAAAAAATTTGAAGGATAAACAGAGAGACGAATGACCTATTCTTACCTTGAATTCAAGCTTCTAATGCTAATACACAACAACAACCAGGAGAGTTGAAGTTTTCATGTGAGTGAGAAGAGGAGAGAGAGAGAAAAACAAGAATCAAGTTCTCATTCTATCGATTGCTTCAACAACAGGAAAATGGAAGAGAAAGAGAAATAGAAAGAGAGAATGATGAGATGATGAGAATGATGATGATGAAGGGAAAGAGGAAAGATATATATACATGAAAGGGATGATAGAAAAAAAGAAGAAGACGAAAAGAAGAAAAGAAAGAGAAAAAATCAAGTACCTAATATTCACCTTCTTTTTAATTCATCATTTTCTCTTTCTCTCTGGTTACTCCATCTTCTTTATATACCTTTTTTTTCATTATCACCATCATCATCTTCTCTTTCTTTCCTTTCTTCTCTTCCAACTACCTTTGTTTATTATTATTGAGATTCTTTCTTTCAGGTTTTTACCATGATAAAAATACTATAAAGTACAAAGAGAAATAGGGAAAAAAATATGGATTAACATTGAAATTTTCTCATGTATCATTTTATCTCAATCTGATATATTGATCTTAATACTCCACATGATTTACATTCAATTAATTGGAACGAATGTCAAGTTTATCTAATGTTCTTTCTAATCTAAATAAGAAGAAGAAAAAAAAACTTTAACCAACTTTCATAACATTTGCTTCGTTAGCATCGTTTCGTTAGTAGATAATAAGTCGTTTTCATTATCATTAGCTTTTGATAGAAAGTATAAGTAGGTAGCAGATAGAAAAGTATTATTTTCTTTCTCTCGAATATCTTATATTTAAGATCAAATTATTATCATTATCATCATTATTGGGTGTGACGTTAGTAGCGTGAGTATTTTTTGGTGTTTTTTGGTTGTTTTGTTGTTATTTTGTTTTGTGTTTTATGCTTAAAGAAACATGTAGCTTTCTTGCTTTGATACGCTGATAAATGATGCAAAAAGAAGGTCAAACTCAGAAGCGGAACTGAGAGAGAGAGAGAGAAAGACAAATATGAGAGTGAGACTAGTGTGTAATGAAGATGATGAAGGAAAAACTTGCGAAAAGAGAAATGATGATGAGAGAGTGAAAAGTTCATCTCATTTAAAGGTAAAAAGAACATTTTTAGGCATATCTATGCAATGATACGTTCCAACGCCCCGCGACGAGAATGACGAAAGTGTAAGAAGCTAACGAAAGAGAAAAAGTTTTAATCTCATTTCACCAACGAACTGGTAACGTTAACTTCGTTCTCACAGTAAGAGCTAATTCGCATTATCGTTGAAACGTTAATATTGTTCTGATTATCTTTCTCTTTCTTTCTTTCTTTCTTTCTCTCTCTCTCTTTTATTGTTAATACATTAACTAAATACTCTTTTTTTTCATTCGCCTACAACTCTTACTTCGTTGACGACCGTGACCCTTAAAACGATTTTTATCTTACTGGTCGCTCTTTCTCTCTCTCTCTCTCTCTTGTCGAAGTCCATAAGAAAGAAAGAGTTAAGGGAGAGAGATAATGAGAAAGAGAAATCGAAAGCATAATATGGAGAGAGAGAGAGAGGAAAAAATGGTTGACCTGCAAGGAAATGATGAAAAGAGAGTGAGAAGAGGAGGAAGATAGTAAAGCAGGAGAGAAAATTGTTGATAAAGAGAAATGATATTTACCAACGTTGCAACGTCAACTCTTCATTTTCTCTTTCCTTTCATGCAACTCTTTTTTCTTCATCAACTGAATCTGAATAAGGATGATGATGATAATCATTATAATTACATGATAAGAGAATGACTTTAATTTTGAATAAGGAAAAAACATTTATTTAGGAACGAAACTGGAAGCTAAAAATGACAGAATAAAAATCGAGTAAAATAATCACCAAGTTAATCATCATTCTGGTGTTTATCATGTTATTCACAATCAACAGATTAATTGACAGGTAAATAACAATAGATGTTAATCAAAATTTTGCCGGAAAAAAATAGAAACTAAAAGTATATTTATAGACAATCTGAGAAACGATAATGGTTATCAGAATTTTTTAAATTTCTGTATTTTTACCCTGATTTTCATTATCAAAAGTCAATAGTAAACTTGATTCAGGATGTGAAAGTTTACTGATCATTTTTATAAAAATAAATATCATACTGAACTGGATTGAAATTCATATAATTTACCATGAAAAGAAAGAAAGAAAGAAAGAAAGAAAGAAAGAAAGAGAGAGAGAGAGAGAGAGAGAGAGAGAGAGAGAGAGAGAGAGAGAGAAGTGATTATTATTAATGAATAAAGAGACGAAAGAAAAAGGAAGAAGAAAAAAATTGAACAATCTTCTCTTCTGAATTGAGAATCAAAGTTTCAAGCTTCAAATAAAAATGGATGCGTCACCAAGCAACCTATTCTTTTGATGTAGAAAAGTAGATGAAGAAAAACTGATGGAGATAAAGAAACTGAGAAAGAAAGAAGAAGAAAATGAAGATATGGCGAAAAAGAGAGAGAAGAAAGAGATTGGTAAGAGAAAGAAGAGAAAAAAGGAGAAAAAGAGGCTTTGAGGTTGTTTCTCTTTTTCATGGTTGGAAAAAAAAGAAGGTTGGATTCATCCTTGATGTGCCCTTGGAAACCAAATGAGTGCATTGCCCTGTTAGGTTTCCATGGCGACCGTCCTAATTCAAGGACAGGAGAGTGAGCGAGGCAGAGAGAGAGGAAGAAAGAGATGATAGAATCGAGAGAGAAAAGAGAGAGAGAGAGAAGGTGGAAAGTGTGTTGATTGTAGAGTGAGTGCGCAAATCAAATAACTGATTTTCAAATGATTATTATGATGATCGGAATGAAATGAAGTTTTTTCGTTCGGATTTTTTTCTTTCTTTCATCATCTTATTGATGATGATGGCGAAATTGATAATGGCGAGAGTTGGACTACTACTCTCTATCTGTTGTCTAAGTAGTTTGGCAGAAGTTTTTTTTTCACTTCTTATTTGTTGGTAATTTTTTTTTCTTTTTTGGAGTAAATTTTGTAATACTTACATGATGAAGATGAAGATGAAGATGAACGATGGTGTGAATGATGATTGTGGTGAGAATGGTGATGGTTATTGTGATGATGATTATTAACATTATGATGATGAGGTGAATGGTGATGAGGAGAAGGCGAATGTTGATGAGGATGATGATGATGATGATGGTGATTTGTTGTTGTTGGGGAGGTTGATGGTGTTGATGAGGCGGTTGAAGATGTTGAATTATTACTGTTGGTGTTTAAATTGGTACTATTATTGTGATTACTGGTTGAGTTGTTATTTGATGAATGATGACCACCAGGTCCAGAAGGATAAAAGTAATGTTGACCAAAGTGTTGGCTTAATTGGTGTTGATCATCATTGCAACTGTGATGTGAATCGACATCACTTACACCGGAATCAGCGGGTGAAGGAGGAAGTGCTGAAGTACCGACTGTGAAAGTGAATAAGGAAGAGAGAGAGAGAGAAAGAGAGGGAGAAAGAGAAAATCATCATTAGAATTATTATTTAGAAAACAAAAAAATAAAGAAAAAGAAACAATAAATAAATAAATAAATTCGCTGCAATTTCATCAAGTAATCAAAGGAAGAAGAGAATACGAAACAAAAAGAAAGAGAAAAGAGAGAAGAAAAAAATGATTAGAAAGAAAAGAAAGAGAAAAAAATGAAACAGGTTAAGGTTAAGGTGAAATCAGTTCAAAGTTAACACACTTTACTAACACACTCGACTCACTCGACTCACTTAACATACAAGAAGATAAAGCAAAAGGCTCTAAATGGTTAATAAGTGATACACATTATATTGTGTATCCTTTTCCGAAACATTATTATTATTATAATGACCGCCGATCATCAGGATCATCATTATCATGATTATTGGGATGAGGTGAAAAGTCAAAAAGTCAAAGCGGATAAAGTTATTAACTTGAGTGAGAGAAAAGAGTTAACGAGATGAGAGTATTGACAAACATGATAGAGAATAAGAAGAAAACGAGAATAGAATAGAAGAGAAAAAAGAGATAATCTTGACCGTGAAGAAAAAGAAAAAAAATTATGAAAAAGAAGAAAATGTTTCAGCTTTTTTGTTCTTTTTCTCTATTGGATTAATCCTGATAATTTGAATTTTCGTTGGAGACACAAAACGAGGGGTAAATACTCACAGTATCTCTTAAGTAGTGATTTTTTGTAATTAGTATTGTCATCATGAGGAGCCCTTTTCCTCTCTGGTAATGAGAGATCCAAAATACCAGTATCGTTGTCAGAATCTTCTGAACAAATGTCGGGTGTCACTAACATTGTGCTTTTATAAATTTATAATATAATTAAACAACAATAAAAACAACAAAACAAATAAACAAAATTTTCACGATGTTCACTTTTGTTTTTTTTTCTCTCGCGAAAAAAACTAGATTAAAATGATTGGTAAACTTTTATGGAGAGAGAGAAGAGGAAGAAAAAAGACCGAGAGAGAGAAATGAAGGTTGAGATGTGATGATGAGAGTAAAGATGAGAAGAGATTGTTAGAACTTTAGTTTTCTCAATGAATATTTAATAAAAATGTCAATTTGAAGAAAAAAGAAAACATTGAGAGTTGGTAATGTAAGTGAGACGAGGACGAGAAAACAGAGAGAGAAAAAAAAAGAAAAGAGATTTTTGCTAAAATTGTAACACAGAAAATGTTCATACAAGAGGACGAGAGGCAAAAAAAGTTACGATCAAGTTGGTAAAGGTAGAGGCAAATATCTAATGTGTAATGTGTGTCACTGCGATAACCAACAAAAAAGAAGGCGTCGAGTTTAATGGGAGGCGGGACTTGGATGGAAAATGCGACCATCGGGACATCTCGTGGAATTATGGGCAACTCATGTTCGCGGGAAATGTTGCTCATGATAATTTGTTTCTCTCGACAATTATCGCGATTAATTAATCGACTAAAATTATCTTCACTGCTTTTTCTCTGATTATTCTCTCAATTGTCGTTGATAAGTTGGTTTCGTTTTTTTTCTCGCTTCTTTTATCAATTTACTGTTATTTGCATTTTCCATTTGCTTGTTTTACCTTTTTGTTCATTTGCTGATTGATTGATTTGTTTTTCTTTCTTTTTGCTGATACAATTTTAATTGTGTTTCTGTCTCTTTATTACTGGACAATAAGATTTCTCAATTTCGATTTCATCACAGTTAATTTGACAATTTTCTTCTTCTTCTTCTTCTTCTTCAGTGGATTTGCTGTTGTGGTCAATCAATAATTTGAAAAACTTTTTGTTTCTTTTTAACTTTTCAATTTAATTTCGCAATCATTTTTTTCTGATTAACGTTTTTTACTGTTATCATGATCATCATCAGGTTTAATGATTGGTCAAATGTTAATAATCTGTTGTTGACCTTGATTAACATTGATGATGCAAATGATAAAGGTTATGAATTTGTATCATTACCTGATTTTGTGCTTTCAATACTTTAATTCATCTTCTCAATGAGCAGATTAACTGTGTAAGTTTATATTCAATTATTACAGATTGTTAATAGTTTGTTGTGGATTGTTGCGCTTTCAAGTTGTTGTTAACTGATGATGAGGATGCTATTGAAATAGTAAATGTATTATTTACTATAATAAAGTGTGTATGTGTGTTAAAATGTGGATAAAAGTATTGAATGTAAGTTCGGTGTGTATTATATTGATATAAAACTGTGTTGCTTTGTTTGGAAAAAGAGAAGGAAAAACTTTTCCTTTCTTTTGAACTTCTCTCTCTCTCTCTTTCTTACTCTTTCCTTTTCCTCATCATCATCATCATCATCCTCCTCCTCAATCCTTTTATTGTGGTCAAGCGAAAAAAATAAGGTCAAAACTTATCTCACATTTTTAGCTGACCCTCTCTCTTTTTTTATCTCTCTCTTGCTCTCTTTCTCTATCAGTTACTCCCTCACTCTGCTCTCGTTGATGACCTTTATCCCTATCTTCAACGGAAGTGACCTTTTGTGTATCTGGATAGCTGTTTTGTGTGAGTTGGTTAGTGAGTGTATGAATATGTTGTGTGTGTCAGTAGCTTGAGTGATTCGGACACGATTTAGGCCATAAGGCCACAATGACGATGTTGGTTTTTACAGTGATGATGATGAAGAAGAAACAAAATGTGCAAAATGTGAAAGCATTTGACAGAGAGAGAGAGAGAGAGAGAGAGAGAGAGAGAGAGAGAGAGAGAGAGAGAGAGATGCTGATACTTCTGCTGATGATGATGATAATGAAAAGAAAGTGAAGATACTGCAAGTTTATTCTCATCATCATAATCACAATGACCTTTAACTGTATTATTTCATTTGCATCTCTCGATCGGTTTTGCATCAATTTTATTGATCATCAGTCAAATAATAGATCGTAAAGCAATAATAGTAATTTGTAACAATGGTGACAAAATGATCGCGAAAAATAAAAAATGAAACTAAAATCAAATCGAATTAACAAAAAATACTCAAGGTTTTTCCATCTTTTTCAGCTATTTTATATTCTTCCTTCCTTTCTCTCTCTCTCTCTCACCATCATCTTCATCATCTTCATCCTGCATTTTTAAGGATGCTGATCCTGCTGCTGTTTCTATTTTCTCCATCATCTTTATCTCATCCTCATCTTCATCCTCATCACCCAAATATATAAAATCATCTCCCATAATACTCATTTTCTTTAACTAACAATAGGTTATTTTTTACTTTGCGATTCGAGGTCATTTTTAGAGTTCGTTTAACACCAAAAACCCAGAAACATAGTGACAAACTAAGTCAAAGAAAGAGAAGAAAAGAGCGAGAAAGGTCATCATAAAATTTCAGTTACGGGTTTTTGGCCTTTGGGCTATAATAACTTTCCCTCTCTAGTGAGGAAGAGAGGGAGAGAAGATGAAAAGAAGAAGGACAAGAGAGAGAAGCCGAAATCTTCTCTTCCGTCCTCCGTCATCATAATCATCCTCCAAGAAGGAGCAAGTAGTAGTACCATAGACACATTTCAATAGATGATCTTGCAGCTTGTAGTCTACCGATGCTCTTACTGCTTCTTTCAATTATTATTATTATTTGGACCAGTTTCCTTTTTAGAGTCGATGTGACGCTCAAAAATTTTCCCAGGTCAGTTTTCTTGTGTCCTCAATTTAATATTCTATAATAAACTGTATATGGCTTATGTAAAAAACCTTGATTGTCGAGTGAGTCAGTGAGCGTCGATGTTTCGAAGACAATTCATTGAATTACATCTCTTTCTTTCTCTCTTTCTTTTTTCCAAAACAAGAACGGGAAGAGGAAGAATCTGTCTGTGATCTTGTTCTTCTCTCTCTCTCTCTCTCTTTCTTTCTTTCTGATTTTCATCTGTTGAGAGAGAAAAAGAGATGATGATGAAGATGATTTCCTTCAGACCTTAAGACCTAAATTCAGAAAAGGACATAAAATGTAAAGACCTATGGACCTTAGAACGACGACCTTGAGTGAATTAGAAGCTCTATTAGCGTAAAAAGAGTGAGAGTGCAAATGTGTTTCCTGAATGACTGACTGACTGACTGATATTGTTATCCTCATCATCCTCATCATCTTGTTTCTTCAAATACTTCAATACTGTTAATGATGCATTCATTTATCGGTAAAATTGGAAAGGAGTCACAGTACCAATGGAAAGTTATTAGTGGTAACACCAACAACAGAAACAGCAGTTAACAGAGCAGCAGCAGGATAGAGATGAATGGTAAATGATGATGAGAAGGGGAGAACAAGGAAGAACAAAAAAAAAGCTTCTTCATCCTCATCCTCATCATTTCTTTAGTCTCTCAAGATGAGAGGGATAAAGATGAATAGAGATGAGGATGAGGATGAGACGAGAGAAAAAAATTTTGGCGCTTTCAATTTCTATTATAAGGATTATCATTAATGCAAATCGTTAACCCTTTTTTTTGCTCATTGAGTTGTAGCTTTGCCATTGAGCTTTCAAAATACACACATGGACTTTTACTTAATATTTTACATGGGAAACGTTTTTTTGCAACACCAGCAACAAAATAATGTTACAGGCGCTTCCTCTCATTTGCATTTCCCAATGATGATAATTTATTATTTGATGTTGTTTGTTTGAGGAAATGACTTTTCTGCTTAATCTTCAAGCGCAATTGCTTCTTATGATAACTTGATGAAACGCTGCGAATTATTTTGTAACATTATTGCGAAAAATGGATTATCAAATGAAAGAAACTCACCATCCAATATTCTACCCGGATTATCTAGCAGATTATCTGCTTGAAATCCATCTAATAGCGTGTCAAGGTCGCACAAAGCGGTCGCCCCTCCGTCCAACCCTTCCTCCAGAAATTTGAGATCAGTCGATGAAAGTTCCTTGAGCTCAGGAAGAGTGAATTGAATTTCCCCATGCATTTTATTATTCCACATTTTCCACCAAATTCCAGGTTGATAATTAACTTATATATATAATATATTTATAATAAATTTCTCTGTAAATATTTGATAACAATCAATTTTCTAGCAATTCTTAGAATGAGATATATATATATTGTATTCTGATTTGATTTTGATTTGTTTGTTTGTTTGTTGCACAAAATAATTTTTGTTGATTTTGTTGATGATTGAAAACTTTGATTCCCTCTTGTGATGATAAGTTGATTTTGATTCTCGTTACAATTTAAAGTTACCAATAAGTTAATAACAATTTATACATAAATTATTCAATCTGTAAAGATACAAGAGATACATGGGAGGAAAATGTCATTAACATCGATTTATAATCAAGGTGATTTAGTTTCATGTTGAAAATTTTTTTCCATTATTATTGTTGTTTAACTGATTGTTGTCTTATCGCTTTGTTTAGCATTTATTGTTGATTCATTTTAATTGTACAATTTATGATCAAATTTAATTGTCTACTATCTATTGGATATTAACCCTCTTTCATTTAATTGATTTGACTTTTTTTTCCCTTTCAATTGATTTGTTTGGTTTACACAATTAATCAATAACATTGGAAATTGATCAACTCTTTTTTTCTCATTCATTATGATTAAGCTTAACAATACAATGTTATAATCTTATCTCGTGATAATTGGTTTCATTGATTAGCTTAATGAGTTGATTAATTGTATTAACTCTTCAAGTGATCAAGTTATCTAACCAATAGTAAATTAAACTGTGAAAAGTATCAACTTTTTCAATTGAATATTAATTGTTGGTAATTTTTTCAAAACGATCAATGATCCCAGTCAACTGGCGACATCTAACGATCTTCATCAAAACTCTCAAGTTCAATCACCTCAAAGTTGTTTTTTCTTCTAATGATTAATCGGAAAACCAGATGTCGCTAGTGAGATGGTAAAAGTTTTCCAAATACCAAGTGACTAATTTTAATTGCGATTGTTTTTTATTGTTAATTAGAGTTTAACATGAGAGAAATTACATTGTAAGAAGCGGCTGACTAACTAATTGATATTGAAATTGTTGAAAAAGCTGTTGAACTCTTTCAGATTCCAACAATAATAGTAAAGCCAAAAATTTTTGAAGAAAATCGTTAGACAATTTTGATGAGTATTTTACAATTAATTACGATTAATTAGAGGAAAAGTAACAATTTCCTTCATTGTAACATGATATCTAAAACATTAAATATCTCAGAGTTAGAATTTGAATAAAAAGAGCTTTGATTGGATCGAGTTTTCTGGTAAGAATTTGTAACTTTTGCAAACAGCGAAAAATGTTGAAACTCATAATTGCGGTAAAAACTATTCTCTAGAAGATTAAAATATTAATGGAACTTGAGAAATCGATAAATTCTACTGTTTGAAATTGAAATGTGCAAGTTATTGTCTAAGTGTTTCCATGCGAATTAACATTGAAAAGTCATCAACTTTTAGGTTCACCTAAAAGTAAATTAACCTTGTATCAGATAATTCAACTGAATCAATTGAGTCTGAATAGTGAGTAAATATTTTAAATGTCTCATGTAATTTGTAAGTGTTTAACTTTGTTCATCATGCAACGAATTCACTGATAAACAGATTGTTATTAATAAAATTAAGTTGAAGAAAAAACCACAGTAGTTCATTACACTCAAGAATTAATTAATTGCGTCCCTACCCTTGTAGACTCCACCGTTGATACTACCGATTGAACGATAACTTCGAACTGGTTAATTTAGAAAATCAAAAAACTCTTTTTTAGATCAATCATTTATCGTTAGATTTAAACCTGATACTGATCGTAATCTTCTGAGACTTTTAACCGAACTTTCAACTCTCTAATTTGCATTCGGTTTGTTGGACCTTCGTCGAGGAACGAACACAAATGCAAATCAACATTCGAAAACCAAACCAAACAAGCTAATTGGAGTAGCGAAGTACTAATATAAATCCAATCTGATCGAGTCTTGCTGAGTTCCAAACGAAAATAAATTGTCCAATAAAAGAACATCAAATATTATAATTGTTTAATCGGTCAACGATAGAAAATGAGATTTCGTTTACTGGTTAGAGCTTTTGTTCGAGTGGAATCAGTTTTTGAACGAAACGAGATTCCAACGTTGAAATGTCCAATATTTCGTCAAGAACTGACGTCACTTTCGACAGATTTTGAGAATAGAATTATTTTTCTTCTACAATCGATGAAGAATTGTCCTGTTTCTAAGATATTTTGTCCAATTATCACTTCAATTCTTTTTCTTAACTGGAAACGACTTTTCCTCATTCTCAGCTCATGAAGAACAGGCTGACATTTCTCTTTATCTTTGGGAACTTGTTACTATGAGACTTTTATTTATTCTCTTGAAGAAAATCTTAATTGATCTTAGAATATAAATTATTTTTCTAGTTTCTAACAGTAAAAAGACTAATGAACTAATCGTGAGTGACCATTGAAAGAGGTCACTTTAATGGTGAAATTTTCCTTTTCTGGTTGAGCCAAAAACCACAACCAGAAGCCGAGAGGTAAAGCGGCTGCTTAAGCCGATTCAACACTTAAAGAGTTGAAACCAAAAAAAGAGCGAAATTTAAATTTCCCTTTTCCGTGATCATTTCAACTGAACAATTAAGATAATAAAAAGCATTGACTTTAGTCAAGTTAATCTTGATCTCTTTTTGTCTGAGTAACCAAAATGACAACAACCTTTTACAAGTTAATAAATTGTTTACCAAGAGTAACTAAGCGATTAACACAATCAGTTAAAGGAAGGAAAATAATTAAGAGAGAGAGAGAAAAGATTAATGATTAAAAACTTACATCTTTTTAAATGACGATGAAATCCAAGTGAATGTACAAAAATAAAAGTCGATAAATTTTGATAATTACGAATAACTAAAGATCAACAATTGGTTGATTAACGAAAGTTAAAGATATTGTAGTAAACCTTATGGATTTGATCAATATGTATTCACTGTTAATGATATAAAACACAATTTAAGATCCGTTATGTTAAAAGTAATTAAATTAAGTTGATAGTTCGATAACATTGATTTTTGAACGTACGAAATCATCCAACAAATGAAACATGCGAAAAGTTGATTTGACGAAATAAACTAAATCACTTTGATGATAACAATTAATGGAGATGTTTTAATATTAAGGGATGATTATTGACTCTCTCTGAGAAGCACAAAATTAACTTAAACAATTGAATAACCAAAACACAAATTACTGATAGTTGTCATAACGATTTAATTGAAACAATTTATATCCACAGTGTGTTAACCATAAAAGTGTCGTTGATACTTGAAATTAACGATGATGATGTTTACTTGTTGTTGTTGATATTATAACTGTTGATGGTCATCAAGGTGTTTATGTAACATTGGTCAAGGAGAATAAATAATTTACAATAATTTGTTTGGATGATAAATATTAGAAAATATTGCGAACAATCAATAAAAGGTAGAAAATGGTGAAAAGGAAAACAAATAGAATAAAATTTTATCTTCTCTCTCTACTGAAGAAACATTGTTTTCAGAGAATTGATGAAGATGCTGATGGTGATGAAGAAGAAAAAAACAAACTACACAACATAAACTGGCATAGATTCACTTCGACTCATCGGTGGTAGAAATTCATCTTAATCCATATCCTTTCATTGTACCCTATCATGAGAATGATGATGTTGATGATGATGATGAAATAAAATAGAAAGAGATAGAGAAAGAGAAGCAGAGATGAAAGAACTATGAGAGAGAAGATAGTTCAAAGAACTTTCACTCAACCTAATCAATCACCTCAAATGTTTGCTCTCTTTCTCTTCTCCCCTCCCTCCCTCTTTCTTTTTCTCTTTCGCCATCTCACCTCCTGCCTCCCTCTCTCTTTCTCTCTCTTTCGCTCTCTGTCTCACTTCGTCTCTCTCTCTCTCTCTCTCTCTCTCTTTCTCTCTCTTTCTACTTTTCTCTCTTTCTCACTTTTTTTCCTTTCCCTCATCATCTTCCACCAGCACTGTTACGTGTTATTACACTATCTGTATCTATCTTTCAATTCTCAGGCCATTCTCACTTGACGTACCTAATTGTTGGTGTGCTAATGTTGTTATTCAGCCTTTTTTTCTGATGATGCATTCTTATTATAGTCTATCAGCCGTTAATCTGAAATAGTAAATGAGAGAGAGAGAGAGAGAAACGGTAAGAAGAGAAAGAGAGATGATGATGATGAAGTTGATGCTGGGAATTGTGGTGGTGGTAATAGAAGAAGTGAAGTTGGTGGTGATTGTGATGCTGGAAGATGATGATGATGAAGAAGAAGAGAAAAAAATAAGAAAAATGGAAAAGAAAAAAGAAAAAGATGATGAAAAGAGAAGATGAAAAAGAAAAAAACGGGAAAAAGATCGTACTTCTTCCGCGATTTTCTAAAATAGACCTTATTCCCGTTCTGAACCGGTTCTTCTTTACCTCTACTCAGGTTGGTGCTTTTTCTTCATCTTCTCAGTCTCTTTATTTGCTTTTTCTTTCTATTTCTTTTTCACCATGGTCTTTTCTCTTCTCTTTCTATTTCTCTCTCTTTTCCAACCAAGTCAACGCCATGCATTGACTTTATTCATTGACAGTGCATTGACCTCTTCTCTCTCAAGTTCTTCGCTCTTTCTCTGACTCCATTCATTCACAGTGCATTGACCTCTCTCTCTTTCTCTTTTATTCTCTCTTTCTCATCTTCCATCTCTTTGCTCTTTCTCTCAACAATCTATTATAATAAATTTTGATTGTTTACTGTTGTGATTGGAACCTTGGTGATTAGTTAATTTGATTACTGTAATTAATTTGTTGCATTCAAATCAGAAATCAAGTCGATTAATTGATTGTCAAAATTGTAAAATTAATTTTTATTCGAAAAAAAAAGTTAACAAGAAGAAAAGAAATAAGCAATTCCAGAAGATTCCGATACGATAACATGAAGAGACTTTATCATTATTATTATCAAGTAACAACAATAATAATGATGATGATGTAGTTTTGCTAATCTCATTTTTTAATTGAAATCGAAATGATTAGAATGATGAAAGTGAAGTTAACGATTGAAAGGGAAAGTAAATATTAAATTGTTGAACAACAGGAGAGTTTCTGAAAAGAGAGAAAATAAAAAAAAACCTGAACTCGATCTAAACTTAGAAACTTTAGTTCGTAACTGCGTCAACGAGCATCATCAATGATATTCACTTTTTATGTTCTTTCTAATTATTATTATCATTAACATTTTTTTTCTCTCTTCTTACTCGATTATTAACTCAACTTCAATTCTCAATCGAAGTTTCAACTGATTGTTCATTTTCCATTTTCCATTGTCCATATTTGTTTATATTCCATCGACTAAAATAATCTCTCCCTCTCTCTCTCCTTCTCTCTCAATTACCTCATCATCTATTCTCGGGTATTGATAATATGGATCCTGTTGAGAATTCATTTAATTGCAATCAAGTTGTTTCCATAATTTGATTCATTTCATTTGTTATGATGCAGATAATTGAGATGATGAAGGTAATTATGATGAGGATGCAGTCGATGATGATGATGTGTTTCTATTTGTTTATCAATCTGTAATTAAAAATTAACAAAACATTAGAGTTTTTTTCATCAATGTATCAATCGTTTTATTCATCTAGTTGTCTGTTAAATACTAATTACGATTAGTGAGAGAGAGAGAGAAAGATGATGATGATCATGATTAGTTTCTAACGTTTCTTTCTTATTGCTTTTTCCATTTCTCTTCTCTTACTTTTTTTAGCTTTCCCTTTCCTCTTAAATACTAATCAACATCTTTCCACCGTCACCATCACTCATCCCACCACCACCACCGTCACTACCAACACCATCACTCTAACAACAACAACATTACCGCTACAACTACTGTTAACTACTACAACTTATTATCTTCAATCAGTATCAATCTTCAATTCTCAGGCCATTAAAGTGCTGCAATTGTTGTTATTCAGCCTTTTTCTTGATGCAATTTCTTATTTTAACTTATAGTCTATCAGCCGTTAATTTGAAATAATAATAAGAGAGTAAAGAAAGAGAAATAGAAAGAAAGGGAATTAAGATGCGAAAGAGATGATGGAACTTGTGTTGATGTTGGATGATGATGATGATGATGATAAAGAAAAAGGAAAACGGGAAACGGGAAAAACGATCTTAGTTCTTCCGCGATCTTTTAAAATAGACCTGAATACCGTTCTAAACCGGTTCTACTTCTACCCAGGTATTTTCAGTCTTTCTTTTCTCTTTCTTTTCTCTTACTTTTTCTTCGTCTTATTATTCATTTTCTTTTTTATTTTACTATTCTCATTCATTCATTCTCTCTTTTCATCTCCCTTTCTCTTCTGATTCTATCTCTATTCCTGAGAAGGAAAGAGAGTTCTGAGTGCGAATGATGAAGAATAACAAGTTAATTCTTCTCTTCCTACTGTACAATAATCAAAAACAATTTTAGATTATCTTTTTCTTTTCTTTTCTCACACACACTTTTCTTTTCTACTCTTCATCATCTTTTCATTTTCTTCTTCATCTTAACTAATATATACTTTGTGTGTTTCGTTTCAATTCTGATTCAAATTGTAGATTTAACGAGCAACATGAAGAAGAGAAAAATAATAAATACTCAACTTCCATCAACATGATGATAATAATAATCATTATAATAATAATAATCTCTGCATCATGATGATTCTTATCTTTTATATGATAAAATGTTTTTATATACAAAAAAAAAACGATAAAGTTTTTCATGTTATTTTGACTCTTATCGCTGACTTGACATTCAGAACTTTCTTCCCCCTTCAGCTAACAAGATCCTAACGGTAAATGACAAACACCTCAGAGAGCAAACTCACTGATGATAATAGTAATAGAAACAACAAAGGTGAATAAACAAATTGGAGAGAAAAAAAAATTCTCAATGGAAACAAATAGAACATTGAAAACATGAAGAATCTGAAATATTGATCAAAGCAAATCTTAAATGTCCAGTTTCTTGTTTCGCCAAAGTAACAGGTAAAAATGTATACAAACAAATTAATGGATTAGGTGGAGTGGAAACATTAAAATTATAACAGTTAATTATGAAAATAAATAAGTTGATTTAAGGTTTGGTTTGTTTCTGGTTTAGCCCAAGTTGAAGTCAATTGCTTGGTCCAGGTAGGGTCGCTCTCTCTCTCTCTCTCTCTCTCTCTCCCACTTGCTCACTCTCCTGGTCTTCAATCATCAACTTTCATTTGATAAGCTAAGTTTAAATTAGATAACAATTGTGAAAATTGGCTCTTAAATTAAGATACGATTTTTGGTAATAATAATAATCGTAACTCCTCCTGATATGTATTCGTATTATCACTGATTAACTGTTCGCTTTTCTATTAAATTGATCATTTCTTTTTCATTTATCCACTAACCGTGATTATCTAATATATATAATATAATTGCACGATGAAAAAAAAAGCTTATCCTACAAATAGATTTAAAAAAAATTTTCCCAATCTTTTTTAATTTGGTTCGGAATTGACTTGTGAATGGTAATACCATTACATTATATTCAAAAGCATTTTGGTTTTCACATTCAATTATAATTACTTTCTGAAACCATGGACAACAACAAGATTGACAGGATGATGAAAAGTTAAATGAATGATTGAATCAAGATTAAGATTAAAACTGAATGAGAGTGATATTAATAATTAAATAATAATTAATATTAATCGTGTTATTCATAAAGCTCAATGTGACTAATTTAATTACAGTTTGTAACAGGAGATTGGGTGGGATGAACAATTACCGTTATATTAAATTTAGAGTCTTTGAAACAATAGATTGAAGGAGAAGAAGCAAAAAAAAATGAAAAATTCATCTGATCATCAATCTAATAAGCCCACGAATCAACGTACATCAATTAATGAAACAATATATTGTCTTATTAGTGGATTGTATTGTTAAACAATAGATGTTTAAATTATAATTTCTTTTTTCATTCTCTTTGATGACTCAAGTTGTTTCTGATGAACGGGTTTTTACCGAGTTCAGATAATTACATTCGATAGTTTTGAATAAGCTGAAAACTTCTCGAGTAATAGAAATAACTTTCTGCAACTTATAAGATACAGAAATAATTGCAATAACACACACACACACTAACGAAAAAAAAACTCGTAATTATAATATGTGTATCAAATTACAAAACTGATGATCATTTGAAAGTGTTGGGAATTGTTTGTAAATAGTTTCATTGATTGAGTTATCATATCAGAAAGAAACACTAATAATAATAACAGTAAATTTTGTGTATATTCAAATGAAAAGTACTAATAATAATGATAAAAGGCTTTATAAGAATCAAGTATCTCTTTCATTTCAATTTTGAACAATTTGAATGTGAAAAGTTTCATTTTTCAAAGTCTCATTACTTTTTCAGAACTTCCTAATTAACTTTATTAGCTGAATTGATGGTAAGCAGGGGAGATAGAATAGTGAATAAGCATATTATCGTGCCGAAAAGAGGCAAAAAAGAAAAGGTAATTAATGAATTTAATGATTCTAATGGTTAATGAATAAAATATATTAAGTTATTTGTAAAAGTTTTACGTTTTACTTTTGAAGAATGAGGATTTGATTACTAAAGCTAACAAGTATTTTGCGAAAACTTGATTCAAAAGGAGAGTGAGATAAGTAAGAGATGAAACCACCAAAAAAGCAAAAGAAAAAGAGAAAGGGAAACAATTAATTTACTAACCAATTACTTATTATTAACTCACGTTATCATCATTAACGGAAAAAGTATCGTCGTTGTTGGTAAATATTCATTCATAATCCTTTTCTTTTTCTTTACGCCCTCTAGCTGATTCAAAGGAAGCTGATGAAAATTTTTTACTTTCTTACTAATGCTCAGAGAGGTTACTACACTCACAGAATTTTTTCATCAATTTTTTCCCTTTCGTTGGGGACCAAGATAGAGAAAGAGAGAGAGAGAGAGAGAATAAGTTTCTCTCCAACTAACACTAGATGGCATTTGAAAGTTTATTGCTTGACGAAGCTTCAATCAGAATAAGTCAACGAAAGGTGATCAGGCTGAGAAGAGTAATTGTAACATTCCAATAATTTTGAGTTCAAGGATGTTCAAGTTATCAAGTCGTTGTAATTTCGTTAATTTTAGATTAGGATAATATTTTTGAGCAGTTAGTAGAATAGCCTAAGGTGAATGCTTGTTGATAATTTTTGGATTGAAATTACCTTTAGTTTTATTTTGAACATTTCGTTTATCTTTGGATCCTCCAAATTTGAGTATATTTGTGAGCTTAAAGCGCGACCATGAGTTTTGTGATTTCGATCCATTTATTTGAACTGATTTATCGGGTACATTCTGTTGACTACTTCCAACGATAGAGCTTCGTTTGTATTTAATTTCGTTAGGTGGGGGAATTGAGTCGCCATCATTTGAAGAATTAAATGCTGGTGAAGGAGATGGAGATGGAGTTGGAGTTGGAGACTGACGATGTACATAAAATTGATGCTGTTGATTTTTATGACGATGTCGATGTTGATGTTGTTCGTTGTGATCATGATCGTGGTAATGTTGATGGAAACGAGGTGAATGAAGTTGATCAAGAGGTGATGAAGATTCCATAGGATCAAATTTTAGCCTCTCACAAACTGGAGAAAGTGAGGCTTCTCTATCACTATTATCTTCTGTAGCCGAAGAAAACATTTTCGATCGACTTGATGATCCAGTCGACGATGCGTTACTTTGAATACTTAATTGTTTTTCATAGAAATCAATTGGTCTTAATGGTAATTGAATATTTTCACTATCATATGAATATTTGTCGGTTCCTGTTGAGCAAATTATTGAACTTCGATGTACACGCCCGGAAGAATCATTTGCATCGGCATCTTGTCCAGATTTGTCCGCTGTATCTTCAGTATTTTTCCGATGCTTGGAGGTTAGAAACGATTTCAATAGAAACAAGTTCCGTGCTTTCTCAGATTTAGCTTGCTTTTCATTAGAATGATCGTTGACCGTTAATGGTCCTGGTAAACTCTCGTTATCTTCACGATTCAGACTAGGGACTAAGGCTGATTTAGCCTCGCCTAATAAGCCAGGACGTTTCCCCACACGAACAGCGGCTTTTATATTCAATTTTAAGTTAAGTCCATTTTTAGTCAGTCTTTCTCCTCCATTTTTGGTCACTTTGTCTGAGCTCCCTTCGTTATGAATATTATTTTCCGGGTCAATTTCGCTTGATCCCTCCTGGCTCCTGAAAATAAAAAAGAAAATGGAAAAACATGAAATGATCAGTTATTTAGTTAGATTAGTGATTTTGATATTTTTCGATGGACTAAAAGATAATTAATCTTACATTCAACATGCGAGATTTTAACAAAACGCTTAAGAGATTTTCTTTACAGTTTTATATATTTTCAAGACTTAAGTCTTTTTAGAGGATTTAAATTTCTCTCTCTCTCTCTCTCTCTCTCTCTCTCTCTCTCTCTCTCTCTCTCTCTCTTGATCCAAACAAGATCAAACAAACGAAACTGGACTTACTTGTTATTGGACTTTAACATTATGCATACAGTTATTTGAGTGTATTCATGATTTGTTTCATCTCAAACAGGCTTTCGATTATCATAAAATGAATCATTCATCATGAAATTAAATTTTACTTTCACTAATTTCAATAATAAAGTATTAAATTGTATCTGATTGCATGCTCTTCTTTTTGTGAATGACAATTATAATTTCAATTAAAGGAAAGAAGAAAAAGAAGAAACTTTCATTTTTCTTCATGATGGACAATCAATGCTTTTCATGAATTAACAGTTAATTTATCATAACATGCATTCAATTAAAGTGAATACTTGTTTCTTTAAATTATCACTGTTATGTTAATTATAAACTTGATTGTTTAATGGATTGGGAGACTGTTATAATTGACACAATTTGAAAGTTTGTTACTTTGAGACTAAATTCTTGGTCCGTTAGAATGATAATAATAATAAGATAGACATAACAAGAGAGAGAGAGAAAAAAGTGGAAATTGAAAGTGAAGTCGATTTACGAGCAGAGATGAGGATGATTGAAATGATGATGAAGATGAAAAAGATGGCTGGTTGATAGTTTGATTAAGCCAACGGGATGATTGCCAAGAAAGAGAAAAGAGAGAAATGAAGATTAGGAGATTAATGTAGATTAGAAAATGTTAGTTAAAGAGAATAAAAAACAAATGGAGAGCAAAGTGTTATACGAAAAGGGTATAAATTCAACGAGAATAAGCATTAATTGTTCATGCTAATTGGAAAGCAACTAGATGAGGTGTATCAACATTGAAAATGAATTGAATTAATCATTCCAGATACCAAATCATTTAACTTACATTTTGAAGGAAGAAAAAGTTGAAGATCAATTAGGTAAATGTACAAAAAATAAGTCGATATTATAACAGATCAACTAGGTTAAGATATTTGCGGTTAAATTGATGCTGACGGAGAAAACCTAGTTTATGGGTACGTCAAATCGCGTTGAAACATTGTATTAATTCATTAGGATAAAAGTTTTTCAAGTGATTGGTAAAATGAAGTCCACAATCAGATGAAAACGATTTTGTATTGTTATAGACCATCCAGATCACAGTTGATAACCAATAAATTAATCGATTTAACTTGAATGTTTGAACATCAGAACACAAAAATACTCGTCATTGTTAAGCTAATTGATTGTTGTTTGTTTATCCAAAGTGTTACTAAGCTCTGGAACTCAGATGATGATGGTTTAAATGGCTTGTTGTTTTGAATGGTCACAAAGGTGAGTAACATTGGTCAGTAAACTAGAAAACAAATGGAATATAAAATGTAATTAAAAGGTAAAAAGATCAAGATTATCACATAAACAGAAATGTATTGAGGTTTTCAGAGACTATTTGATGATGATTTTCAATTGTGAATCAGAATTAGTCTCTTTTCAAGGCTTAATTCCTAATCTTATTTAAACTTTCTCTGTACTGACAAACAGAATTAAATGAGAGATAAGATGTTGATTAAAAAAAAACAAACTACACAACATAAACTGGCAAAGATTCACTTCGACTCAAGTTAGATTTTAAGAATTAATATCCTTTCCCTCTTTGTTTTTCTCTAAGGATAATCTTTTAAAATAGATTTTACATGTAAGAAATGGTTGAGATCATGATATTTGTCTTATTTTCTCATACATTCTCCATTTTGACAAACCTCTCGCGAATTATTATCTTTCTTCTTACTTTCATTTGTCTATTTTGAAAAAACACTGAGCTTCAAAAATTCAAGAGAAACTCTTCAATCAGAATTTAAATTAATTTATTCAATTGTACTTACCTAAATGCCTTTCTTATCTTTCCAGTGCGAATTGATATTCTACCTGATGCCTGATGGTTTCATGATATTGACCAACAAAAGGTGAGAATCTCAGCTAACATCAATAACGAGAACCAAAATCTGGTTGCCAAATAAAGACACGCCAGCAACTGGATGAAACTTAATCAGAGGTTGTCTCATTTCAGGTAATCTTGTTATGTGACCTGAGAATAAACTGAAAATTTGACACGATGAAAAATCCCATGAAACACTGAGAAAAAAAGAAGATTAAAATTCATGTAGAGCAGCTTAAATTGTCAGAATTGAATCGTTTGACAATGTTACTGAACTGATAAAGATTAACCAATGACTTCAAAGGAAATTAATTTGACCATCACTTGACTTAAATCATCATTAAATTGAAAGAAATGGCAAACAAATTAAACTGAGAATATAATTATCAACAGGATTTAAACATACGATGTACTTGGAAACATAAACAATTAACATTGAGAAAAGAAAATGTATCCACATGTTTACATTGTTACGTCACAGTTTCCATGGCAACAAAAAAGAATTCGAACTTTTTTTCTCTTTAATTTTCTATTCGATTGTTTCTACTTTCAGTTTATTATTGTTGCTAATTGTTGTTCTACTGATTATTTGAATTTTATCGACAATTTAATTAGTTTATTTTTGTGAAAATCGTTAATTCAATCATCAACATGGAATCTCATCGGATTGAAGCTCCAAATTATGAGATAATTGATCTTATTCAATCAATTAGTAAGATGAAAGGTAAGTTAATTTTAATTTTCCTTATTTTAATTGTTTTTAATTCTGTCTGCTTTTTTTTCATCTTTTGACTTTACTTTTACTGTTTTATTTTTGATTTAAAGCTGAAGTTGCCAAAAATGCATTCAAAATAAGCAAACAATTAATCCCCAAGCATAAAGAGCCTGATCTTTTCGATCAGCTTTGTAACGCTGTTAGGGATCTTATCCCATCGGAGGCTAAACTTGAGGCGACCGAGACCCGGATGGAGGAAAACGTTGAGGTTGCAGGTAAACCTCAAGCCAATCAAACAGATGAAATCAAATTAGAAAATTGAGATTTGAAATCCTTTTTTTGTAAAAACAATGTTCATTTTCGTTAATCAATACAGAAATAATGACAATTATCTACGATGATCAATCATATTGAAAATATTATTCTCTCAAACAACAAATATGTAAACCAAATTCTCACCAATACAGAGCTTTAAAAAGAAACATTGTTATTAAAAAAAATAGTACCTTTATAAATCACATAACAGTTTAGAATCGTTGATTTATTGAAAGATGTTACAGTTTGTGAGTGAGAAGAAAAAAGAGAGAAAATTTTGATGAGAGAATATAACATCTGAGGTGGAAATTTAAGCAATGAAATAGAAATGAAAGAAAAACGAGAAAAAGAAAATCGAAAGAAAAAAATATAAACTCTCTTGAGTTTTAACGATTTCTCAATAGACCTAAAATTGTTAGTACCAACGGGATATCGCGAGCTTGATCTCCAAGGACTTTATGAGCTTCTTCAAGACGACTGACCAATTTGGCTTCGAATCGTGGTAGCCAATCGCTTATGAGCGGCGATTTAACATCTAATTTGGGTACGATTGCGGTGATAAAAGGGATCTTCCATTTCTCTTCCTTAAGATTGGCTTGGGCTAAGGTGCTTAAAATGGACAGTAGAAGCGCTTGATCGTGAGCTACCAGGTCAACCAGGAAAGACGCTCCTTTGGTGTTTTTAAAATGCTCACAAATTTGGTTTATATAAATTGGATCTTTGAGTTCGAAGGCTTGACAAATACCATCGAGTATTTGTTTTCTATCGTTACTTCGGATCTTACTCCACATTTGAACTAATCGATTGGCCTTTTCGAGTTCAGCTTTTTTCCTTTTCTCTTCCTCCGATTGAAATATCACCATTGGACTAAAAGGTTGTTTGTTTGGTGTCGGTGTTGTGTTCATCAACTGATGACGAAGACCCATTGGTATCGGTGAAACAGCGTGAAGTTGTTGTTGTTGGAATCTTAATTGGGCGATTATTTCGCTTTGATTTTTACTACATTCAGCCACTTCTTTACGTAGCTCGGTAATCTGAGCTTCACATTGTTTCATCTGTTTCTCCATTGATGTAACTTGTGAATTAAAATCATTTTTACACTGGTTAATGGTGTTTATTGTTGGTGTTATTTCAGATCGAATTTGTCCCATAAATTCTTCCAATCCTTTTGCGAACATTCCGTTCATTTGATGCATCAGCTTTTTAACTAAAACATCGACAATCTTATTAGCGGCTTTTAATTGTGACGGATCTTTAACTTCATTACGAAGACTCTCAATGTCATCGCTTATCTTGGACATTTCACTCTGAAGACTGTCCACTTTAAGGTTAAAACGGTCAATAAGATTTGATTCCAGGGCTTTTAACATCCCTTCCTTGGCGAGATCTTTAGGTAAAGGCTCGTAAGGCACTGAACTGATGGGATGTTGAACTCTTGGATCGATATTAAGTATCTTGGTTGGAGGAACATTCATTTCACTTGGTGGTTCCATTCTAAGCATATCTTGATACACCTTGAGGTTTGATTTTCTAGGATGAACCTTTTCATCGTCGAGATAATTTGCCACCTCTCGACTTGTAGGTGAACTGGTTTGACGCTGGCTCATTGGGTCATTCATTGAATGACCACCAGAAATGGATTTTGGTTCATTAGATGTTTTATTTCCGGATCCACCAACAGCTAAACCAGATGCTCCTGATTCGGAAATAGTACTCGTGTTATTGAAAATATCTGCCAGGGTAACAGGTGGAGTTTGCTCATAAGATGGAAGAGATCGTCTCGATGAGTCATTGCCAACAGATTCAACATCAGCTCCATTAATACTCATATTTTGAAACAATAGTGATGATCGTTTTGAATCATACTCTTGGCTAATATTTGATATATTATACCTGGAGAGGAAAGTGTTTTCTGCATTTTCATCGATCACTAGACTGTCAACATCAACTAAACATTTCTCGATGGTTTTCTGGGTTAACCAGAAAATCTCAATCTGAGAAGGATTTGGTCTTTTCACGGTAAAGGAGAGAATTGGATTGTACAGTTGAAATCGGGTAATTTTCTTGATTCGAGGCTGTTTAACGAGAAGAGATTTGTCACTTTCATCTACTCCACATCTTCCACCGTCGAGAAATTCTAAATGCAGAAGGAAACCAGTCTTTTCTTGAATAGCGATGATAACTTGAGATGTTAAATCGATTCTGTAGGTAATGTTGGAAGGCTCTTCGTCGGGAAAACTGAGAACAACCTTTTGAATGGGTCGCCAATGATTGGATTCCCAAATTGTTATTTCTCCATTTGAGGTTCCAACGAAAATATAACCCCAAATACCTCGGTCTTGGTCTTTGAGTAATTCATTGAAATCATCAAGGAAAAAGATACAACTCAAATTACCACCCGTGAGCCATTCTGGTTCCCATGTATGAACGAGGCGAACTTCTTCATCTTCAAATTGATAAAATCGAACTCGATTGTCTTTAGAAGCAGAACATATCATTGCTAAATCATTAGATAATGCGAGAGTAATTATTGGTTCACACCCAGATTCTTTGATCAATTTCCTTTCAGGAGTTGAGAGTTCTAACTCTTCTTTGGAGATGTGACAGAAGCCTTTTTCTGCAAAACGCCCAACATCATAAACTTCAATGGTATTGTCATATGATATGGCCAAATTCATTCCGAAATCTTCATCATCTACAACGTAACCAGGACACCAAGCAAGTCTGACCTCAGAGAAAGGGACACCAACCTCAGATACGATTTTTAAAAGTTCAAATGACTTGTAAGTATCATTAATGACAGTGAAACTGTAGATGACGACATTGGCAAATCGATCAACTACTGCTAATTTATCATCATTACGATTTGACATGGTAACATAAGCAAATGCAAGATCGGCAATTGTAGTGGAGAATCCTGGCTTAACAAGGAACCTTTTCTGGTTGTTGTAGTTCATAATGCGAACAATTTGCTTTTGTGGATCGAGCTCTTCGACTGATCGACTAAGACGACTAGATTCTTGAAAATCAGGCAAAAGAACATAAGCAATAAAAGGTTTCGTCTGATGGACAGTTAACCAATTTGTGTTTCGAGTTTTTGGCCATTTATAGTCGATTATTTTCTCGATTTTACTGAAACTACTGTTGGTGTTAAAGTAAACATTGTCCCCTTCCAATTTGGGGACATTGACATAAACCACTTCAGCATCAGGATCCACACGTAGACTACAATTATTATTGAGAGTGGTTTTCACTCCAATCATGTTTACCATGAGGTGTTAACAATAAAGTGTGTTAAAGGATAAAATTGTTAAGAAAAAAAGAGAGAAAGAGAGAGAGAGAAAGAGATACAATAAAACTGAGACAAAATGTAAAGAAATATTTTCACGTTGACAAAAAGATTGAATATAAAACAATGACTGAGATCACGAGAGCAAAAATTAAGGTGAACAAGAGTTGAATGAAAGACACGCTAAAAGTGAACAATCAATAAATTATAAAATTAAACAAAAAAGCAAATGATTACAACAAATAATCAAACCGATGATTTTTTGTAGCCACTTAACCAGTTGATCGAAGCCGTTAAGCTGAAAGCAAATCGGTGAAGCCGAAGATCCGATGGCTTATCCACCGAGTCCCAAAGAAAAACTATTTTCATCAATTTCCAATCAACTTTCAACCGTTAATTTAAACACTTTAAATTAAATGAAAAAACAAATTACCATTACAAAGAATTAAAATGTAAAAATTAAATTGTAATTCCCCTTTTGATTAAATTAGAATTTCAAAATATCGATTTAATATCGATACTGGTCAATGGAAGTATCTGATCTTTAGGATTTTCGTTTTTTCATTTTTTTGTTTACATTTTTTATCAATTTATTTTTTCTGATTTTTATTTTTATTTATTTTCCTTTTTTTTCTTGTTAATATTAATTGTGATCTTTATCAATTGTGTTTCCTTCATCCTTTTTGTTAAATATTTACTCTGTAATCAAATCATAATGAGTATCCAATTGACCTTTGTTACAACTTTTTTATACATTGAAATTGTTATCATGTTAATTTCATTGCCAAAAAATTCATCAACTGCTCCAACAGTTTCACATCCAGAATCTAATTTATTTGATCAATTTTGCCTTAATTCTACAAATTTTAATTCTATCCAGCATGATAAATTTATTTATATAAATAATTTTAATCGAAATGCTAAACCAGTTGACAGTAGAAACTTACGAAACTCTTCCCCTCTGGTTCCCGATCCAAGTAGTAGTACAATTGAAGTGTTAGATCGTATTAAAAGATTAAGTAAACCACCTAATGGTCGTAAAAATCGGCGTAAAAATCGTAAAACTACTTGCCGACGGAATTCACTTTATGTCGATTTCAGTGAGGTCGGTTGGAACGATTGGATTGTCGCACCTTTGGGTTACCAAGCCTTCTATTGTGTCGGTGAATGTCCTTACGTCCTCAACGACAGTCACAATGCAACTAATCATGCGATCGTCCAAAATTTAGTTAATTCATTTACACCCAATAAGGTACAAAAATCTTGTTGTGTTCCCACTGAACTTTCATCGATATCAATTTTATACGTTGATGAACATGGGAAAGTTGTTCTTAAAAATTATCAAGACATGGTAGTTGAAGCTTGTGGATGTCGATAAAAGGACAATTTACTCAAATGTAATATCACTGCCATAAACAATTAGTAAGTTTCCATCTTTTCTACCATTTCATCAAGCCAATTATCTTTTCTAATCTTGTATTTTTCTTCCTCTTACACAGCAAGGACACAAACACAAACACTTTAAACTTAAAGAAATTATTCCCTCTTTGTGATAATTCATAATGCGAACAATTTGCTTTTGTGGATCGAGCTCTTCGACTGATCGACTAAGACGACTAGATTCTTGAAAATCAGGCAAAAGAACATAAGCAATAAAAGGTTTCGTCTGATGGACAGTTAACCAATTTGTGTTTCGAGTTTTTGGCCATTTATAGTCGATTATTTTCTCGATTTTACTGAAACTACTGTTGGTGTTAAAGTAAACATTGTCCCCTTCCAATTTGGGGACATTGACATAAACCACTTCAGCATCAGGATCCACACGTAGACTACAATTATTATTGAGAGTGGTTTTCACTCCAATCATGTTTACCATGAGGTGTTAACAATAAAGTGTGTTAAAGGATAAAATTGTTAAGAAAAAAAGAGAGAAAGAGAGAGAGAGAGAGAAAGAGATACAATAAAACTGAGACAAAATGTAAAGAAATATTTTCACGTTGACAAAAAGATTGAATATAAAACAATGACTGAGATCACGAGAGTTCATCATTTGCATGATTTCATTATCACTCAATTTACTGCGCAAACTGGAGGGTAAGTTTCTGTGTTTTCTTCCAATGCTCATCACTTCTTATTCTCCGTTTTTCTTTTAATAAGGTGCCTTTATCTTGCTGGTGTTCTTGGAACAGGGAAAAAAGCTACTGTTAGAAGTGTGCGAAGATCTGTTGAAGAAAATGCGACCAAACTAAATATAAAGAAAAAGTTACATCGCTTCATTGAAGTCAATTAAAGATCCTAATCTTTTATTATTCAATCCTTCAAAAGAATACCAAATTTTCCGTTAGATGGCGGCAGACTTCAAAAAGAATAGCTTCTTATGAGGTCGATAGATGGAGACAAGTTTGGATTTTGAAAAAACTTTTCCATTTTTTATAGAAACGTCAAGTTGGAAACATTTAATTTCCTTTTCTGAATTTGTAGTTTTTGCAATCAGTTTAGAATTAAAAAAAATTTTTCATCTTGGTGAGAAAATATTTAATTTATTCTCTCTGTGTGTTCACAATTAACAGAATCCTCATCTTTTAAGTGTTTTGATGTTTGTAACCACAAAAAAACAAAAAGTGTAAAAAAAAGTGGAGAAAAAAATCTCATTTGGAAAACATTTAGAATCAGTTGGTTTTTTTTTCTTCATCTTCTCTGGTTATTTGAATTCTACCTGTTTGATTTTGTTTGATTAACAATATTTACCTTTGCATTAATTGAGAAAATCTTCAAAATTTAATTTCCAAAATGGTTATTTCATTTGTTAAATATATTGTTCTCATCTATAATTTTATTTTCTGGGTAAGTCTCACCTTTTTATATTCTTCTAAAATTTTCTTCTTTTTCATTAGGAATTTTTAATCATCTAATTGGTGATTTTGATTTTCCATCACAATTAGTTCGTTTACTTTCAAACGATTTAAAAATTATATGTGGTCATTTGTTGTTCATCTTTTTTTTTGTTTCTCTTTTGTTTGTTGTACTTTCCAAGATAAGTTGTTGTGGTCATGTAATGTTGATGTTGAATTTTTTGTTCTTTTTTCTCTTCAACATGATTAAGTTCTCATTTCTTTTCTTAAAGGAGTGGATTTTAAGATGACCTAAACTGTGAACATGTGAGAACTAATTTGCTTTATTTTACCAATATTTCAATTCTCCCTGAATCTCCTTTACCTTTAACGGTGAATATGAATAGAAAATGTCAATCAAGTCCTCGTGTAAATCACTCACGACGTATCCTTTTGTCTTTATTGTCGTCATAGGTTTTGAAAACAACAAACTACTAATTGTTACAACAATCAGTAGATATTAACACAGGTGATCTTTTAACCTTCTTTTTCTTAATCTATCAATTTATCATTGATACTTATCAAGGTTAGACTAACAAGATAATGATAATAATCAATCTAAATAAAGGATTAGCCCAGATTTGGATTAATTTAAAGTTACTTTTTTTTATTATCATTACTTTTTATCATTTTTTAAGTATTTTTACCAATAGTTTTACTTTCATTGTTAACTTGATCATAATCAATTACCCTACCAATAGATATGGTCGTTGGTAATGTCGAAGCAGTTTGAGAATTATACTCCGAAAGATAATTGCTAATGTTATCTTTGTTAATGTGATTGCTAATTTCTTTCCAAAGATAAGTGCCATTTTCTTGACCAATATGGTGAACCATTTTTTGGTCAACATACGGATCGTATTTTTCATAGTTGTCAATAAATTTTGCCTCATAAACGGCGGCGGGTGTGGAAAAGGCTGAATAGGATTGAACATTGGGCGTCGTTGTTGAATCGGGAAACCTTGACTCGGATGAAGATGATGATTCAATGGATAATGGAAAGGTATAGAAGACTGTTGATGAGTTGGTGGAACCATAATCGCCTCCGATATTAGGGATGATAGATTTTGGTGTTGTTGTTGTTGATGATGATGATGAAGATTCGATTCCATTAGAGGAGGTTGGGCTAATAGCGTCCGATCCAAGCTGCTTAGATCGGTCATCGACACGAAAATTGGGCTTGGAAGGAACTGTTGTTGATGATAAGGTTGCTGTTAATGGTGATGGCGAGGGGCCATTGGCACGAAAATTATCCCTATCATCTCTCAATGCTTTTCTTGTTGAATTTAATGATGAAGATAATGAGGAAGATAATGTTGATAATGGTCTGGGTTGAGATGCTGATGATGGTAAAGACTCTCTGATTATATTATTTCGCATTATCATCATCCTATTATTATTTTGATTGTTATTAGTATCGTTAATTGTTTCTTGAGATTCATCTTGTGATGATCTTTGTTGAATATAAACTGGTGGATTAGCTGTTGTTATGCTTGTTGATTTTTCACTCTCATAATCCATTCGTGAATTAATTGACGTCTTCATCAAATTTGATGATTCTTTGTTGGTTTGAGTTGACGAAAATGTTGTCGATGATGTCCCGTCAACATTATTATTGTTTTCAATGAATGCTCGGTATTCCATTGGTGCTTTATGGGTTCGCGGAGGTTTACCCAGGACTGGTTTTCCAATAACAATTGATCCTGTTTGATCAACTGAATCTCCACCATGCTGAGTATTATAATCTTCAGGGTTTGAGTTAGACAAAAGGGTTATTTTGCCTTGATGAATTTTCGTTTCAGATTCAAGAGTTGATTTCGGTTTATCATGTGAATAATCACTTTCCCTCTGTGATTCTGAGTTTTTTATTATCTCATATTGAGAATCATCGTATTGTGCTGTTCCAGACTGAGGTAGTTGTTGATTTGGAAGTTGTTGACTAATTTGATTGTAATTTCCTCTTGTTGACCCTGCGGGAACAAATGCTCCACCTTGAATATTTGGAACTTGATAATAAGGTTGAGGCTGATTAACTGGTTGTTGTTGCTGTTGTAGTCCAAATGTATTGGGTAAATCTTGAGTGTAAACGACTGCTCGTCCAGGGTAACCTGGTTGAGCCACGGGAACCATAGCTGGAGACATGAACGCTGGGCCTTGTGGAGGATGTAATAGTATTTGATGGGGAGTAAAAGGTGATGAGGATGGTGGATGAGGTTGTTGTTGAGGTGTTGGAGGTAGATATTGAATTGACTTCATTTGCGATCTTTCGTGTAATTTGCTCTTTGGTACAGCGTATCGAACACCATTATAAGGCTCATGAGGTAAAATCATCGGTCTTCCTAGTGAATGTCCATTAAGTCGACGAGCTCCTTTATCTCGACGTCGATGAGCTAAATTTTGTCTTTGTTGACCAAATCGGGATACTTGTTGTCCAGTAGGATCACGAAAACCATCACCGTCCAGATCAACATCCTCACCACCACCTCCGCCATCAACCAACGAAGGGTCTTCTGGAATAGGTGGTTGATCAGGATTATTTGGATCAAATGGAGCATTTTCATCAACACCTTCGGGTGGAGCATCGACTGGTGGACCAGCAGTAGCTCCATCATCAATTGGTGCTTCAGAGACTGGATCACCTGGTGTTCCCGCGATTTTTGCCTCTTTCGATCTTTTCTTGACTCCATAACTTGTCGTTTGAGTTTGATTGTGACGAGGCGATGCATTCGAGTTGTTAATATTAACCTGTACATTACACTTTGGACAATCCTCCCTATGGTCAAGCAGAAAAAAACTTGTCTATATTAATATATGATTCATTGATTCGTAAAATTTTTAAATAGAGAAACAAAAGACCTTACTTGGAATACGGAACATTACAGATTTAGTATTTACTTTAGTAGTTAATAGAGAGAATGAGAGTTAATGCCAATGTCAGTCAAGCTCATTAACTTTTCGATAATTTTCTATTTTTCTGAATCATTCGAAAACTTACATTTTTCCTGCGGGCGCCGGTGTTGTGGTTGTCATATTTTTCATATAATATTTTAGCATATTAGCCATTTGATTCATCATCGCAGCATATTGATCACTATCACCATAACCCCAATCGGGTGATGATTTACGGTTCGAATTATCAATTGGATTCCATGGGTTAGATGGTTGTTTCCAAGGATTCCCGACGTTTTTAAGTTGATCCCAAAGATTAGCAGCACCACCTTTCCATTGATCCCATGGATTACTCGGCTGTTTCCCCTGATCCCAAGGGTTACCCGTTGGTTTAGCCGTTTGATCCCATGGATTTGACGGTTTACCTTGTTCCCAAGGGTTTGAGGGTTTTGTCTCCCACGGATTACTTGGTTTAGCCCATGGATCGGCAGGCTTAGCAGGCCATGGATCGGCTGGTTTTGATGGCCAAGGGTCAGAAGGCTTATTGCCCCATGGATCTGAGGGTTTACTTGCCCATGGATCTGGTGGTTTTGTTGACCATGGGTCAGGTGTTGGGGTGGTTGTAGGCCAAGGATCTTTTGCCGGTGAGGGCCAAGGATCTGGAGCCGGAGTTGTTGTTGGCCAGGGATCTTTAGCTGGTTGTGAAGGCCAAGGGTTAGGGTTTGGTGGTGGAGGCCAGTTACTGACTGTACCCCATGGATGAGAGGGTTTACCATCCATGTTTTTCATCATCGACATCATCATCATCATCATTAACATTAAATCAGAGTTTCCTCCTCCTTTCTGAATTGTTGGTGGTTGTTGATTTCTCATACTGAAAAATCCATCGAATCCATTTTGACCGTTATTATTACGCCACAATTCAAGATAACGAAATAACCATAATTTAAAAAAGGGTGCAATTAATACCATTGGATTAGTTAATTTACAACACAATTAACAAGAAGCGATCAACAAAAATACAATTAAAACAAATTCACCATGTTAGTTAACGTTAATTTGAACATAATCATCAAACGACTGATCAACAAGTTGTGACACTTTCCTAAGCTCCTTAGCTCACCTATTTCCTCCTTCTCATCATCGTTTAATTGTCGATATTTATGATTCTATTTTTTTATTGTTAATTGTCTATTTCTTGTTTCGATCAATTTTTTTGGTTTACAACTTTAACTCCATTTTGATAACTTTTCCCATAAAAGCCTGATTGTTTTAACAATCAACAATCTAATTCAGTTTCTTAATTACTTCTCTATTTCCCAATCCTTCCTCTCTTAATAAGTCAATTTTGATTGATTTCTGTCAATCAAAGTGAAGATTTTTTTGTTTCTTTTTTTAATTACAATCCTTGTACATTCTCATGATCAATTGTTAATCAAATTATAATGATGATATTTGATGAGATTGTTTTGTTTTAATAATCTAAATCAATTTACAATCAAAAAGTTAACCAATTGAGCGATTCTAACTGATTAAACAACTGATACAATCAGTTAAATTGTAACTTTTATTAACAACAGTTAATCTAAGATTAACTCTGTAAGGAGATTATCTCTATGGAATTTGTCTATTCCAATATAATCTCCATCTCTTCTAATCAAATGCAAAAATCAATCAAATCTTGATCATTGGCATGCAAACAATTTAAACTAATCATCAATTTGATGATTTGCCAATAATTTGTCCAGCGTATGTTAAATTCAATACTTTCCATATTCAAGAAATTCAATGTAATCGTTGATATTATTGATACTATTGAATTAAATGTTAACCATCAGAATAATCATAATAAACTAAACAGCAGAATCTAAAAATAACTGGATCAACTAATCAGAGAATCCAAACATTTAACAATTTACCATAACATGAACTCTTTAAGTTGTATCAAGTGAATATTTCATATAATTGTTGATAATTAGATTTGATCAGTGTATCAACCATAAATATCGTCATCGTTGGTTTAACAATGAGCAAGTCAATGTTAAATCAGTTAGTTGGTTGTTGGTTTGATCAAATTTACTTACGGAACGGGAATCGGCATTAAAACGGCAAAACTCCTACTCTTACGTAAAGCTAACGGTAATAACGGTAACATCATCATTAGAAACCCCATTGCCCCACTTGGAAACTGTCGTTGTAAGGTCAAATCCCGTTTATATCTGGACAGTATTTTGTCCGTTCTTGTGGTCACTCTCATAGGTGAACTGTCCATTGAGGTTAATAAGTTATAAATTGTTAACAATTGAAAAATATTGGCTAGATTCATGTTTAAAGAGCAAAAAATTAACTTAAATAATGAAAAATCAAATCAACAATTAAAAGTGTATCACTTTGATATTATCAATATTTGGCAATATTAACACTAATTGTTGAGTTGATTGTCGTGCTTGTTGTCCCCATGATATTAATTTGTTGTCCATGTTTATTTGGCATCACTCAATTTCATATTAATCACAAAAAAACTAATTGGATATTTTCATAATTAACTAAATAATCAAATGAACCACAGCAAAAGAAAAAATCACAACAATTAAAAATATTAACCATTTCCATAGATATTAATTGATCATATTAATAGTTAATGAAAAACTTTTTCACTGAATTTTGTTTTGTTGTTTCACTTAATTGGAAGCTAATGATGATCAACTGATTAAATGAAAATGAAGATCACGATAATCAAGTTGATTACTATTTGATTATCGTTCTAAATTAAGAAATTGTATCGATTTCAATCGAATTTCCTTTCCCCCTGATCTTAATTTTCTCTTTCTTTCTTTCTTTCTTTTTCTATTGTTATTTGTCTCGTTTGATTGTCAGCTAATTGTTAATCGAAACGCGTTGACATCATTGACCCAACACAAACAACAATCAATACAAATCCAGTTAAATTATAAACGTTGATCATCCATCAATCAAATTCATCCTTTTCTACTTTAAGAACTTTAATTATCAACACAATTAACAACAATTTAAGTTAAATAACCTGTTAACAAGTTTCTTTAAGTCTTAAATGATGGATTAACTTGAGGATCAACCAAATATAAACCTAATTTTTTTACTTTTGATTTAACATCAACCTTAAGATGCTCATCAATTTCATCCTCATCCCTGTATCACTTTCTGATTAATCATCAACATTGAGAGATATTGTTAATTGAATTAAGTTGATTAACAAGAAAAAAACTTTTCAATGATTTTCACTGTTTATTGTTAATCAACATCTAATTGTTTGTTAATTTTACGCAATTAGTTTTGTAATTGTTATGGAGATGATATTGATTGTTTAATTTCTAGATAAATTAACTACTGTTTAAACAATTAGCAAATCTTTTTTGTCGGGTTTAATTAAGTTGGTCCTTCACATTTTACTAACTTTCAATTTCAATTAAGTTCTCAGCAATTAAGATCACAATCAATTCAAATTGTGCTTTCCATTAGTGAAACAATTAACATTGAATCACAATCATGAACATAATGGTTTTCATACAATTGATTCGTGTTGATTTGATTGATTATTTAGTAATTTTTTCTTAATTGTTCTTCCACAAACTTGAATTCACAACGTTTTTTTCATCATGATTTGAATAGCAGATAATCTTAAGCCTGCTGTTAATTTATCATAATATTAATCAACTGATTAAGTAATTATCTTCCTTGTATCTGGCTCATCTCCATTGATTCAATTTTTTTAATACAATTGTTTATATTCATTCACATACACTCCTTAACTAATCATCACAATCAAATGAATGAAAAAAAGTTACGTTTAAATGGTTAATAGTCATTATCATTGATTTTAATTGTTCACACAATCAATCACATTAATCAAATGAGTTCTGCCAAATTTTGATCAATTATTGATTGTTAATTGAGTTTAATATTGTTACTTTGGTTTTTTACCGAAACAATTAACTAATTTGGTTGAGTAATTTTAACATTAACTTAAATTGCATTTATTTAATTATGTTTTTTGATTGTTGATAAGATTTGAACAGTTGATTGTAACTTCGATGCATGATTTTGATATTTAATCATAATTAGTAGTTAGTCGTTAATCAACATAACTTTTTGTTTTAAATTTTCTTAATTGTTGTTTGTTTTCAACTCATTAATTTACAATTGAATCAACTGATGATCTCCATTTGGAAGTAATTAATGATCAACTTTAATCTAATTCAATCAAGAACATGATCATTTATCAATCAATTTACAATTTTGTTAATTATTTGAAGAGTAAAACATACAGTAGCTGTTTAAATCTCTTGAGTTAATTAAGTAAATTGAGTAAATTTTGATTATTAGTTAATCAGATTGTCTTGATCAGTGCCAATCATGTTGAGTTTTTATTCATCATGATTGATTAACTTGTTTTTGTATTTATTGATCAATAGTTTGATGATTAGCAATTGATTAAACTAAGACTCAAGTTTTTATCAATTTAGTTGGCTAATTGTTTGAATATTAAATTGTGCATAATTTAAGTTGAAACTTTTGACTTTGTTTAATTGTTGGTTAGTTATTTTTTGAATGATTTTCAAAGCTATAAATCATTCAAAATTGAGTTAATCATGATGGCTAATTAATTAACTAAGTACGAAATTTAGTTAATTGAAAGTTAACTATCACAATTAATGTAGTCTAATTGTTGATGAGAGTGAAAAGCTCAAAGAATCACAATTAAATTCAATTCTCAATCAGTTGGTCATAAATATGTTCAGTTAACAGTTAATTAATCATCGTATATTTTTAATTAAAATTCATAATACTTACAAGAGAATCAATGTTGTAATAATTGTAATCATCTTTACAGTCTAAATTGTTACACTTAATTGTTATTATTATTGTCCAATGGTCACACAAAACTTGAATTGAAACTTAATCACTTGAATTAGTCATCATTGATGTTTAATCACTTCTAATCTCGACTTAATCATGTATTGATTATTTGAATCAAATGTTTGGGAAGTGACAATTTCTCTAATTGTCTTCCTTTCCTGATTATCATGGTGTTCCTCCCATCGTATCATAACAATTAATTATCATAATTAACTGAATCAAAGGAAGATAAAGTAGTAGAAGAAAAAAAGTTCTAATCCAGTTCGAAGACAAAAAGTTTGCTTTAATCAAAGTTTATAAAGGATTAGAAACTTTTTTTTCTCGATTCTCGATAATAGTTTCCTAATTGCGGAATTAACGTTTACCAATTCTCCGTTATAATTATAATCATTAAAAAGTTTACCAGGAATTGACAATCAACTTCTTGTCAATCAACAGGCTTAGCTTGATTGTCACTGGTCATCGTCATTATCGATTATGATTAAGCCTCATTATTTTTGTAGATCTTTATGATTAGATAATTACGATTGTAATTTAAATCAATCAAAAACAGATTGAAGAGCAAAATCAATTCTGTGACAAGATTATGCTCCAAGTGATTTCTAAGATCTAGTCATGTACTAGAGAGAGAGGTTATGGACGCAGGTTGATTTTCGAGACGTGAAAAGTTTGAGAGATTCTGGACCTCGAACTTTTCGAAAAAACTTGGTACTGTTTAAAAAATGTATCGGCTCGAACTCTTAATTTCTCAATCTTCAGATTCTGCTTGTCAATTATTCATCAAATTATATCAACAATTTAAATTGTTTATGTTACGTTTTTCCACTCTCTGGTCAATGAACTGATTCATTTGCTGGTGATTACAAACTGAACTTAATCATTTCCCCTCTGGTTAACATCAACATAATTACTAATCAATCAACAATTAATTTGATTGTTCATTTTAATTATGATTGCTGCTTGTTTACTTTAATTTTTTATCTTCTCATACTGTCCAATGTAAGAGTCTAATCCAAAACAATACAAACGAAAAAAAAACAAAACTTAAAAACCTACACAAATTTTGAGTGAGAAAAAAACGTTGGAAAAAGTTAATCATTGATCTTGATCATCATACCAGCAATTAATTGTTATTTCATACCAAATAATTAGATTTTAATTATTATCTGACAAAGGCCTTCAAGGTTTCACATCCTAATCACAATTAACTTATATTCATAACTAAGAAAACTTAACCAACCCAATCAAAAGTGAGTTGAAACGTTCAATAAACACCAAGACCACTGTTGTTAATGTTAACCGGAAACACTATTAAGTTAATTGTAATAATTATGTTGATCATTTGAATATAAATATCATACCTAACCTAAACTGTTACCTTGAAAGAAACTAAACTGAATTAATCTAACTTTAGTCTAATTAGTATTCGTACTTACAAGTTTTTTTCATTGAGCTTTTCTGATATGATCTTAATTGTTACGTTGGGTTTTACTTGTTTCTTGATTAGTGAATGATTTCTGTACCATAACAATTATCATCAAGGTTAATTATGATTAATAAATCAAATAAAGTTACATTTTTTTACTTCTGACGCTAATTCAAGATTTAATAAACGACAAAAACGCAAGTATTGTTAGTAAACAATCAATTGATTGGGATTGTAATCACCTGAAAAAACAAGGTTACCCTTTAATTGATGAAAAAGTAACGAGTAAATAAAATTAATGTGAATATTTCTAACACCTTTGCACCATCATCTTGATGGGAAATTAATTTCAATCATGACGATTTACTGATTGTTTTTTCTCATCAATTTGATTGATCTGTTGATTGTTGTTTTATGTTGAGTATGATGAAAATGATCATATATCCACGATGCTAATTCATTTGTTAACAAATGAAACTTATTTCTTAAACCCCCTGCTCTCCCTCATCTTCATCATTTCTCTCTCACACTGATTTGTCTATTCATCTTTCCTGATGAATGATTTTCTTGTAATATTATCATCAAGAAAGATACATTTCCCATCTCCATGATACTAGTTACCCACCAGATTCACTTTCTTCCTCCTCCTTGTCATCATCATGGTAGAGAGATTCTCATGTTATATTGTTTACTAAAATGCATTACCATGTTTCCATGAACAAAACTATCATCCTTATCATCTTAATTGCTACAGTTTACTTTACCTTCCTAATGGTTAAACTATTAAAACACATTAAGATTGTTACACTTAAACGTTTCCTCTTATTTTGAACTTGGATATTTTTGTCACACTAATAGAAAACATCAACTATTATCATTATTCAAGTTCGATAAGTATCATGATGATGATGATTCTGAGTGTCTTATACTTGAAAAAATTTGATTACATTTCACTTTGTAAATTGTATCATTCTCGGGGTTGTGGGTATGAAAATTTTCAAGATAAAAACATTATGATACTAATGTGAAGGTCTTAGCGAATCTTGTTGTCTTTATAATTACTCTTATGCTCTTGTATTATCTTCTCATCTTGTTTCCGTTTCCTTCCGCCACATTACTATGGATGAACGATGCTGTTCGCGTGTTGTCCTTAGACCTCTGGTTATTGTTTAGCTTCAAGATGGGAAAAAAACTTTTTGTCAAATCACACGAGGCGTAGGGATGAGGATGGAGATGAAGATGAAGATAAGTTCTTTGTAAAAAAGAAATGTTGTGATTTGGGATCACAGTTATTCTGTTGAGTTGATCTTTCACTTCTGCTTCCGTTAGTTTTAGTTTAAATAGTGAAAATATCATTTCCCGTGAAGCCTCATCTTCATTTTATCATCATCAACATCATCACTATGACCATCATAGTGAAGGATAGTGGGAGGGTTGAAAGATGATGAGGTTAAGACGGAAATTGACCTTTGCAAAACTTGAAACCAGACGCAAAATATACAAACAATTGCAAAAGAAACGGTTTCAAACATTATATTTAATTAATCTTTTAAATTGTTGTGTTTATAATTGTTTCACTACAGTTAATTAATTAACTGTTTCTATTGCAAACAACTGAAAAACTATTTACTGTATTTTCTTACGTTTCCATTGATTAAGCTTGTTGATGTTGATTTTGATCATTATTGCAAAAAATTACGGTAACAATTAGATTAACTCAGGTTTACAATTGATTCTGATCTGTATTATCATTTATAAGCTTGTTAATTGTTTAAATTTGTTACAATTTATTAAATTCACACGATAACTTATCATGAAAGTTATGGGAACTAAAAAATAATAACAATAATCAACTAATTGTTTTAATAACCTCTCATACTATTGAACATGGTGAGTTATGATGATTAGTTGATTATTTATATTACTGATACAAGCAATTTTAATCATTGGTTAATTAGTTTGTTTATAATTTGATTTACTAAATATAAAACAATTTAACTTATCCCTTAAATTGTTACTGATAAAAGTTTCAATCCATCCGGGAGATTGAGTTGAAATTTTCACACAACTCAATTTATCTCAATGATTAACATAATCATAATCATCGTGATGTTGATTATCATAATCAACATGATGTAACAATACAATTAACTCACCTAACTAACTTGTACACTTATCTCAATTGTAGTTACCATAATCCAAACATCATGAAACCAACCTTGTTAATCCAACTGATAACTTCCGGAAACTGAATTAACTTTGAAATATTAATTGTTGGACTCATAATTTTATGTTCAAAAATAGTTACTAGATCAGAAAATGGTTCGCTTGTCCTTGATGATTGTTTTACCAAATTCAATTGATCAGCTTGAAAATTTAATCACAATTAATATTCTTAGGATATTCAAATGAGTTGGAAATTCAGTAGATAATTGGTCTCAGTTAATCATGATTAATGGTGAAAGTTTGTCGTTGATTGTTGACTCTATTTAGGATTAACTTAAAGTTTAACTTAATACCCATGATTAACTAGAGTGTATTACCATCGCTATTGCAATTAATTTATATAAAACCGGAAAAATTTCTAAATTGCTGTTGATTAAATTCAGACAAGTGTAAATTTCAAGTGTAACTTTGCATTTAATTGCTGAAGCTCAGAGCTTAATCACTATTGATGCTAATGTTGATTGCGATTCTGGTGAAAGTGGGAAACCTGAGTTGAGATAAATTACTTTTGGTCTGCCCGGTTTTTTTCTGGTAAACCCAAAACCGGTTCATCTTACTGATAATCTATAATTACCAAAAGTACCGATGCTGGTCAAGTTGAGGTCAAAAGTGTGTGCGTGTGTAAGGCCAATAGACCGAAGTAAATTGGAGATTAAATTTCAATTTAATGTTTTCTTGATCACTTTTCATGAATAAATAAATCAACGATACTCATCATCAATCTTAATCCTGGATCACCTTGACAATGAATGTAAATGATATCAGATTAATTAGATTTGAGTGACATTAAGATCATCATGAAGTTAATTCAAACTCTTGAGAAACCAAAAGGGTTAAACTTAAGCATTGAAATATTCAACGAACTTGACCAATAAACGATAACAACAATCAATTGATACCAAATAACCACATTCAAATTAAGAGATTATCTCGACTCCTTCATTATCTAAAATTAATTATCTCTGATATCTGATTAATTATCTATCATGTTTATTTATTTTCTAGCTTCTTGGTGTGGGTATCCTTGGATTTTCAGTCTTTCTCTATGCAGAAAGTCACAATTACGTCAATTTCGAGGACACTCAGGGTCTTTTTGATACTCCCTTTTTCTTGGTGATGATTCTTGGGGCGATTATGACGCTTGTTGGATTCCTGGGCTGTTGTGGAGCGATCAGAGAAAGTACCTGTCTCCTTGGAACTGTAAGTTAATTGTTGATCATCATAACAATTATTATTTAGCCAGAAAAGTGCAGATATTTGAGTTGAAAAGTGTTTTTGTTATTGAGGTCAACAATTTATTTACCTGTTAACCGGTTATGTATGGATTCTGTTTCCATTAAGCTTAATTTTTAAGTTTAATGTTAGAGTTTAAATTTTGATCAACAATTTGTTAAGTGAACAAAGTAAAAAGTTAATCAAATTGTTGCAAAAACTTTACAATTCAACGATAATTAATGAGTTTCGAGAGCATAAAATTTTTCCCTATTTAAGTTTTTTTCTAATCTGTAATGGGAAAAAGCAACAATTTAGTATTTCTTTTAGAACAATTAATTTAATTTCCCACTTTTGATTAACAAATGATTTCATTTAAATCAACAGTTGTTGCACTAATGATAATCAATATTGAATTTTATGATTAACGATTGATTTTGAAGTTTTTTTTTTCTTAAAATTTCGTCGGGAAAACCCACCACAATCAGTTAATTGTTGATTATCTTGACAATCAATCCAGTGTCAATGTTGATATTTATATTTATATTTTCTGACGACTTGAACAAAATTCAATGGTCAATTATCAACAACAATTAAACAATATCCTGTCAGTTAATTGTCAAAGACTTAATCAAATCAAAGGGAAAAATTTTTACAATATTGAGATAGAATTGATAATTTTAATTGTTCTAAATGATTAAATAGTCAACAAATTGCCCAATTTTCAATGTCTAATCAATTATCCATGTTGATGGTTGTTTGTACTGTCTGGAGCTCATCTTCATCAATCATAATCAACCTTAATCATTGTAATTTGTCCTTTAACAATTTAAATTATTCGTCAACTAATTAACTTCAATTGATGATTTTTCTTCTCAATTTCAGTACATTCTACTTTGTATCACAATGGCTGTTGCCTGTGGAGCGGCTGTTTGGTGGTCTAACGAATATAAGACCGACGTTGTCGATAAAGTTCAAACGAGTTTACAAAAGTTAATTCGAGAAAATTATAGAGGTGATCTTTCAAGACCCGCAACGGAGGCCATTATTGACCGAGTACAAAGAGATATGCAATGTTGTGGAGCCAAGAATCTAACCGATTGGTCCGTTTCTCGTTACAACCAAGGAAATAGAACCAAACTTGAAGTTGGCCTGGGCAATGATCGATCAGCTATTAATTTCTCAGTTCCCGCTTCCTGTTGTAAAATCGGTGCACCTGATTGTGAAACAGTTCGAAGAGGTATCACTCTGTCCAATTTGGATCAGAAAAAGTTCAGCATCAACAGTGATGGTTGTCTACGTAAATTGGATGATTTTGTCATCCAAAAGTGGACACTACTCATTCTCATCGGTATGGTTTTGATTGGATGTCAAGTATTGGCTTTACTATTTACCTGTTGCTTTTGTTGCTTCCTAAGTGGTCAAAAAAATAACGTCTTCTGAAACTATTGACCAATCTCCTTGTATATAATCACTAAAGTTAATAGTATATGTAAGAAAATGATACAAAATCTGAGATGTTCAACTTGTTGCTTTTTTGGCAATAATATCAAGCGAAGATAAAAGGAGGAAAAAAGAAAAAGAAACTTCCACAATTCTATGGAATCAACAACATTGATTTTCGTTGTTGTTTTTTAAGATTCTTCCTAATTATTATATTAAAGTCAAGATCGGCTATGGACATAAACCCAACGCTCTAACCACAAACAAACAACAAGTTAACGATAAACAACAACAACAACAACACATTTAAAGCACTAACCCTACAAGACTAATGCTTGACATGAAAAAAAAACAACTTTGTCCTCAAAACAAGTTTGTTGTTGCAACTTTTTTATATTATATTTTCACATGATCATCATTATTATAACTATTGTTATTATACTCTCACTATTATTATGTTTATTTGAAATATCATATAAAAAATTGCTTACCATCTTAGTTTCATTCAAAGTTGAATTTTTAATCTGAAAACGTTTGCACGTTGTGGATGAAAAGTATATACGATGAAGGATGATTATCATCATAGAGAAATGAAAGAATGGGAAGATGAGAAAGAAACCTCTTGACTGTCCTCGTTTATCGAGGTTGTAGGTTAGAGACCCGGTGAAGCATTAGTCGATGATGACCCAATGAGAAAGAGAGAGCAGTACCCGTCAGCTGAAATGACTCCTGCGAGGGATTCAGCTTCCCTAGGTGGTAACATCTTGAACAGTTATAAATCTCTTTTTCAATCACCTCTTTTTTTGTTCATCATCTTCATCCTCATCCTCATCCTCATCTTCTTTTGCTTCTGGTTCTTGTCTTTCTTTTTGTCTATTTCTTAACTTGAAATTATCTTCTTCCTCTAGTTTCTGATTGTTTATAATAAACTTTTTGTTTATTTGTATTTGAGTCTAATCATCATAATCATTACCAATTAAATCAATTGATTGATGTTAATCATAATTAATATATTAACACATTTTCCCCAATCAATGAAAATGATTAGCATTTATTTATCTTATTTTTATCTACCTGACAAATGAAATGCAGTTTTAATTGTTGAAAACTTAATTAATTCTTAAAAATTGTAAAATCATTAAAAACAATTATTAGGTAAACAACTAAATAATGGCCAAAATTTTTTCGAGCTTACGTTTGGCTTGATTGTTAGAAAACTTTAGATTTTTGATTAATAAATTTAGTATAATTAGAGAGGTTAGATAATAAGCTTTAACATGATACATAAATGATCATTTTATGATGATTAGTTTAATCATTGATTTTCCATAAAGAGCCGATTTTCATGAAGTTCTTGATTTAGAATCAATTTTCATGTAAAAATCTCCATAGACAATGTCTCTTCAATGATAAATGATTTTTTGATTAAATTTAAATAAAATTTGAACTTGATCGTTTTAATTGTTCAAATTTATCCAATAGTAGCTCAAAAATCCAAAGAATATTTTGTTTTAATTTTAATCTTCGAAAGTTCAATATTCATCGAAAAAATGACCTCCGAATAAAAAAGATCGAAAAACAAAAATTCTATCACTTTAGATATAATTTAATTGTAATTAAACTAATCATCATAAAATGATCATTTATATATCATGTTAAAGCTTATTATCTAACCTCTCTAATTATACTAAATTTATTAATCAAAAATCTAAAGTTTTCTAACAATCAAGCCAAACGTAAGCTCGAAAAAATTTTGGCCATTACTTAGTTGTTTACCTAATAGATTTGTGTTCTGCATTGAAATTACTTTGAGTTTATACTAAGCTTTAACAGCGACCTCTGGGGAGGCTTCGATGAACTACTATGGTTCTCTTTCTTTAAATCTACTAGTAGCTCCATCTCGCGACACCAAAAAAAATGTTACGTTTTTCCTTCCTGTGATCTTGGTTTTTACTCTTTGATGTGAATGTTTGACAATCGTAGTAAAGATGAACAAAGAAACAAATTTGAAATTTCCCAAAGATATCAGCCATATTAGCAAAACTAATATTCAAACATCGCTTTAAATATAATTAAAAGGTTATTACAATTGAACAGAACAAATTGTTGGTATCACCGGGGAAATACATTGATCTTTGACAGTTTATCAAACAATATGTTTCATATGTAATTTAGAGGAGAAAGATAGTTGAGAGAGTGTATACTTTTTAAAAAGTATTTAATCAGCTTTTTTATCACCAACGGTTCCCAGTTTTTTGGTTAACTTGGCATGTTCATCAGCCAAACGATCATATTCTCGGCTGATGTTCTCTGCTTGTTTCTTTAGGGCTTCGGCTTTTGCAACTTCATTCTTGGCTTTGATCAATTCTTCTTTGATTCCAGCTAATTCAGATCGTAGACGTTTTAATTCATTTGGAGAAGCTGTTGATGGTTCGGGTTCGGGTTCGGTTTTATCACCACCGACTTTACTTTTCTCTTTTTTCTTTCCGTCATCAGTTGTCTTCAAAAGAGCTTCAGCTGCTCTTGATGCTCCTTTTGCCTGAGCGGTGACAGCTTCCAATTGATTCTTAAGTTGTGCTGCTTGGGATAAAAGTGAGGCAATACGACGGATAACAAGACAGAGAAAAGGGCAAAACCAGCAATGTAAAAGTTACGTTGAGCTCGGAACAATTTCATTGAATGAGCCAATTCTGAATTAAGGTGACCAGATTGTTCATCATGTTCTCGGCCCAGTGAATATCTTCTCATCTCCCGAATAGAATCCAAAAAGAGTAGAACCAAAATTAATAGAAACCCAGTGAAATAAAGATTACTCTGACGTTCTATTGACTGTAGGAACCTTGATTTGAAAAAACTCTGCCATTTTCTAGGTGAAATGATGGGCAATAACAGGATAATGACAACAACAATCTCAATATACAAAAAGGTTGCAACAAGGGTCCATTGAAGACTCATGATGATGAATTAAGAAAATCAATTTAAACACAACCAGTGAAATCAATTACAAAGAAAAGATGAGTATTCAAAGTCAAACAGAACACAATAATAACGATAAGTATCAAAATAAAAGGAAATAATTACTGTATCAAATTAAATTCCAAAGGAAAAATTAACAATTGAGAACAAGAAAAAAACAAATCATCTTAAAATGATTCATGATGAAACGAATAGAAAATTAGCTCCATCTCTTGGTGAGAATTGAAAATACTTAAGAAACGAGGAAAAAAAATTCAAATCAATTAGAATTTAATTCTAATCATTTGAATAGTGAAAACAATTATCATTGAAAGATAAATGGAAACCTAAATCAATTCTCAACAAAACGATTAAGGAAATAGATTGACAACAACAAACTCTCACTTGATTGTGACGATTCAATCACCAAAGTAACAAGAGATATTGACGATTTAGCTTTTTGTTTTTTTCTCAATTAAGCTTAACCAAAATGATAATTAACTTAATTTTGTTTGTATTAAGAAGTAAAAAGGAGAAAAATATTAGAAGAGGAATCAAATTAATGGTGATTTCTAAGGGTATTTGATGCAAAAACAAAAGAATAAGAAAAAAAAGCTGATCACAATCAAGAAGCAATTAAAGTAGTTTAAAAACTTTACAATCTTGAAATTAAAGTAAATCAAATTAACTGAAATTATTTGAAACATCAACTTGAGACATAGATAAGAAAGAGATATTCCTTTGCTTGGATTAAATGGTGAAACAATTAAACCAATGAGAGTTAATTGTTGACAAAAGAAATCAAATTGTATCAAAGTTACACTAAAGTCTAAACAATTATCCGCCTTAACTTGAGTTTTTTTATTCTCGTTACAATTATGATGACATCTTTTAATTAGTATAAAACCACTAGTTTGATCATCTCAGTATTCTGATGATCCAGTTTCAATCAACATCGTTAATTAATTGTTCGTCAACCAAATCACCAATCATCTTTCCCTCTCTTGCAATATAAAAAAAAGAAATCAAATAAATGGTCAACTCATTTTTTTTTCTTCTCATAAACATCATCTCTGTTTTACTTTCTCTTTGTTGCCTCCAGTTAATTATTTCCTTTTCCTAACAATCAACAATTTGATTGTCTCTCTTTTCCTCTCTGTGCCCTCTATTACCACCTTGATTCTTTTATAAATATTTGATTTGTTTTCGTTTGTAGATTAATTTACATTCTGGAGAATCCAAACCAACAACAACCGACGAGTTTAACCACAACAACCACCGGGTTTTTCGGCTTTGTGCTTATCATCCTTTTCTTATTTTCTCTTCGTCTTCATCACCGACATCATCCATTTTTGTTTAGCTTTATTATCCTTCTTCACCTTTCCTATTACCTGTACAATCCACCACCAACTCGATACAATCCCTCACAAAATTCATCTTCAAACATTTCTGTTAATCACCATCATCATCATGCATTCAACTGATCTCTTAAGAGCTGAGGTTATCTCTTTGTTTGAAGATAATCCATCAAAGAAGCTTCCATTTGTTACTTTTCAGTATTTTTTTGAGAAAAATTTCCACCGATCGTTAACTCGAGCCGATTTACGCCGTTTACGTGACACCATTGAACTGGTACCCGATTCCTATGGTAGCAGTAGCACAAGTAACAACAATGCCAGTGGAGTTAATGTAAACACAACCAATGGCGGTAATTCAATTAATTGTGCCAATTTAGGTGGTAAATATATAACCCTTAGTGGTAAATATAAAGCTACTTTAAGTTTACCTTCAACAATCAATAGGAGAGAGAAAATTTTACCCTTTTGTTCAATTCATCAACCTGAGATGATTAAGGGTCCGAATGGTAAATCACCGCCATTGTCTTCATTATCCTCCTCATCATCTGCTAATCACAGTCATCATGGTTCAAAGGCAACAGTAATCACATTAAATGGCTACTCAATGATCAATGGTTTCGGCGATGGTTGGACCGATGAAGAGCCAATACTTTGTTTACCTTTAGTCAATATTTCGTTGAAAAAATTGGGCCCCCGAATGCACGCTCTCCTTGATTCACATTCAGGTTGCTTACCATTAGCGAGTCTATTAACCTGTTATTTTCACCAATTCAAAGAAACATTTAATACCAGTGACGGTTCTCTGGTACCTTTGGAGCATTTGATTACCTGTTTACCCGGTATCGAAATAGCCATAGATCAAGAAGTCTCCTTCAAACGGGTCACTTGGGCTTCAAGTAAATCGACAATCGCCTCTTCCTCTGCTTCCTCTTCCTCTTCCACATCCTATTCCACTAATCAACCCCAACAATCAATTCTATCTGGTTCATCTTCAAACTATTCGGACGTATCATCATACAATTCAATGATGTCAAGTGGAAACATTAGCAATCATCATAACGATTCTAATGCTTACAACAATCAAAGTAACAAGGGAACAACGTTGTCATCATCAACAGGAACCTCCTCCTCATCATCATCAACCGTTAATGATACAATTGCTCGTCAAATGGCACAATTTAGTCGAGAAGTTCGTGATCTATTGAAAAGTCAACCTCGTTGTTTAATACCTTTCTCTAAATTTGTTCCTGCTTATCATAACCACTTTGGTAGACAATGTTGTGTATATCAGTATGGGTACACAAAATTAATTGAACTTTTGGAAGCGATTCCTCATGTGGTTCAGATTTTGGGTGAAGGTTCAAAGAAGATGTTGACACTTACACATCGGGAACAAACTAAAAGATTTGCCTCCGATTTAATAAGAGTTTTGAAAGCTCAACCAGCGAAACGATTAACTCTCGGTGAACTTGCGACAAAATATGAAAAAGTTTTGGAGAAAACTTTTTCCATTGAAAATTATGGTGTTTGCGAGGTTACTGATATTCTCGTTGATGTTTGGGAAGGAACTGTGGTAATAATCAAGCCTGAAGATAATAACGATCCAAATGAGATTGTCCTAGAAATACCCAGAAAGGAGAGGACACAAGAAGAAATCGATCGAACTAAATATTTAATTCGAGATATCGTTGAACTGTTCCAATCAACTCCAACTCTTTCAATGCCTTTCTCTAAATTCATACCCACTTACCATCACTACTTTAATAGACAATGTCGTGTAGCTGATTATGGTTTTACCAAATTAATTGAACTCTTTGAATCTCTTTCGCCTGAAGTTGTTGAATTGGAGGATAATATGACTGGCGATGAGAAGATAATCAAGTTGAGCCACGAATATCGAGTTAAAACAATTGAAGGTCGTCTGGTTTCCCTGATCAAAAGTGTTTCTAATTGTATTACTCCTGATTGTTTACATGATCTCTTTAAACATGAATACGGTCACCCGATTCATTTTCGAGCTTATGGTGTTGAGAATATGATTCAATTGATTAGAAATTTGAATGATACACTTAAACTTGTTCGATCGGATGAAGATCGTTATTACGTCTCTTTAGTTGATCGACGTTGGAATCGTGCCTTTGCCCACCGAATTGTTATTTTACTTATGGAAAAATTAACTGGATCAATGAGCTTCAATGAGTTATCTCAGGGGTACAATCAACGATTTGGACAACATTTAGATTGTTCTACTTTAACCAACCAGTCCGATTTAAATGAATTCATCGATATCGACAAGGAGATGCAACGTGTTAGTTTAAACGATTACCATTTATTTGCTCGTGATTGTGTTCTAGCAATTCAATCATCGCACGCTGGTCAAGTTACTCTGAATGAATTGGCAGAGATACTGAGGATCAACTCATCTTATCCTGATGCCTCTAAATTTGGTTTCAAATCATTTAGAGCTTTAATTCATTCGTTATCTGATTATATTACGATAACCAAAAGATCGGACGGTATTCGTGTTTCCTTTTTGTTAACGTTGAATCGTCATTTCTGGGATAGAAAGTTAATCCTTTCTCGAAGTGAATCACCTACAAATCTACTAAAACGTCCGCAATCAGCTGCTTCAGCTTCATCTTCCTGTTCCGTTTCCTCAGCATCTTCCTCGTTATCTCATTGTCTCGATGTTCAAGTTGACACTCCACCCTTATCTTCATCACCGATTTCAAGTATAACTTTATCACCTCAATCATCAACAGACAGTCGAATGACCCAATCATCTTCAAGTTCAATAGCTGATTGTAGTGAAATAATCGATATCCTCAGTGAATCAGTTCCTTCTCACCTCCCGATGCCAACAATTTTACCGATTAAACGTGCACCCGATTTAATCTCATTCGATTCTCCAACCTCAGATACCAGTGAATCAATGGAAACCTTTGTTGTCCCTTCGGACAATCAACAATCTCCAGATCACCATTACCACTCCACCAGCTCTCTTAGCAACACTGCCACCCCGCTATCAACGGGCAATTGTCCACAACCACCAATTGATTGGTTAAAATCATTCGATAATCAAGAAGATGGTAAAAGCAAAAGTGATTCTTCTCGTAAAGTTAAACCTCGTCGGATTGCTGCTAATTTTACTTCCAATAATCAAGCAACAGTTTGCTGATTAATCTCGCCAATTAACAATCAGAACACTTAATCTACTTTCTCTTTCTATTTACCTCTCATGTCTTTCATTTGTCCCTTGATCTTTACTGTTTTCTCACCTCTCGATCATATCAATTTACCTAATTGTTCAAATGTCTGTTTGAAATATTGAAACAAATCAATGCTCGATTCCAATGAAAATGTTTATAAACAATATTTACCAAATCAATAAACTTCCAAGGGTATTTGTTATTTAAATAATTTTGTAATCAGAATATTTTATTTGTCATTCTTAAAAATAATTCGTTAATTATTGTATATGATATATAATGTATGAAACATAAATTGGTTAATCAATTTCAACTTGAATTACCAATTATTAAGCTTGATCTTTTTCCCATAAAACCAAGATGATCAGTCTAATTGGTTTAATGTGTATTTCAATATATATTGATAAGCGTTAAATTTGTTCGCAATCATCCAATTAAACATTAAATGTTATTATTTTAACAAACAGTTAAATTGAATCATAAAACTGATTAAATCAATTTTAATGATTGATGTGATTTGTGCGACAATTATTTATTAACCAATTTTAATTGTCGTCATTTTCATCATCACAAAATATCTTCATCAGATTCTTGGCCTGAATAATAATCAATATCTGAATCGTAGTTTGTAGATGAATAATTTTCGCAATCAACTCCACAATCTTGCAAGATTTGATAGATTGCTCTTAATTTACCACTGTTTGGATTAACTTCTAATAATCCTCTGAGAAAATGCATTGCCGTTAACCCTCCATAGGTTCGTACATGCGGTGAACATTTACAATTGTAGATTAAAAATTGAATTAAATCTAATTTCTGTTGCAATATTGCATAATGTAGTACGGTTTTACCACTTTTACCCTCCTAGAGATAGAAAAAAAAGGGAAAAATAAAAAGGTAAAAGTTAATTAATATTTCATGTGATAGCATAATCGTCATGATGAAATAATTACCTGAGCATTGATATCAGCTCCATGATTAACAAGATACTCAATGAGACTTTTGTCGGCAGTTTTGACTGCTAGATGTAAACTGGTTTCGCCTGAATAGAGAAAAATAAAGAGAAAAGAGTTGGAACGTTAGAACGCTGGTGATCAAAATGCTTAAAATTTGTTGACCTTCCTGACCTCTTACATAAGAATCTATTTTATGTGTTCTGATTTCAACGAAAATAACACAACAAAAACAAAGGGAGTAATAAGCGAATCTAAAAAGCAAAGCAACAAGTTAGTTGTTTGAAAGAGAGAGAGAGAGAAGAAAGAAATCTTTAAGAAAGCGGGAGGGAGAAGATAAAGTGGCAAGCAGGAAGGTGGAGTTGGAGGGAGTTTGTTTCAGTTTTGTGAGTCTCTCTCTCTCTCTCTTCTTTTCTCCCTCCTTCTCTTTTTCACTCAACTTCACCTTATTCTCTCTCAGGGTTTTTACGCTGATACTTAGCTTCGGGGAAATCCAAAAATACATCACTTGCTTTGCTTAGAAATAGTACTTTCGAAATGCTCTTTCTTTCGCTAACTTAACCTCTCTTTCTTTTTCTCTCTTTCATCCTCTTTAACCAACCACCCCCGCTCAAAATTCACGCATCTTAAGTTCATTTCCCAATCTTCCTATTGTTGGTTTTACCTGTCAAATTAAAAAAGACTGCACTTTATCTCTAAAATAATCCCTATTTTACATCAATCATTAAAGTAAATCAGATATCGTCATTTGATATTGCAACCGAGAATTACCTTCATAATTTTTTAAATTTAACGGAGATGCTATTGAAGATTGTGATAACGATGTAGATGTGGATGTAGATGATGAAGATGATGAGGAAGTTGACGTTGTAGATGAACAGGAAGACGAATTGATATCACTGGTAATCCTTGGTTTGGCAGATAATAATGATTTAAGAGCCATAATGTCTCCATTCTGGCAAGCTATGTGGACTGGTGAGTTACCATTACGATCACGAATAAATAGAGAAGCACCTGAGGTGACTAATTGGTTAATTATTCCATATTGTTTTGTAATTGTAGCCAAATGGAGAGGTGTCTTTAAAATCAACATAAAAAAAAGAGAGAAAGAGGAAGAAAAACAAAAGATAAATTGTTAATAATCATCTTCATGTGTGGAGATGGAAACAGATTGATAGTGATATGAGAGAGATTATTACCTGAAATTCATCATTGGCGATATCTAAGTATTCCGATGAAGGAGCTTCTTTGATTAAATATGAAACTAAGTTAGTCACACCCTGGATAACTGCAAGATGTAATATGGTATCTCCTTCAGCATCTTGTTTAAAGGGATTGTCTACATCAAGGGTAGAGGGTAAACTGGGTAAGTCAATACATAGACCACTGTCAACACAAACACCGGAATCAGTCCAAGTGGGTTTTTCTTGAAAGTCTTTAGACAATTTATCATCAGTATCACCCATAATTTTTAATTAGTGTATATTTGTAACGGTGAATGAGGTAACCAGATGATAACTCGTATCCAAACAAGAAACAAAAATGATTAATCCAAAACAGTGATTTAAATCCAATGGACAATAAAAAAGAGACACAAATCAGATCACAAATTAGCCAGCAGAAAGAATATAGAGAAAAATAATGCAAACAAAATCAGGTGATGGAGCAAAAAAATAGACGATCTCAAGTAGCAAATGAATAAATGAATTTCCAAATAATCTCCACAATGTTGTTTCAATAGAATGAGAATTAATAAGATTAACAACAAATGAAGGGAAAATTGTAAATAATAGATGAACGAGAGAAAGAGAGAGAATGAGAAGAAAAAAAACAACAACCAGTTGAAAAGCTAAAAAAAGAGAATTGGTTTTTCTTTGAGGCTTTTAGATGGAGATTAAAGATATAGAAACTTGTAGCAGATGGAAACTAAAGATACACAGTTAACTAAATTAAATTAATAAACACCGATGAAAACATGATCATTAATTAGAATAGGAAAAAATTGAAGGAAACAAAAGTGATCAGACCTTAATGAAGCAGTTAAATAATCTGTAACCAAATAAGCAACATTATATTTTTTCAATTCTCAAATGGGATAAACCCAACGAATCACATGACTCTCTTTCTTTTCTTCTCTGTCTTCAACCTTGTCGCTTCCATTTTTTTATTTCTCTTTCTTTTACTTGATTCGGTTTCTTTTTCTCTTTCTTTTTATTCTCCTTTACTTTTAATTAAACGATCATCATCATCATCATCATGCTCATGATAATGAGAGTTAATTACAAGTGAACATGTTTGTGTTATGATAATCAAAGTCTCTCTCATTCATTCATTGACAATGATATTAATTGGAAGCCCTTTTAGCTTTTGGAATAACCTCAAAAGTGATGGAATATTTTCGCCTTGATGTTGCACCTTTTTCTCTTTCTTACCTGTCTTTTTTTCTTCTTTTTTGCCTCATTTTCTCTCTCCACCATCACCAACACTATCATCTTCTTGTGCTTTATCCACACTCATTTAATCGTAAACAGAAAATATCTTTACCTTCATCTTCTTTTCTTTTTCTCTCTTCTCCTTTTGACAACATTCTCAATCTCATCTTCTTCTCATAACTAACCCGTTGTGCTTTTATTTTTTCTCTCTCTCTCTCTTGTCTTTCATTTTCTTCTTCCTTATTACTATTCGTTTTTCTCTACTACTTACCTATTTCATTTCATTTCATTTCAGTTCCATCATTCATCATCTAATCTCCATTATGTTTATGCATCTTATTATCTTCTTCCTGCTTCTTCTTTTTCTTCGGGCTTCTCAATCTTTTTCCTTCTTTTCTCTCTTTCGATAATTAACTCATTACCGTTTTCCTTTTCTTTCTTAACTTTACTACGTATACATTAACTGTTAACATTTCAACGACTATTGACATTAAACCCCCTGTGAGAATAGGAAGAAAAATTCCATATTACTGAGTAACCCTGAAACTGTTACAATAACATTTTTCTAAATCACTCAATCGTCAATTGTTGTTTCATTTGTTTCTCACTATCAAGTGACTTTTTAGAGGTTGAAAAATGGAAATCATTTTTTATACCTTCTAATTTGTAGGATCACAAATCAATCAACAGACTAATTAACTTGTTAATTAGTATCATCACCATCTATTCATCTTATTTCCAAGGCAAAATTGTAACTATTATCTAATAATTTTGGTGATAGTTCACAATTAACCTTGAACCAGAAGTTTAAAAGGCCTCAAGAGGCTCTTTCTGGTTTAGCCCAATGTTCAGATTCGGCACGTACACACTCAGGTCGAAGGTTTTAAATTAATTAAATTTGAGAAAAAAAACTCAATGATTAATTAACGTTCTCATCTCCATTATTAACCTTTTCAACAAATTGAATTTCCCAACAATTTAATCGATATCCTTGCAAACCAAAGTCTCTTGAAGTTTTTTAATTTGCTAATTCTTTTCAACGAAAGGGTTACCTTGATATCGTATTTTGGTGGCAGTGGAGGTGGAACATGTGATTGATTGATTGTCTTTGATTTCTAATTAAAACCTTTGGAATTGTTATTGATCATAATTGTTTCCAGATAGAAAAGAATTACGAACAAAAGGAACATGGAAACAACGAGTGAATATTGCATAATATTTGAAGAAGAATAAGAAAAAAATAGCAAAGAATATGTCAAGATTCCAAAGAGATAATAAAGTTTTTTATCTTCTCAGGTAAATTTATCTTCTTCTCTTCAATAACAAATAACCGTGATGATAACCGTTCATCTATTTGATTGATTTGGTATTTTAAGAGAGAGAGAGAGAGAGAGAGAGAGAGAAAAAACAAATATGATCACTCGGTATCTCTATGAAGATCATCATCTTAATCCATGTTGATCCTTTTCCATTCTGATAAATTTGGTCTACCTGTTAATCTGATGTGTTCATCTTACCATTGACCCTGATCTCCTCTCTCCCCTTGTACTGACATTACATGAACAAGATTAATTCCGGATTGGGATGGATTAAACCAACACAATCTAAACGTCAACTTTACAGGTTAAAAACATTTTTGAAGATGATTAGGACTAAGTAATTGGCCGAGATAATCTTGACCATCTTTCCAGGTCACTTTGTTTAGGTTTTGTTTTGTTCACTTCTCTTGTTGACAGAAAACATCGTTATATTGACCTGAGGTCTTCCCTATCATCTGTTTACCCTCAGGGTACCTCAGGTAATCTATTAATCAACATGAACCCGGGAGTCCCAGTGTAATTTTAAACCTCATGTCTAATAACTGAATCAACTGCATTAATCCGGTTGATTAAACTGTCAATTGCAACAGTAAAAACAATCTCATGTGATAAACAATCAAAAATTGACAAGGTTGACGTGATATTTGTCACCTGTGCAATTTACTAATCACTGGTTTAAATCATTCAATCAATGATATAACCGATTGTGGATAAAACAATTGAAACAATTAACAGTTAACTATTGAAGAGTGAACATCAAACCTGTCTTTGTTACATGCTCTCTTCTCACTTCTCATCATTTCCTTTTCCTATTTAATCAAATGGAAAAAATGATCAACAATTAAACAATTAACTGATTTCTCTTCTCATTTTCTCATCATTTGTATGTTGTGATTTCTTTTTCTCTCTTCTATTATACAGTTTAATCACATCACCAATTGTTCCCTCTACTATTATTAACAACAAAAGTGAATCTAAGTGAAAGAAAAAGTGTGTCACCTTCAAGGAAGAATGGAAACAACATCATCAAAGAAAACAAAATCAAAAGAACAAGAGGTAATTAAATAATATTAACTAAAAATATAATTACTCAAATGAGGAAATAAATATATTTTTTACCAGAAACCAAAACCGGATGAAAAATGGTTAATTTTCTGGACAATGATTAAAGGAATTAAAAATGTTCCTGATTACTTTAAAAATTTAAAGGAAACACAAAGAAAACATTTGATAGATGACCTCACAATATTAATTAATAATATTGAAATAAGAAAAAGCCTATCAATAGGAGAAACGAGATTGAAAACATTAACCAGAATCGCTAAAGAAATACAAGAAATTAACAATGAAATGGAATGGGAAAGCCCAAATCATGAAGGTCAAGCAATGACAAGTGAACAAAACATCAACAATATCGAGACAACAATAAATAATATACAAGAAGAAAGCAGCCCAGAAAACAATATATACCAAATAAATGATTTATCACAAGAAGAAATAATATCAACTAATGATAATATTATTTTTGATCAATCAATAATAGACCAGATAATACAAGAAGACCCAACAATTATAAATACAGAAGAAAATCAAATAATAATAAGAAAAGAAGACAACAAGAGGAAAAATGAACATCAACATAACCAAGTGAAAAAAACTAAAACAGTGAATACAAATTGGATAAAATGGTCAAATCAACCAACAAATCCAACCGCCTTCATAAACCTAAATGGATCAACAAGTGAAAAACTATTAGAAGAAATTGAATCACTAAGGAAAAATAATACAATCCAATTTGAGCTATTCAAGGGAATCTTCAAACAAAATAATAGCGTCAAAATGATCTGTTTCAACCTTGAACAACTCAAACATAACACACAACAAATAAAGGACAACATCCCAATGGTAACAATCAACATTAAAAAACCCAAACAACCAAAAGTAAAAATATTCAATTTCCCAATAACAATCAACAACAAAGAATACATAATAGATGAATTAATTAAATACAACAAATTCATCAATCGAGATAATATTAATATTATTAACATCAATAATTACAACAACAAAACTGATATCACAATACAAATTTCACCAGGAATAAGATCAGATATACAAGAAAACAACGGATACATTAACCTCGCAACCAAATCACTAAAGGTAATAGACTACTTTGACTTAATTCTCTGTCATCGTTGCCTAAAAATAAATCAACACAAAACCGGAGAGTGTAACAATCAACACGTTTGCAAAAATTGCGCCGGTTTCCATAAAACATGTAAAAATAATAATACTAAATGTGGAACCTGTGATAAAGAAAACCACAAACCATTCACATATAAATGTGAAGAATACAAAAAATGGATACAAATTGAAACAAACAAAACCAACTATAACTATGAATATCTAATGATTTAAACAAAAACAATTAATAATAATAATATTTATTGAATTGATCTCTCGAATTGATTTATCTCTCCGATCAAATAACAAAATGGTGATACAAAATCTTCTATCATAATTTGAACAAATTGAAATTCTTTCCCTTATTCCAAGATACAAATGGAACTTTCTTTTCTCTAATACATAAAAATTCACTCTCAAAAAACCCAATTAACAATAATAAAAATCTTTTCTCTTTTACAAATTTCACTCATCATCTCCACTCGGTAAAAATTCAAAATCATTTAAAACTTCCACCCTCAATATTGATAGTTAAGAAAAAACAATAATAATAATAGATAAAGAAGATAGTAATCACCTAAGAAACTAATCCTCAGCAGGATAGCGTTGAGAGTCACGAGGATATGAACCCAAAATTTTGACACAAAGATCCATCCTTGGATTAATATACTCATCACGTTTATCAACCAAGATTAAATCACCAGAACGTTTGAAGACATCCAGAAAATCTTTCAAAGTAGGAAATTTACTCAAAACAAAATGATGAAAACCAATAATATCAATAGAATTGGGATCATATCCACCAGATTGAGCGATCCTCGAGAAAACATCAATAGTAGAAACGTCCAAAGGGAAAGTCAAATCAGCAACTCCTCTACCAGTAGATCGAACTCTAATATTAATAATATTATCTTCCACGAAAAGGCCATTACCAACACCATTAGAAGAAACAACATTAAATTGTAAATTTCCAGCAGTACGACGAACAAGAGATCGATTAGCCAAATTAGTAGAAACCAAATTACTATTATTAATAGTAGCAGGTAAATGAACAGATGGAACACGATTCAAACACTGAACTCGATGAGCCAAAAATTGAAAAATATTAAAATTGATAT